GGATTCAAATTAAGATTACCGGTATATTAAAATAATAAAAATGTATTATAAACCTGTCTAACATACCGTAAAAGAGATTTATACCCCTGTAATAAACACAGCTATCATCACACACCCCTCCCCACGCCCCCCCCCCCCATTTGCCAGTGAGGAGACAAGAAAGGGAAAGTGACCACGAGATTGGGCTATTTTTAGCCGTGGAGGTGGTCAGTAATGCATACCGGTATCGGTATATTTACTCATAATAATATTTATCTCCTATAAATAATTGATTTAAATTTTATTTTTTTACAAAGAATATTCAGTAAATGACCCTCTGAGTGCATTAATTCTTGAAACTATCGACGGTTAATTACAGACGCTCAAGTGACGTCACTAGTGTTTACACTACACCAGCTGGTAATATTTGATGCCATTACTTGAAGTGAATTGGCCTTATTTTAAGTAACTAACTTTATAGTTACAAAAATTAAAAAAAAAGATCAAAACTGAGAAATAATATACTGTATGTATGTTGTGTTGTCAAAGTAAGAGAAACAATTGAGACCCTGCAATTGTGTAAATGAGGCAGAAAGTCAGGTCAGCAACCTGGGACTTGGTCACAATTTTCGTGATGCCATATGGCAGCAGGGTCTACTATTAGACAACACATTATGCTTCCAATATCTTCCCAGGCAGTAGTACCTCCCTGTTTGGTAGCTGCCTACTACCTACACAATTTCTAGTAATATTAATTTGATACATGATAAATTAGACAAACTGAAAATAAACATCAAATTTAATTACCAACACGCTTCCCATTGGCAGCTGTAAGAGGGGGAGATGGGCTATTTTTATCCCGTCTTTGTGTCTGAAGTGGCCAGTAATACCATATATTTATTGATCATAATACGTTTCTCCTATAAATAATTAATTTAACATTTATTTTTTTACATAGAATATTCAATAAATGACTTTTAATTCTTTTAACTACCGACAGTGGTAAATTTAGCATGACAATGATGAAGAAGAAGGCAGGTCATCTGATTCGGAGTTTGATTCTTAATGATTACCATATATGTGTAAGGTGACCACGTCAGGTCATGTGTAAGGTGACCCCTTCTCTCATTTGCCTTGTCCAGTTGTTGAGTTATCACTCCATAAGCAATAGCACTCTCTCCGTGTGAACACTACGGTATATTAATACTGTATCCAGCTACCACAAAACCTCACCATGGCTCCAATTGTTAAACGCAGGAGATATGAAGCTTGTTTTAAGCTGAAAGTGATAGCATATGCCCAGTCACACAACAATTGTGCTGCTTCAAGAGAATACGGTGTAACTGAGAAGATGGTGCGGGATTGGAGATCAAAGGAACACTTACTACGAAGTATGCCCAGGAATAAATGTGCAATGAGAAGAGGCACTGCACACTGGCCGATTCTAGAGAAGCACGCAGTAGACATGGTCCATGAGCAGCGTCAAAATGGGTATATTGTATCAAGAAACATGATACGTATGTGGGCACTTAAGTGGGCTAAACAAAATCAAGAGCACAGCAAAGACTTCAAAGCCACGACTTCATGGTGTAGCCGTTTTATGGAAAGAAGCAATCTGGTACTGAGGCAGAAGACAAAAATAGCACAAAAATTACCAGCAGATCTTAACTGTAAAATTGTTAATTTCCATCGCTACATAATACAACAACGTAAGAAACATTGTTATCCATTAAGCAACATCGGAAACATGGATGAAACACCTATGAACTTCGACATGGTCGGTAATCATACTGTCGATACAAAGGGTGCAAAAACAGTGTTAGTGAAAACAACAGGACACGAAAAGACACGGTTTACAGTAGTACTTTCATGCATGGCAGACGGAACCAAGTTGAACCCAATGCTAATTCTCAAGAGGAAAACAATGCCCAAAATCAAGTTCCCGGCTGGAGTTTTTGTTCACGTCAACGAGAAAGGGTGGATGGACGAACAAGGAATAAAGTTATGGATTGATCATATATGGTGTAGGCGACCTGGTGGCTTTCGAAAACAGCGTAGCCTGTTAGTATGGGATATGTTCGCGAGTCATTTAACAGAGGGAACAAAAACCAACATGGCGAGGAACAACAGTGACATTGCAGTTATTCCTGGTGGATTAACTTCAGTTTTACAACCACTTGATGTTTGTCTAAACAAACCATTCAAGGACCGCGTTCGTGAACAATGGAACAAATGGATGAACAGCGGCAAAAAGTCTTACACGAAAGGTGGGAATATGCGTGCTCCCGAACTGGATGTACTATGTGATTTTGTTATCAAGGCATGGAATGATATTAATGTGGAGACAGTTATCAAGTCTTTTAAAAAGTGCGGAATATCTAATTCAATGGATGGCATGGAGGATGACATGTTGTGGGAGGACGAGGATGAAACAGAAGCCGAAGCCACGTCATCTGATTTGGAATTTGATCCTTATGATGAAGCAGCCATAAATGTATCTCAGGATGTACTTGAAGAACTTATGATGTCAGATGTTGATGATGTGGATTTTGAAGGTTTTTAATACATGATGACGTCAGTAATAATCATGTGCTAATAACATTTTTAACTTGACGGTAATTTGCTTTTAAAATATTGTGACTTAGTAAATTAAATGTGTGCATGTGTATGTATGTATACATACAGTATATATAAATATGTTTGTGTAATAAATGTATGTAGTAAGTACGTAATATTTTTTCACTCAAATCCTAATGAAACACTACTGGAGAACATTCCTTTGTCGCAAAACAGTTTATAAATTAAAGAAAATAATTACAGTGTGTTTAATATATTACAGTATATTATAAATAAATAAATAAAACAAATAATTCGGTAAATCTATTTAAAGTAAATGGAAAATAAGCAAACATGTTATTTACCAAGACCCTTCCGTCTGGCTCAGGGTGAGATGGAGGGGAGATAAAGAAGGCTATTTATAGCCCATCAGAAGTGACCAGTACCCTAATGCACCATAAATAATTCATTGAACATTCATTTTTTGTACATAGTATATTCAGTATATATATATATATATATATATATATATATATATATATATATATATATATATATATATATATATATATATATATATATATATATATATATATATATATATATATATATATATATATTTGTGTAATAAATGTATGTAGTAAGTACATACTGGTAACCTTTTTCACTCAAATCCTAATGAAACACCACAATTAGAATACGGTGGTTGCTGTTGAACTACATGTTGTATAAATAGTCGGAACACAGCCACACCACCGAGACGAGGGAACACTCCCACCACCGATCGTCTCGTGTGAAGCAAGCGTATAAATGAAAGAAAATACTTGCAGTGTGTTTAATATGTTACAGTATATTATAAATAAATAAATAAGTAAACAAATAAATCGGTAAATCCATTTCAAGTAAATGGAAAAATTTTACTCGATACCGACATTAGTTCCAGTTATCGGTAAATAGCAGACGCTTCAGTGACGTCACTAGTGTTTACACTACACCAGCGGGTATAATTTGATGACATTACTTGAAGTGAATTGGCCTTATTTTAAAAAATCAAGGATGGTTGGTAAAGGACTACTGAGTCCGTGGTTAAGTGTCACATTTGGGGTACTGGTCTTATACAGCAAATAGAGCTCAAAAGCTACTTTTTAAATGGAAAATTGGGGGGGGCGTCTTATGCACCCCGCGCCTTATAGGCCGTGATATACGGTACAGTTCTGTACCAGTAAATGCGAGGAATAAATAAAAATAATAATACCCGCCATTTGGCAATTTTGTCACTATGCACTGGACAGAGACAGTGAGCCAAGATCCCCCACACCACTCATCCCCTCCCTTGCTCTTTGTGTTATAAGTGCCGCACATGCACACATATGAAATGTTTATCCCTTTATGTTTTGACCTTATGATAATCATTTTTTTTTTTTTGCACATTCTGTATGAATGATTGTGTGAGCATGTAATGGAGTAAAAAAAATGACATAGAGTACACTATCTACCTGCAAGTTGAAAAATAACAATAACCCAGCTGACAGCCTGGTAGGGGAAGCTGAGATCCCAATGCCGCACCCTCCTTCTCCTTCCACGATCCACACTAACTCCCATGGACATAAGAAATGTTTATTCTTTTTATATTTTTGACCTTATAATAATAGTAATTCATTTTATGTCATTTTGAGTATTCTGTATGAAAGATTGTGTGTGCAATGCATGTACCAGAGTCAAAAAAATGACGAAATTTACAAAGATGTCGACCTAATATTACTTGCAGTGACAGTTGGGGGATCGCAACTTATTACTGTACACGTACATGTCATGTAAGGTACGGTAAAGAAAATAAATCTTTATTTTATATAAATTTATTGTTATTTTGTCTTTTTTGTATAAATTTATTGTTATTTTGCCTTTTTTGTATAAATTTATTGTTTTGTGTCTATGGGTATTTATAAATTGTTTGAATTATTTAGACATTTTTTAATCATTACAGCAAAAGGATATAAAACTTGTTTGGGCTCTTCAGAGTCTCAGAAATTTAACCTATTTTGTCCCATAAGTTATCAATATTGATACACAATCGATCACTTATCAATGGCTTTCTGGGGTCCCTAACCCCATCGTATAACAGTCAACACCTGTTCTGTACTTGCACTGTGTATATTTATTGTATACGTGCACTGTCTAGGTTTATTGTATACTTGCATTGTTTATATACTGTACATGCTGAAATGTATACTGTATGTACCTACAGTACATAGTCAATACACACGCTGAATTATATACCCCCCCTTGTATCTGCATTGTGTATAAACATGTTGAATCAATGTAAATTTATAAGATGATTTTACTGAATAAGCTGAAAGGAATAAAGCCTACCAACAAATAATCCTAACAATAAGCTGGGTGGTAAATCATGGTGACAACCTGGCATATGTACACAGAATCCCATACACAATACAGTATTTACTTACCGTGTCGCCAGCTCAGGTGTCTGAAAGTATACGGTGGCACAGTTGGCTCGCACACGTCCCACCTTGCCACCACAGTTGTCTGACAGTATGCGAAGACGACGGCGGATCGCATTTTCATCGACTCCTTCTGGCAAGTTTCGTACCAAAATGTCACGTCGCAAATTGCTTCCCTGAGGAAGAGAAGGTTTTTCCAGGGTCAGCAGGAGTACACAACACCATCATACAATATCTTATAATGTCTCAACAAAAAGATGTAGTGCAAATAAAATTGGTATTATAAAATTCCCTTTTGCTTGGCACCATATACAAGAGAGGTCTTAACTAGGCAAGAAGGAAATGGAACAGGCTAGAATGGTACATGTATACTGTATTTGGACTACACAGCCTGGAAGCTTTTCTGTTGTGGCCAAATTCCACAGGAAGTTGCCAGAGGGAAAGTATGCGGTCATTTGATGACTAATGTGTATACAGTGAGAACAAGTAAACACCAAAATCTTTAAAGACCGTTAATGTTTATGCCTGTGATGAGAAAGGATAGCATTTTTACCTCGCAAACTACACCTGTCCCCATCCTTAATCAAAGCATGCCAAAGGAATGATGAATTTGCACATCCTTTTTCTCCTAAATAAAAGTCCATCAATCTAACCACTAACACCCCTGAGTGCTTTATTGACAAACTGTACTAAACAGTGATTTATCATTGCACACATTTAAGTGGTTCAGGTTCATACATATTCACAGTAATGTTCAGTACACATTTTGCCTACCTTTGACTTAGTTCTTTGAGGTAGTTCCTGGGTAACTTCTGAAAACAAGGCTGTCTCATGTGCACACAGTTTGAGTGAGTCTTGAGCATGAGCATTGTGCACTAGTATTACACGCAGATTTTTTCTGAAAAAGATCATGAATACAGGTACAATTAATAATTAATCATAAAACAACAGTGAAATTTGAAATTACCAAATAAACTTAATATTTACTATGAAATGAATTGGCTTCACTGCAGTATGTGGCTAACCAATCCATGTCAAATCCTAAAATGATTATCAGCACAGAGGCAAAAATCAATCTATGTTAGCTGCAAATTATATCAGGATCCCTAACCTGCATCAACCATTTGCTTACCTGTATCTTAAATCATAGAGTTCTGTAGCGAAGTTAGAGTCTCCTGAGATAAGAACAATTGTAGCACCAGTCCCGTGGATATCGGCAAACCGTCGCATACTTTGGAGGAGTTTATCATCTGCGGCATTTTTGACAGTACTCCCCACATGCATCACATTAACCTGTGTGGTGTACAAGCAGGAAAGTTGTCATACTTACAATTTGTTGGACAGGATTTTTTTTTTTGGCATGCATTTTAAAAATTCAAATGCTTGCAAAAATAAAACACATTATGTCATTCATATATGTTGATTCCATTTCTCTTTTACATCAACAATAAGGAAAATTCACAGTTATGTAATTCATCAAAAGAAATGCAGACCTTGCTGAAACAACATACCCTGTACTGTAAATACATGTACCCCTTCAGCCAGGTACATTTAAGTGTGAAACAAAATCAGTTAAACATCTACATTCTCTAATCTATATCTCTGTTAAGTTTCAGTAAATATCAACTTTCCTCGAACTCGCCTTCATCAATTTACACTTACCGCGGTGACATCTCATAAAGCGCTCAAACCCATGCTCCCCTGTTATTCACATGCTCCACTCTAGAACCTCCTCACCCCATCCTTCTGTTTCCTTATTGGTTTTACCCATCTCCCTCAAATTTTGAATACCGTACTATATTAAGTTTCTAGATTGGACTTCCCCCAGATTAAAGAGAACTTGGAATGATTTACTGTACTGTCTTCCTTTCAGGTACTCAATGGTTCACCTCATCATCTGTTTTTCCATTTGTTGACTCATGCTGTACTACACATTCACAAATAACAGTAATGAATATGATTTAAAATGACACACTCAACAACTCACCTGAGCATCATTCAATTCTTCAAGAATTTTTGAGTGTTCCTTTAAAGTATCACAAACACACATGAACTCCGCCTCACGATGCTCATTAAAAAATCGTGCTCTTATTGCCTGGACCACATGGGTAGCAGAAAGTCCTTTTGGTACCTGGATGAAGAAAAAAACAACAAACAACTAATGCTCCATGACAACAAATAAGAGTAAATTTTAGGACATTAAAAGACGAGAACATTAAAAAAAATCTTGTTCTAAATTTTACATATAAGTTTGTCATGAGAATCTACATTTTCTACTCAAAAAACTCATACTTAAATAAGTGAAAAGGGGAAATATTTTCTATAAATAATACCCACCCTGAATGAAGAGATACACAGTGGTGCATAACATAAAAACAATTAATTCTTGAGAGCAATAAAAACTTACCTGACAGTTTTCAATATCCCAAAATACGCCAATTGGAGGAAGTCGTCCACCATCATAAGATAAAGCTGTCTGATTCTGAGTCTGTCTTTCTTTTTCTTTCTTTTCTTCCTCTTCTTCAATCTGCTCAATGTCTTTCAACTCTTGCTCAATGTCATCTTCATAGTCAGATGTTAAATTGTCACCTTCAAGAGCACTAGTCACACACAATCTACACATACAACTTGAGCTGCACATTCTAGTTTCATTGTTTGCTGCTGCATTATAACATGCAGAGGTAAATTTATCTGGAGTAAGTAGAATATCTGACTTAGTTAAGTCATTTTTGTATGCTGAACTATTACAGTTCATTTGTACTATTTGTGAGCAAGTTGTATTAAGGGTGCCTTGTTCAGAGAAATTTAACCTTCTTTGCATTTCTTCCTCTTGAGCATACCTTGTGTTAACCAAAGGTAATTCTGTATTAGTACAAAATTCAGTGGATGAAGCACCACTACTTGAACACGGAGGTGTTGGTGCAAATATTTCTGGTGGCAATAACTGCGACAACTCGTTTCCTACAAATGTAGAAACAATATTAATATCAGACTTTGCCTTTATGGGATCTAAATTCTTTCTTTGATTACCAGACATACTGCCAGCACCATTCTTTCCTACATAAGTAACAACAGAACTATTTGATTTGGATCCTTGCTTGGATGTTGACAAAGAGCTTCTTGTTGAAACTGTATTAGAAGTGGTTATTGTCACAACCTCTTTTCCATCCATAATTTCTACTACTGGATAAAGATTCTGATCGTCTTTTTTTACCGTCTTCTGAGAACAAAGGAGGTATTCACCAGCACCATGTAGTTCAGAATGTGTCACTGACACAGAAGAACTACTACTGCTTGGACTATACAGTAGACGGCCCACAGATGACGCTGTGAACTGTCCGCTTATCTTAGTAAAGTTATTACTAAAGTTATTAAAATTATTTGTATCAATGGAAAAATTAGAAGTGTCATATTTTTCAAAATCTTCCTCTGATGATGAGAAATCTGCAGGCCCAAGAAGTGCTTTCACTGAAGAAGGACTCGGTGGAGATGGTAAAACTTCTGGGAAATCTGGGAATAAAAAACACAGATTAAACTCTGTTCTGAATTTACTGTATGTTTAAAAATACCATATAATTCATTGAGATGGATACTACAGTAACTGTATATAAAATATCCGAGACACACACAATTTTTTTTAAATAAAATGTTTTCATAGAAAAGATTTCACCTGTGATCAATGGAACAGCCATTAGCAATGCCAATATCTAGTTTAGTGCCATCCCTGTTCTTAACACTCACCATTATTGGCTCCAAAAGCTTGTATTAGCCCTCTCATAATAAATTTTTCTGTGTATCAGAATCTTTCATTCTGGAATCTTCTTCAGGCAATATATACTCCACATTCTTCACACCAACTCTCAACAAGTAGCATCTTCCCACAGTTTCTCTGGATTTCATCTTAGGTCTCTCACCTATATTTTCCTCCAAAATGCCTCTTTGTAGTGATAACTATACAGTATCTATCTTGTAGTTATTGTACACTTTATGTTGGATTTATCCTTGCAGAAACAATTAATACCCAGTACTTAATCTTTTTCCAATTCATATTTGGCAGGAGATATGGATCATGTGAAGATTAGGCACTCCAGCTTACTTCTGATGATGATTAAACACCTTAACACTACCTGGGGGTTTAGTTTAGGTCAATTTAAGTTAACATTAGGGTGGATAATAAACAGGAAGGCCTAATCTTCATGTTATCTGGAGATACAATTCAACTATGTGTTCATAAGTATAAAATATGTTTAACCTTCAAGGAGTCATTCACACCAGATGGATGGCAGTATAATTCAACTTTAAGGGAATTAATGGGTATGACATTTATGAGACATAAAACTGGTTAAGAATTCCTTACCAGTTTTGCCAATCATGATAGAACTTTTTTTGTCAGACCTCCACACCACTGCCCTGCAAAAACATAATTTGTAGATGAAAATAGGTTTAGAATAAAAAATAATTACATGATAAAGTTTCAATCAAGCCAAAAACTACAGAGTTACACCAATTTTATAAGGAAACAATATAAACCAAGAAATCTTAACTACATTAAAACATTTGGTTAGGTTAGGTTAGGTTTGATTGGTTCATCAACTTTATTGTCTTAACCTCAGCAGATTATGACTCCATCATTCATCATACAAAAGCAAAAGCAACACCATGTGGACATTTAAAACATGATTTTGTGAGTTTACACTAATTTCTCACTTCCCCCCCCCCCCACCAAATCTGCATTCTATTCATTAAATCGAAGATGAAACATGCTGTCTTGAGTGTAGCAAATTTTTTAATTAACAAGACCAATTTGGTCATGCAATACAGGTACACATATACGGTACAGCATAGTAAACTCAACAATGCAGTATAAAATTTCTAACCTAACCTATGATTAGTTGGGATAGTTCTACTGAATTTGTTGCAACGTCAAACTTTTTTTACGTAGTCACTAAAAAAAATCTTTACAAAATTGTGTTAGTTAGACAATATGACACAATGAACGAAGGATTGTGACAACCCTACTGAGACAACAGGAGTCGCAGAGTTCATTCTGAAATTCATCGAATGTACATGTAATGCAATTCTAATTCTCTAGCAAAATGAAATTGAAAGCCAGACCTGGGTCAATAAAAATATACTAGCAACAATTGTATCAGTGACAAAATAGTATATACGTACTTTTAAAAAATATATAAAATTGAAGTGTCAACCATCTCCTCAAACAATGGGTACAGTAATACTTTACAACTGTGGCATGCCCTTAGGACCCACTCACATAAATTTCTCTATAAAAGATAAAGTTTCTGACCAGAACAAATGATAAAAAGCACACAAGTACCGTAATATGTTTTGTATAATATCAATTTTACGATTACTTACATCTGGTACAGTACTCAATGCCGAGAGTTTCCCATCTCCGCCATTCTTGTTTCTGATCACAGTTATTTTCATTGAAATTATATTTGTTTTATAAGAACCAAAGTTACCGACTATATCTTACCTAACATAAAATACTGACTCGTCAGCCTCTGATAGTCTGAGTGCAATATATATAATGCTTGTTGAATCCATAAAAAAACATTCACTATTACTGATTAGAGACCAAGCGTAAACCTAAGCAAAAAACCCTCCTGGAAATCAGCCAGACAGCTTTGTCAGCTATTTTTGGTCAAATTACCTTACTGTTTACCACTGTTATTTACCTGCACTTTCTAGGCATACAGGAAACAGTATACTGTACTGTACTCTCACAGCCTACTTGCACCATTTAGCTACATTGTCTGTATTCATGTTGAACTGTATAATTGCATAGTTTATATTCATGCCCATCCAACTGTAAACTTGTATGAAAATTTTTCTGATTATATACAGTATTATTATTATATTCTTGAAAAGAAAAGTATCCTTTCGATGACAAATATTCAATCAGAAACAAACTAAGTGGACAGAGGAAACTTGTGGCATCATCTACCGAACATAAATACTGTGAGCGTAAAATTTATACCTGAATCACACAAAACATATTCCTTATGCACTTTTGTCATTTTATCAAGGAAAGAAAAATTGTATCTTCTGTGGAGAAATTTCCTCAAGTTGATGTTACGGCCACACCACAGTCATCAATTATTACCAAACAATGTAATGAACAATCTGTAAAACAGGTACTGTATAGGTTTTGATATGCTGAAGAAACTGGCTAACCAAGTGGACCAATAACTCCAATGTTCTTAGACCATTTTTGCATGAAAGGAGATGAGAGAAGCTTTAAGACCTTGACTTAAGAACATAAGAACATAAGAACATAAGAAAGTGGGATACTGCAGGAGGCCGACTGGCCCATACAGGGCAGATCCCTTTCACACCCATCCCAGCACTTCCATGTGCCAATCCAACTTCGTCTTGAAGCTCCCTAGCGTCCCCGATCCTACTATAGCACTCGGTAGCCGATTCCACATATCCACAACTCTATTTCCAAACCAGTGCTTGCCTATATCCTTTCTGAATCGGAATTTATCTAATTTAAAGCCATTTGTTCTAGTTATTTCGTTTTGGTGATGATTTTTAAGGCAATGTTCACAAACAAGTTCCCTGTGACCTATCTCAAGTAAGCAAACCAATGAATTTTTAACCATTATCATGTTAATAGGGCCATCCAGTATAATTAATCACTGTAAGTATCAGCAGCGATTGTGACTTATGCTTGACTGAAGAAACACTGAGCAATCAAGCACATGCACTAAGTTCATCTTCTCATAAAATTTAGTGAATAATAACAAAGGAAAGTTAGATAAGTTTGGTTTAATTAAGTTTGTCTACATTATGATAGGTTAGGAGTGATCAGTATTGTATGAAGATTTTTGCAACACAACACACAGGTCATATGTTTAGCTACTGCTTATATTGGGCATTATGTAAGATGCTTTATGATTTGTCCTTTTCTACTCATGCCCAGTTATCTAACTGTACATTTTTTTGTGTGGCCACAAAATTTAACATCAGAATCTTCAGCCCTACTAGCCAGTATGCAAATTTTAATCTGATCAATTGAAGCCCTGTTCTTTACTTGCATTGTTTAAGAAAATTAACCAAACTAATGTTTTGTTTTGTTTTCTCACTAAGGAATGATGCTTGGCAGCTTGCTATGTAGTGAAATACTGAACGAGAAATAGGTAGGAAAGGAGATTGAGGGATATAAAAAAAACTGCATTTTCTTTTAGGAGTTGCATATCATCGGTCGTCCTCACCTTACATCCTCCACTCTCCACTACCTAGTTATTAAGTTCATCATATATATATACAGCCCAAGTAGTACTTGATAAAGCTCTTGGTGGAATTTACTTACTTGCTATTGTGTAGAGCGTTACACAAGCCAGCCCCACCAACACTCTCCCTCGACCAGTCAAACATAAACAATAACAATAATACAACATTCAAATTTCACCAGACAGTTTCCTGCCCTACACTTCCTATCTCCCATAACTTACAATTTATATCAAAATAACAATAAATTCATCATAATATAAAGAGAGATTTTACTATATTTTTATTTTAATGAACAAAGTAGATACTATAGATGGATATTCGTGCACCTTATAAGGCTTCTATTGTACTGAATATTCACGTTAAAATAATGCAAATTATATCAGTGTAAATGGTGAATTTATTTTTCAATATAAGTGAAAAAATTAAATACCAATGATGGATGTTTGTACATCTTATATACGGGAAGAGCATCAAATTCTAACGTGAATGTGAAAGGTTGTACTATTTCCGTAATTTCATTGTTCACTCACTGTCTATGATCGCAAGAACAGTTTTTACTGTTCCTGAAACACTACAAAAGTTTTATATTCCCATCTCTTGTTTCCATTCAGGGTGTATTTTCTATACATTAAAAAATTTCCACATCTGATACAACACACTTTGTTATATATTTTTTTAATATTTCTTCATTTGCACAAGATATTGTTACTTTATGAAAATTATATTATTCGTTTAATAGATATATCCATTAACGTACATTATTTTAACATATAAGGCGCCCAGGCTGAACTTGTTTAAAGAGAAACAGGTGTACTGGTGGACACAACATTTTCTGGTCATTACAACAAACAAAAGTTCCTGGACGTGAACGATACACGGCACTGTTACCTCCCACGCCCCACACCAACGATCGAGTCTATTTTAATATTTAAGAACTAAGATGTCTATTTATATTGTAATTCTGTATATACTTACTGATTCAATGTAAACTTTTGTGTTGATTTTACTTAATATCTTTCTATTTACTTAAAATTTTCAGATAACGAAGTTAGGGAATATCTTTAATTAGCAATGTAATTTTCAGACAATAACAAAATAATACATTACCTTAACATTCATTTACACTGATAAATTATTTCACTCCAATTAAGAGGTTTACTCCATCAGGTGTGATATGGTTCTATGTCATCGTAGGCTTGATGGTCTGTTTGAGGCAGTGTGGTTACATGATACTAAACCACACCCTCACTTCCCCACCTATAGAGTTAGGTACCCATTTACAGTGTTATCTAACTCATCCGCCGCTCCTTCACAATCTTAGTAGCTAATTATAAAATGGCCGCTTCTCGTCATTATATGTGGGAACAGGACATCCTTGATAAAAAGAGGTACAGTGTGTGACCGCTGTATTGCCCGAGGCTACATGTTGTTTCTCATCTCAGTCTTCATTTTAATTATTTCACAAGTTATCCCGTAATTATTCTAAAAATTAACTGACTAATCTAATAGCCCAGTCTAAAATTATTACCCCCTGTCCTTTTGATCATTGATGTACTACTACAAATAAGGCAAATACTGTATTGTATTTCAATTTTATATTTCCCAGTCATAATCCTAATTTTTTTCAGTGATTTGGGGGAATATACTTTAGTTATGACTACTATTATTAACATACCAAGATATACACACAAGTAAATTTACATGCACTTTGGATTCTGGTTTTAGGTTCAGGGTTCGTTAGTGGGTTTTAGATATGAACAGTAAAGTAGAAAAATTTTCACGAAAAAAAGCAAAATTTTCTATCTGAATCGTAATAAAATTTCTCCTTCCTGTGGCCACAACATAATAACATTACCTCTAATTATCAATGAATATGTGATATGGTGATGGTTAAATAGTGGTGAATCGCTGTTATCTGTTTCAACATTGTAAGATATCAGCGGAAGTGAGGTCGACATTGGTAACATGTTAACATAACAGTGATGTTTGTGATAATGTTGTTAGTGTCGATGTTGTTAGCATTGATATTGTTATTTAAAGATATTAGTGCTCATGTTGTTAGTGTTGATGTTGTTAGTTAAAGATGTTAGTGTTGATGTTGTTAGCTAAAGATGTTAGCGTTGATGTTATTTAGTGTTGATGTTGTTAGTGTTGGTGGTGTTAGTTGATATCAGAAACTAGCGGATGCCTGCCCCGTTTAGAGGTCACAGCCTTTCAAGAAACCACAAGTTAGGTGAGTGTGAACTCATTTAATGCCAGATGTGACCAGCACTGGCACAGGTACAGATACATTCTGGAGCCAGGACATGCCAAAAGTGTGTAACAGAGACAAATTACCGTCCAAGTGGTCAACAGTCCGATCAGTAGTGAAGAGGATGAAGTAAGGTAAAGCTGCGTATGTGAATTCAACACATTTGAAGTTGATTGTTATTCCTTACAGCCTGATATATTGTTAATCTCCTCTGCTTTATATAAATAGATCCACCAACATCAATCAGATTCCTCAAAATGAGTCAATTGATTTTGATGAAACTTAGTATTGTGGACAAGTTTTGTGATTATCAAGGAAGAAATACAGTACAGTGATTTAATTATGGAGAAAGTAGGTCAAAGGTGTCTTCAAGCCTACTCATGGTGTGGATGAGTTCCTCTCTTCCTTACCTGTGTGTATTCTGGAAGACAGCACCAGTTTTTTACAGTACACCCAGATCTTCATACAGCTGCTGTCCAAATTGGTCAATTTAGTAACATAATAAAGTACTGTACTCTCAAGTGACAATTATAATAGTTTAACAGCCTTAGTCATAATAATTCCAGACATTAAAAAGTGTATGACTGTATATACAGTAGTTTCCCTTATAACTACTGTACTCAGTAATTTGTTAAGTGTTTACTGTTATTTTTAATTTGCAAGACAAACCGTCTTATCAACATTAGATTATGGTGAATCTTTCAAATTGGATACATTCTTCTATATTTATCAGCAACTGAATCCTTGATAAAAGTGCACATTGACACACATAAAAGCAGAATGTCACTCGGGTTGAAAATATGAAACTTTAACTAAAATATTGTATTCTGATGGGAATACACTTCACTTATCCATTCCAGTCATGTTTAATACATAAGGACTAAAGGTGTTGCAAGAATATAAAATAATTTTTTTTACCTGTTAGTTGTTATTTGTGCATGAACGCTGTAAACAGAAGTTTCCTATTAGTGCTGGCTCATCATAAAGGTCACTACTGTACTGGGTTTTGCTGAAAACTCAAATTAGATCTTCTTAACGTTTCAATTGAGAAACTGGTCCAAACCTAGCTTGATGAAAAGGCCATTTACATTAGTCACAACCAAAATTATCTCGTGTAAAAAAATACTACATTAGAAAGTGTGTTCAAGGTGGTAACGGTCGCAGATATAAACAAAATTGCTAAGACAACTTTGGCTCACTTCATTAAATAAAACATGTCATTTAGTACATCTTTATTTTAATTCCTGAGAATATCTTAATATACAGTATACAGCAAATACTGGTGTATTAGTAGAGCCATAATACCTATACTCTTGTGGAATTTAACTTTAACCATATAATACATATAAATATTACACACCAATCTATTTCTTCCTCTAACTAGTAGTTATAATACAACCAGCAGTATATAAACACAATATAACATGTTAAAATTAGGCTAAAAATGTGCATTGAAAACACCAATAACATGTTTCTACATCTATAAGTGCACTGTTACAACCAAAGATTCAAAGATTGTACATGTATTTTAACAAGAATGGACCAAGACTGTACTGTATGTCTTACATTAAAAAAAACATTATACTTCAGTACCATTTACTATGTATTTTCTTGTTATTTGTTTTGGCAGATATGAAATAAAACTTCCCATTCAACCAATCTCTTCAACATACATTAAATATATCTACATTAAAGTATTTCTGACAAACCATTCACATACAGTACAGTACATAAGAAATCTATCCAACATCATCATCACGGTACAACTTTGCCTATTACAATTTAAAGTAACAATGTTGGAAGAAATATATGAGATATCTGCAGTAGAATTCTTCATGTCAGGTCAACACAAAATTGATTAACAGTATACAGCAGAACTACACTGTAAACAGAGAATGTGGTGATAGCAGACGAGGTAGTTTAAATACAGAAGAAAATAATAAGAAAGAACTGCAGGCAATTAATGATTATACAGAAAACATAATTGACAGTAAATTTGATTGATTTCAAAAGACATCAATGCAGAGGTGATATATAAATTTGGGTAATGAGTGGAAATTATATATATCAAGGCTTGGTAGCAAAAGGTGGTGGAGCTGGGAAGTTAGTGAGAGGGGGGGGGGGACAAGGATGTATACCAGCCAAAGGGTAGCTACAGAGCCTCATGCCATGTTTCCACGGCTGACTTAAGCAATTTTTGAAACTACATATCAAAATATGTTCTCAAATTTCTCATTATGTTATAACAAGACCATGTAAGGTGAAGATACATTAATTGAAAAATTTCTGTACAGTATAGGGGAAAAAATAACAATTGTACGTGTTTCCCACAGTTGTGTCTCATCTTCTTATTACGTACATGTATATTACAGTAAAGTACAATACAGTACAGTAATATCTAAGATTTTTTTTCTAAAAATATTATATTAAGTCATATTGCATTGCAATAAAATATGAAATATAATTTTTAAATAATATTCAGTATCAAGATAATTTTATAAAAAAATAAATTAAATCTAAAATTATAAAAAAATTGTGCTACCTCATTATACATTAATATTAATTCAAGTGCTAATTACAGCAGTGGTAGTGCAATATTATTTATCTTAACATATCTTAACAAATTCTTTAACACCGAAAATATATACACCCTATAGTTTACTTATACTGTACACTACTTTGAAGTTATCCATTTCAAATATATAACCCCATCTTATATTTAGTAATAAATTAAATCTTTGAATCTGGGGTAATAGTAATGGCAGGTGCTGATACAGTTCTAGAAAACTCTGGAGGAGAAGCTGAGCCAGTTAGACTGTCCTTCAAAATCTTTTCAGCAGTTCTTGCCAGGAACATCACTGAGTCTGACGCAGTGATCCTCGTGGTCTCCAGATAAGTCCGACTATTATTCTCACACTCCTCCAAGAAATACCTAAAGTAAAATCACCTTTACTATGATGTTCAAGACCATGTAAATATTAGGCACCCTAGCTTATTTCACCTGATTATTAAACATCTTAATACTACCTGGAGGCTTAGGTTAGGTTAGCATTAGGGTGTTTGACCATCTGGTGAAATAAGCTGGGGTGTCTAATCTTCACAAGATCTGATATTTTTATCAACATGGGTCAATAATTCTCAATCACTATTGTGGCTAAAATATCTGAATCACAACATACACACAAGGAGAGAGAGAAATAATAACCATGATAAACATCCTTGAAGAACAAAAAGTAATACTTACCTGTAGTTGACCATGATGCCACATGAGTTTGCAAGGCCACGCGGCGAACGGTCAGCAAGCCAGTTGATGCGCCACATAACCGCTCCATTTTTCAGGTGAAAGTTTGCTGGAAAATTACATATACAACAGATACCGGGTAAAACAATTTTAGTTTTGATGAGTTTCAAACAGTAAAGACAATCGCCACTTGAGTACAACTGATAAATCTAACATAACAGATTTATATAAATGTCAGCTTGGTCTCAAAGGGGAATATTTGGAGACCTTCCCATATGCAATACTTTGACTCGCCAACCATTAAAGCCTAGTGCAAAATATTGAATTTTACAACTGAAAATCACCAACTAATAAAGAGATACATTTTCACTGGCTTATGGTTTCCAGCTTTTCTAGAAGCCAATATCCTTCAACATAATTAAACTGTTCTACTGTAACTGTAATTAATGTCAACTTGATCAAAGTCTCTAAGTTTCATAATTAGGAATTAAAAATGGTATTTACACCCAGCAATATTAATCCAGCTGTTTAAAAACTTTTTTTTACTAAAATTGGTTTAGAGAATTACATGAGTCGACCATGTACTGTATATAGTAGGAAGACTCTTAACAAAGATGGCTACACTGATTAGTAGTAAAATCTTTCTACTTATTACAGTTCAGCAACCTTTTAGTTCATACAAAACACTAAAATTGAAACTATTTTACTTACCTACACTGTCAAGAGCATATCCTCTTCTTTTTTCTAAAAAAAGGTAATATGCACACAGCCTCATTAGAGGAACTTCTAAAGCCTCCACCATCTCCAATTCCTCGACCCAGCCATTTGTTGTGAACAGTTTCCGAAGACGATCATATACTTGTGCAAATGATTCCAACTCCAGGCTACTTTGCAGAGTACTTAGCTCAGTTTCTGTAAATATTTGAGCTTCACCTGCAAGACCAAATGTAACATTATGTCTCAAGAGTGCTCATGCTGTTTCATATCATTAAAGCCATACATCTTATTGAACTTACGATGGCTGACTCTGTAATCTCATCATTCAACCAGAGAACTGATAAGCAAGAAATTTTAACATACACCTGTAATCATTGTGATCAAGATGGTACCACTGGAAGGAGATTGGGTGAAACATTAAGAGTGTACAGTACAACATATGAGTGAAAAATAATTAATGTGAAAGAGCTTATCAGAGTCCATACATAAAATGTAAGAAAATATTAATCCTTCTTTAGAATTCATATTGACAATCATAATTATGTACAATGCTTTGAAATAAGAGAGGTACAGTACAAGTATTTCACGCTAATTACCTCTCTGTGCTCTTGCCATCATTCCATTCAGCCACTTGACAAAACCGGGTATGGGTGAGAGACTGGAAAACTGAGACATGCTTGGAAACTCTGCTTTCAATTCATGTACAACTCTTTTGATTAGGTAATTTCCAAGTTCAATGCCCTGAAAAAATTAACATAAGCATAACAGATGTTCAATTAAGAGTTGAAGAAGAAAAGCATTTACCGGTACCTACTTAAAATATCACAAAGTACCATAGACCATAAAAGCTTCCATTACCTGGCAACATTTTCTTTTCCTTTGAAAACTCTTATGCATCTTGGTTCACGCACCATAAATATAAGACAGCTACCTGCTCACCTAACAATCATCTATAATTATAAAGTACAAATAGCACATATGCAAAATACATGTATGTACTGTACTATCAATCTAGACATAATTAATTTTGGCAAGAGCAACTACTCACTGCACACCAAACAAAAATACAACAGAGTATAAAAGTATTCTCTATGTTGAAAAAAAAGTAAAAGAATAAATAAAACAAAAATTAAACATTTACAACTTGTGACATCTGTTTGGTAAGAAAACACAACTAGTGTACAGTATATCAATTGGGCAGCATCTAACATAACCCCCCCCCCCAAATCTTGTAACTTGAATATCAGTCAATATTAACAAAAAATCAAATAATCGCCATTAATAAAATATAGATCTCCTTAATATTCAGCCATTATAAAGACAGAAGTCACAATTAAATAAGAAGAATTTAGGTTGCAGATTACCTGTAGTCCCTTCTGTGTGGATGCTATAGAGTAGAAGATGGCTGTGTTGATTAATGAAGGCTCTTCACTCTCCTTGCTCACGATGGCTTCATCTAGTAAAAATAATATACCCTGTACTGTGTAAACATTACACAAATATTCCAAATAATAAATAAAAACATAAAATCCTAAATACGTAGGAATTCTAGGTGGACGCCACAATAATTTGAGGTTGTCACACAGTTAACTTGAGTCTTATTGTGTGATGCCTCTAACACACTTTCAGCAATACCGAGAAGCAATCTACTGCAGCAATAATAAAAATGGTGGGTTTTAAAATACCAATATTAAATAGTCACTACCATACCTTATTTCACTTTTTTTGTGGCTTATGCAATCAGTTACATTCTTGTTTATTTTACTCACAGTGGCCAACAAGCTGCACAGTATTTTTAGCCTCTGTTAACAGAAGTAGAATAGAAGGTGAACTACAGTGTTCTTCTGTAATAAGTACTGTAGTTCTAACACAGTAACCACAATATCAACTCATTACAAAAACCATCAAACCTGATTCTACAGCATTTAAAAAATTAACATTCAATTTCCTTGCAACATGAATCACTAGTAAAAAGTTATATAATGATTTGAAGTGCACAAGCTCCTCAAAACTGTTTATACACATGCTTACAACAATCAGTAAGTCATCTGAAGCTGTCTATACACTTGCCTACAACACTGTCAATAAGCTGTAGATAATGATGAAGTACTGTATAATAGTCTGTAAGCATGGGAACAGTAACTAAAAGGTACATGACCATTGTAGAAATTATGTAATATCTGTACAATGTAGAACATAATACTGTACTGAAATCCCACTATATATTCTGGCTGTAACCTATGGTCCTCTTCACACTGTTGAAGAGGAACGTAGGTTAGTCAATATATACTGTAGTGCTATTTTCTTTTCAGTGTTTTATCGTCTCTGACAGTGGGTTTCAGTATAAATGTCCAGGAATAAGTGAGAGAGAGGTGAATTACATGCTGACAAGAGGCCAGCACTACGATAGCATGTGGTGAAGTGTAAAACAGCTAAAACCAAACTGACGGCAGCTTATAAATGAGATACTATACTGCCTGAGGTGAGTACAAAGTTAATCAATGAAATGTTTGCAGGTAAACCTGTTAAATAGTTTGGTTATGATAAATTACACATACAGTACAGTACAACAAAAACTTTATATTGTTACTACAGTACTTATTCAACCCACCAAAGGAAGAAGCTCTTGAAGTTTGCAGTATTTTGGCCATTGACTTAGATATTTCATTTGTAAGAAAGATGTGTAGCACTACAAGAGGCTCCTTTGGCATACATGAGTGAGTGAATATGAAGCATCTGCGATAAAGGCCCACACGGCGCTTCAAGTCAGTCCAGTTACGGACAGGATGAACAGCTTCATATTCTGATACCTGGGAATATATAATATCCATCAAGCTTTAAAAAAATAAATAAACAATACACTGTCTATAATGTGTCTTCTTGATTTTTTTAGATCATGTATTAGTAAATTTAGTTCCAGATAATACAGTAGAATCAGCATACAATGTAGAGAACCACTTTGCCAGAAAAGAGTAAGATTTTGTTACATAGTAGCCCAGTTGAGCAGAATTAACTTCCTAATTTTAAAATACCAAAGTGCAAGTATTGTACATTCAAGGAGTTGATTAAGATAAGTAATTTAAGGAGACTGTACAGTACTCAGTAATGTCTGCTTTGCAATTAACAGACAAAATATACTGTACAGGTTGACAACCCTTTATCCGAAATTACGAAAACCGAAAAGCTCTAAAAACCGAAAATTTTTTGGGGGTAAATTTTTTTTTTTTTTTTTATAACAGGGATTAGCCCACCCGGGCATAGATCACTGACCCACATGAGACCTGGGGGCGAAAATGTAATAGTAATAATAATTCTAATAATTATTCACAGTAAATAAAAATCTTAATAAAAATACACCAAAATAAAATAATAATAATAATAATAAAATATAATAATAGATTTAATAATAATAACAATAATACTGTAATAATAAAATAATAATAATAATAAAGAAATACAAGAATGAAAAAAGATCAAAAGTGAGAAACACGACCTAGACCTATGAATTATTATTATTAGCCTATTATTATTATTATTATTATTTTTTTTTTTTTTTTATTATATTTTCGTCCCCCAGGCCCTCATGTGGGTCAGTGATCTATGTCTGGGTGGGCTAATACACATTAAAAAATAAAAATAAAAATAACCATTCTGAAAACCGAAAAATTCCGAAATCCGAAATGCCTCTGGCCCCAAGGATTTCAGATAAGGGATTGTCAACCTGTACAAGCAATATTTTAATATAAATTTAACTAAAAAAATTATTTTTCAATCCACTAAAGACAGGAAACTCATCAACTATCCATAATGGGAAAAAAGCTCAGACTATCAAGAAAACAGATACTTATGAGTAATTTTCAAATATGGTGTGAAATTCAACTAGTGTACATGCAGAAGTCATTTCAACTTTTCTTTGAATCTCCTTTATCATGAAGGGTACAGGAGACGATAAGTTTGGGTTTTCAGTCACACAAGCCTTTTCCTGTTATGGTGGAATGTGGCTAGGCAGGAGCTGATCCCCTGGTTCTCAGCAATTAGCAGTTTGCGGGTTACATCACCCCCTTGGTAGAGGCTAGTCCATGAAAGGCTTGCTCTACTCAATGGCAAGCACAGTTAATGGGTAATACTGTGCCATACTGGGTTGTAAAGCGATGGGTAAGCCAGTTTTAGGCCTTGTTAAGAGAGAGGAGAGCCCTGGGCCCAACACTTGGTGGGCCCTATTGGACCACAATCAACATTTCCCAAAACCAAGTACTGACTTGACTGTGACTACTTACGTATTAATTTATTATCAGATCAGACTTAAACACGTAGTCAGGGTCAGATCATTACAAAGTGCTGGAAAACGATTTTAAGAGCCGAATTTTGTCTTAATTAGGCTTAAATTTTAAGGTGGCCCTGCACACCCCTAGGGCCAGCCCAGGAGAGAGCCATAACACAACAAATATTTATGTATCTACTCTTGGTTCTGCCTACCTTGCAGGAAGTGGGAGAAGGCATAAAAAATAATGAAAAGCTCTAAATAAAAAATTAGAAATGCCACTTAAATAATATTAGAGCATAATTTTCAATACGATAAAGGACGTATGTCTCTCCGAGTTAAGTTCTGTTGTCCTATACCACAATTTTATGATACAAAACACTTAAATGAATATAGTACATTATAAGTTCACTAGCTATTTTCAAACAAACCTTTTGTAACATATTACATGGGGACTCCCAAGTAATTCGCTGAACATTTAAAAGTCCAACAGTAAACCAAAGAGAAAGGAGTTCTCGCAGGGTGGAGTCCAAGGTCTTGAGGACTGCAGAATGACACGGTTCTGAAGCCTTGCTATATAATGTGCTCTGAAATGTAAATGTGAAGTTCTTAAACATTAATACATAGTACCCCTGTATAAAGAAAATTTGGCTATTGCAAATTGTGTGCATACCCAATAATACAAGGTTGAAGATGCCAGGCAAGGTAAACCCATAATACTGTAATTATTTCCTATACAGTGAATAATTTTTATTATTGTAAAGGTACAAATATAGCACATCTGATTATCTTGGCCTCTGAGAACTTTCTTATGAAAGAGATATTATTTGTAGCTTACTAATAAATCTTGACGCATATCCACTAAAAACTTGACCCCTCCAGAGAGTCGGGATATTTGCGAGAAAACCCAGTGATGTGGCGGCTGAACGGCAAGACGTAAACGGTCCTCCCACCTCAAAAGTTGAGCAACTGTGTCCTCGGCATCCACATCAAGCTGGAAAAATATAACCGACTGAAATGTTGACATAACATCATTTACAATTTAGCCATTCTTGCTGCAGTCCCAAGTGGAGATGTGAAAGGCTTATCTAATAGCAAGCTACTTTTTTTAGGGTATAAAAACCGGAAATACATCAGTTACTCTTGGTTGTCCATGGCAGCACTATAGTAGAAGAATTTATAGGCTAGAATAAGTTAAGTTTTTTTATGCCAGCAAAGGTAATCTATATAACTTGTTGTGGGAGGTTGTAGGTCCTATAATACCTATGTCTGAGACTTTCAGATGAAGGTTACAAACCCACACTTCTCCTATCCCTCTGAGTCCCCTTCTACAAATCTGGGTATAAAGAGGGACCATGCTGAAAGTCCAGAACATATAAGTCAGCATCATGACCAAAAAATAAAAATAAAAAATAAAAACATAAAAATAATAATAATAATCAGACAGAGAGAACTTGTATTAGCCAGATTAATAATAAGTAAAGAGAAAATGCCTGTTTTTCCAATACTGTACTGTATATGGGAAGGAATCACATTCCAGTAATTTACTGAAACTAAAATACATCTATAGTATCATGCTAAATTTAGTAAGAATGCAAGTATTTATTATATAAGTCCTTTAAGTCCTGACATTATGTATGGTAAAGTATGTTATGTCTATACAGTACAGGGTACTGGTAATTACAGTATGTCATAAGTTGTAACATAAATACTGTATGACCACTTAACTTACCTTTGGTTTCTGTTGGATAAGATCATGAAGAGCTTTATGGTTGGTAGACAGTGTGGTGGCCATGTATATTAAAAAGTCTGATCGTTCATCTGTGCCAAGTCGGGAGTAGAAGTAACACATATCCCGCATGTCATCCTGTAGGTATGTTAGGAAGATCATCACTCTTTTTTAATACTGTGGAGTACAGTAGTGTATTTAGCAATCACCATTCTCCTGACTGATTCGTTTCCTTTAATGCAGGTAAACTGATAATGAGCCATATACCTGTATGTACAAGTACTGTACACTTAACATGAAATATTTCTTCACCTGAAGACCAATCTATAACAGCAGTGGGCTGATCCTCAGCCTTGAATACAGTAGACCCTCAATAATGCAGACCCCATTAATCTGGAAAACCTGGACCTATTGTTTTGTAAAACTAGCATGATCAACTCAGTCCATTTATACTGTACTATTTTCTGTTCTTGAGTCATGCTGCAAACTTAACAGATGAATATTGTGACCCCCCCACTGATATCAATAATAGCGGACTGATTCAAGGAATATCATTCACGTGATACTATGAATTATATTCCAAAAATCTTTTACAGTAGTATCATATTGACAAATTCTTCATTAATTTTATGATGAATCCACTATCGGAGCAAAATGTTATTTCTGCTTTTATTACTGAAGTTAAAACAGTACTGTATAGTATAAATCATATACTGTACAGGGCCAATCCTTCCTATAGCTACCATACGTTTTATACACTCAGAGCGTAGGACACCGACCGCTAAGGGAGCCCTATAGTCCCGACAGTTATATGGCAGTGCTGTGGGATATACAGTGGGGTATGCTATAACGAATCTAATTGGTTCTAGAACCTTGTTCGTTATAGCATTCGTTCGTTATAGGATTAATCCGTTCCAGGCCCCCAAATACAACCACTTAACACTGAAAAATATAATATAAAATTGTAAAAATTGTAAAAAAGTGCATAAATATGCATCTAAACCCCTGAAATAATGAGTATCATTAATACTTGTACTAAAAAAACAATAAATTAGTAAAAAAAAATAAATAAATAAAACAAATAAATAAATAAATAATGTTCGTTGTAGGAGTTTCGTTCGTTATAGCATTCTCAATTTTATAGGTAAAACCGTTCGTTATAGGAATATTCGTAGTAGGATCCGTTCATTATAGCATACCCCACTGTACACTGAAGTGTTTGGCAACTCTCCCAGGCCATGCTCATGTAAATAAAATGAAGATGTTTAATAACCCGAGAAATTAATCAATAATAATGTATGATAATTTGGGTGAAAAAACAGTAATTCTCATCTGGAAATCTGGGCCTGGCAATACTGCCCTCAGTGCAAAGGCGACATGGCATCAAAACAGTTATATCCTTTGAGTGCATGCCCCCAGGTCACCATAGTGCTCATGATTTAGGGGGGGGGGGGGTTTGAAGGGTGGAGGGGCCCCCAAAAGACTATTAAATATTATGAATTGGCAAAAAAATCAAATCAACCAGGTCCTACTTAACCTTACTCCATTGCTAATGTACAATTCTGTATTACTGTAACATCAATCCTGGTGAACAAAAGATTGCTGACAACCTCTTTTGGCGACTTCACCCAAGAGTCTTACAAGTTTCAGGACAATTTTAATTATGTTTCAGTTTTGCTTCTGAGTTACAGCACCTGATTCTGGCAACACTCTTTAACACAATACATCTTTGCTATTGCAGTATGTCTTACCATAAAAAACACAGAATTAATTACTAACTTAAAATTTACAAACACTGTAGGTAACTATTAACAACCCACTATATCAACAACTGTGATAAGTTTGAAAGAGTTAAATTTCAACAGGCTGGTACTGTATTACATTCAACTTTCTGAAATCAAAAGTATTTATTTGAAGGTTTCATACTCTAAAAAGAAAAAAGTGCACCAAATTTTAATAAGATTTGATTTACACCATTTCCAAGATCTATTAATAATTTATAACACCTGAAATGTTAATAACAAAATAAACAAGTCGCCACAGGCAAGATTATACAGTACTTACATCAATTACCATGACGCTGGTTTTAGAGTCACGCCTTGATACTGCTTTTTTTAATGCATCTTTAGTAGCTTGTAAGAGACCTGATGGAGAACTTGGTGCTGGAGGGGATGATGGAGGTGAGGGCATTGGTGAGGGAGTAAAGGGTCGATCATAACCTGAACTGAAGGAGCCTAAGGAAATCGGAGCAAGAGAAACCCCTCGGCGCACTATGGGGATTGGAGCAGTCATGGTGTGGTTTTTGTTGACCCTGAAAAAAAATATATGATTAGTAACTGCAGTTCCTTATGCATTTATACAGGATGTTCCATAAAGATGTACATTATATTGCAGGGTGTATTCCCGAGACAATTCTAGGCCACAATGTATATATATACTGTACAGTACAGTTTAACAAGTTGCTGAAATCCGAATACAGTACTGTAGTTTGCTAGCTACAGCACTTGAACGATATACAGGTAATGATAGTGAGATTGGAGTGATACAGATGGAGAGTTTTTTGTAATTTTATGTTTGTAGCTCTACACAACGTGATACAGAGGCAGAAAGAGGCAATTATGAACATTTACTATATTAACACAACTGTATCACATTGTGTAGAGCTACATACATAAAATTACACAAAACTCTCAGGCTGTATCACTCCAATCTCACTATCATTACCTGTACATTTTACATGTGTTGCAGCTAGCAAACTATTCGGATTTTGAAAATTTGTTATACACTCTGCATTAAATGTACATCTTTGAGAATCACCCTGTATACTGTATATTGAAAAAAGATCAGTACAGTACAATGAAAAAGATAAAATCCAGGCTGTGCAGATTAGTAGTGACAGGCAGCCTGAACATACCCAGACTAGGGACCGGACAAGTGATTTGCACAGACATGAGTAATCAGTGAAATAATACACACACTAAATGTGAATGTTTTGAGGTGTTTATTTACCTTTTCCGATAAAAAATTCCACGCAAGCAAATTTCCTCAAAAAATTTGTCAGGGCAAGTAAAAAAATATATATATCCAGGCAAATAAGTTTAAGTCACTTATCCAGGACAAGTACTTGTTCCACATAATCTGCACAGCCTGATAAAATCTAACTTTTAATTGAACAAAATCAGACAAAACCCTAACCTAATCTAATGATCGTATGACAGCTTTGACTATTTTACATTACTTTTAGTTGGTCTGTGTCATTTGACTTCATACATGGTTTATCCTGGTAGCATCCAACACAGCTGTAAACAAACAACACCTTCAGGAAATATGGTGATATCTTTCTCCTATTTATTCTCTACACAGGGTACTTAATACAACAAACTTGGTAATTGTCCAGATTCTTACTAAATTACTCTATGCACAATATGAGATCATTTTCATGTATGCAAGTAATACACCAATTACCAGTGTACATATGTATCTTTTGAGAAATTGTTAACAGATGAGCTAAAATGGAATGATCAAAGATGGTACTGCTCACTGAAGCACAATGGCCCAGTTTGCGTACACAACAGAGGTTTTGGCTTTGTGTGTTCATCATGTTTCTGCAAAGAGAAGAAAACTACCACAGTACTATACCAGATTTAAGCAACACCAAAACACTGAAGACTGCCGAACTTTAGTCTGTTTCCGCTAAAATCAGCCAGTTGAGAGACAGTTTCTGCTCCAACAACTTTTGACATGGTAATGTAACTTCTGATGAGATTTAAAATGCTTACCCTTTGAACCTGTTATTAAGCAGAAATAACAATAGTGATGAGATATATCCTTTGCTTTTTTAAAAGCCTTTTTAAACATTAATTCAGGCAGACAACCTAGAGTTTCAACTTTCTCCCAAATTGAGTAACATAATCTCTCCCATCAGTCTCACTAGATCAAAGTTTACAGCCAGTGCAAATAAATAGTGTGTATAGTTGTAGTTTCAGAACTATAATTACACCAGAAAAAGGCAAATGCTTTATAAATAAAGAAATCAACACTTATAGAGAAAATGAAGATCTAATCCATGACTCAAAACTTATTGCATTTTTGTTTGTTTCTGTCACATCACCAGAAACCACCCACCGTACATACAGTAATTAACTGAAGACCGTCAGAAGACTGGTTTAATATTAGTCCATTGGCTGTCCGCAGGTTCCCGCCATGTTTACCTGAGGTTATACTCCTCACTTAAAGTAAGTTGTCTCTTCATTTCCTCCTCCTTGTAAGTTAGGTTAGGTTGGTTGGTTCTTTTGGTATGAGAATAGGTTTTTTGGGGGGGGTTTGTGTGTGTGTTTTACTCAAATCTGACCTCTATTTTTGTGCAAATTAAGTTTCTGTTAAAAGTGAAAATTTATTTTTATTTGCAAAAACCACTAATTTGCACAAGAAATGAGGGTCAGATTTGAGCAGAACACCGAAAAACGTCAAAAAACCTATTCTCAAACCAAAACCTGAGAACTGCCAATGGACGAATATTTACCGAAGAATGGACACACTGTATTATTAAGAAAAATGGAAATGAATTCTAGAGAGCACTAATAATATTCTGACAAAGTGGACAGACATCTACTCCATAAAATCGTCATTCAATTTCACACTGGTTCATGTACAAAGGCACAAGAAAAAAGTATATAATCACTTAATTTTACCAAGAATTGCACCATGAAAGTCCTTAAAAGCTTCTCTCAGTGAATTTTTACAAGTGGACAACCAGGGATTTTTTTTGAGCAATGTGTTTCTCCGACGGTTTTGACAATGTTAAGATACTTTTATTGGTAAAGGTGTATAAGAGGCTGACCACCAGAAGGAATTGTCCGAATTGGTTTAATTTTTTTCTTCGCACTTATATCATGATATTTAACACAAAATTGGAAATGACAATGCACAGAACCTAATGGAATCTAACCTAACATACCCAACCTATGGTTTGTTAGGTCAGGTTCTATTAGGTTCTTTGCATTATCTTGTTAATTTTTGTGTTATTGAGGTTGATATACATCAGCAATGGCGAGGAGGAATACGTGGAAGCGTTCACCATCATTTAGGAAACGTCACTTGAAAAGGGATTCAGTGAGATCAACAACAAAAATGGCGCTGGGAAAAGAATTGTGAAGTGGGATAGTGTGAATATAAAATTCCAAAAAGATACTTAAAATCATAATAGAAAGTTGTCATTTCTTTTAATATACTTCAAATCATCAAAACAATAAGTATGGCAAAAATCAAGAAAATCAACAAACAACTTCTGGTGGTCACCATCTTCTACACCTTTACCCTTTTCTTCTATGACGTTTCCCTCGCAAATGACTTGAAATTACTTAACCTAACCTCCTAACTGAGGGGCTCTGCCCCCTGGATCCCCTGGTATATTTAAGTCATTTGCCAGAGAAACGTTTAAGAAGAAAAGTGTCTTTACTTTGTCAAAACCATCTGAAAAACACAATGCTCAACAAAAAAATCCATTGTTGTCCACTTGTAAAAATTTACCCTTCTCTCCACTGGGATCCTTGTGGGAATAAGAAAAATCATTTACATCAAGTTATTTTTAAGAAACTACAGCAATCTCACATTTTTTACCAATCTGTAAACCCAAACCTTTCAGACAAGATCCTTGGGGTCGAGCCGGCCAGGTATTCAGTGAGCTGCCGTTTTTGAATTGTTGATCCACCAGCCACCCACAACGCAGACCTCTCCACGCGCCGCCCATCTAAATATAACTTTCTGAGGGTTAAAAGGGCCTCTCTAACGGTGGCATTACATGGATACATTCTTTGTCTAAAATCAACTTTGTAAAGCAGGTCTGGCTACGCTGGTTGTGGTTCTCCATGCCAAGACCAGCTGTTTATGTTGTTTATATAGATCAGCTGATTGTGTGGTGCGAACCTAAACAAGAATCTCTACGCTATCTTAAAGTTTTATTGCCTAATTTTTTATGCAAACATAATAGTTTATCTATTTAGAAATAAAAAAGCTATTATCTGGTAAGGAGTAATAGCCGTGATTTACAAATGTGAAAACATCATGAAATAAAACCCCAAACAAGGAAAATATAATAATTTATCTAATTAACGTCGCCCTCGGCCATTTTTGCGATAAACCCTGGTGTCGATAAATGAGTTTTCTATTTTCATAATTCATAATTTCCTGCTTTGACTGGTAAAGGAAGCTCAACAACTGACAAGTTTAATCCTCCCATTTCTCATTATGAGTTTATTTAGTAAAATCGGCATACAAGTTCACATTAGCAATAGGCAAGAACAGTAATAAAATAAGTTTACTGATTCAGAAAGTATTTAAAGAGTGCGGATATACTGTACAGTGTAGATATACAATGAATGGTACTCAGGAAGTTGATTCTATCAAGGATAACCCAGAAGAAGCCATCATCAGCTTATTTCTTTTAATGATTCCCAGAGTTCTTGTATTAAAATACCCACAGGAATCATACATAAGTTCATAGGAAAATAAGGAGTCTGCAATAGGCCGGTTGGCCTGTGCATGGCAGCTCCTTTTGAGAGTTACTACCACTCTCTATCATCCATGAATCTATCTAGCCTCCTTTTAAAACTTTCCAGCATTCCAGCACTTATTACAAAGTTGCTAGGGTTGCTCCACTCATCTACCACCCTATTTGTGAACCAGTTTCTTCCTATCTCCCTCCTAAACCTAAACTTATCCAACTTAAATCCGTTGCTACGAGTCCTATCCTGCTCGGATATTATAAGAACTTTATCTATATCTCCTTTATTGATTCCTTTCACCCACTTAAATACTTCTATCATATCTCCCCGCACTCTTTGTCTTTCTTGGGAATGCAAGTTTAGTTTGTTTAACCTATCCTGATATGGAAGGTTTCTAAGTCCCGGAATCATTTTCGTCATTCTTCGCTGCACCAGAACTGAACCGCATAATCGAGGTGCGGCCTGACTAGCGCAAGATATAGTTGCAATAAGACCTCTGCACTCTTATTACTTACACCTGTGCAAGGTCAAGCGCAAAAGCTTTTACAACGCCCATCTGGGAAGCATACGTAGTTCATGCTTGCCTTTATGACTCATGCTTTTTTTTATTGGGCACCCCCCCCCCCCGCTACATCCTTGTGTGTAAGGGCGTAAAAGCCTGAAGGGTCATGGGTTTTGTCAGCAAGTTACATAAAGTGACAGAATGATGAGTGTCTGGGGGAAAATTCCCTGTACAATTTATCTGTTTATGGCAAAGCGTGGCAGGTCCCTAATAATATCAAATGCCAGGCCTGTCACTGGGAGGAGGGATATCTGGTCAGGGAGGGAAGAGGTGTTGGTAACGGCTGGGGACCTGTAGGAGGAGGTCATAGGGCAAGTGAGGATGTAGTGAGAGAGGGTGTGAGAGTCGGGTTGACCACAAAGTTTACAAAAAGTGCGGCCAGGCTCAGGGTTGCCAATGTACTAGGCGTGGCGAAGTACAGTGGGGGTGGAGGTGACATGGTGAGGTGGGACAGGTACAGTAGGGGTGGAGGGAGGCACATAGGCATTGACAACATTGAGGGACATACCTTTTAGTGTGATTGTGATGGCGTGTGCGTCGACATGCCGGTGGGGTACGGGTAGCCGGGAATGGTGTCCTCAGGTCCAATAGGTAGCCCTGGTGGAGGCACAGACACAGTAGCGGGCGCTGCTTGTGGTGAGTGGAGGACAGGTTGAGGCACCACGTGTGACGTATCGTGAAGATGAGGCAGGACTTCGCTCGAGGGCAGCAGGACACACCAGGGAAGGCCCGGTAGGCGCTACACCAGTAGTGAAGGCCGCCGGCGGTGGAGTAGGCCGTGAGCAGGGGGGGGGCTCACAGGGGGACTACCAGCTTGTGTCAAACCAGAAGAGAGGAGTGACTGGGTGGCAACAGAGGGCAAGAGTAGGTTGGAGATGGTGGTCCAGAGTGTAGCGAAGAATTTTTCAATACGGTTTGTAAATTATTGGAAGAGAGATATGATCTGCGTCATTTCACTGGAGGGGGGTTGTGGGGGGGTGGGGGCACCGGAGGGAGCACAAGGCCTGACAGCGTTACAGTAGAGACGGGGAGGAGACCCAGTAATAGTTGAATTGAATTGAATTGAATTTAAACAGTCTATTTAGCCAAAAAAACACAGATACAGAGTGGATAATATTAACATGGCTGAGCCAGTTGAGAACCTGAGCTCTCTTTGAGGCACCTGATATATACTATACATTTATCTCAAGGAAGTATCATGTAACATTTAGTATCATCTGGAATAGTACAATAGCATGGTGGTAATAAGAACATCTCATAATGTTATAACGGTTATCACTTCAATATTTATATATTTTTTTAGTTTATTTTTTTTTATATATATACATAAATTACAGTGGAATTGAAAAAAAACAAGTATAAAGGGGGAGCAGTACAACAAGGGTTGTACAGTAATAAGGTTGAACAAGAGGACAGAGCTGTCAGGATTATGTCTAGTTGGCAATTCAATAATATTGTACTGTACAATATTATGGTGTGTTTACATGAACTGTCACGGCCTTATTTATGACACTCCTTACCGGCCTCCAGAGCCCAGACCCTATGACCACAAGGCCAGGGGTCCCAGCACATGTAACAAGAAACTCACTGTTCCTTTCTACGGTCGATTTCCTCCCCCTCCCCCTCCCCTTGATTAGTAACCGTCATTCCCTTCCCTCGCCATGTGGCCTGTCCCGTGGGTGACTACCCCTCTTCTCTCTGTTAAAATAATAAATACGTACAATTTCCTGATAAATACAATTCATTCGTGTTATTATTTTACCAAATGAATGTTGGGACTCCCGTACTAACGTTCACAGTTTTATGCAATCCCTTATCAACATTTATGTAAACATGTATGATGACTTTGCTGAATTAGCGTCCTGTATGGCAGTGGAAAGTGACATTACCCACATGAATCTGACCGACGTATATGTATGTATGTGTGCGTGTGTGCATGTATATGTGCATGTACGTGTATATGTGTATGTATATACGTATATGTATGTATATGTGTGTGTGTGTGTTTACATATATGTATATGTACTGTCAATGAATATGATGCAACTCTTTGTGTACAACCTCTGTCCTGCATGGCAGTGAACAGTGACATTACCCATATGAATCTGACCTATATACATTTATAGTTGTTAATGAATATGATGTATTTCTTTGTGTGTGAACCTCTGTCCTGCGTGACAGTGAGAAGTGATACCACCCTCAGTGTCAAGACCTGACTGAATTACTCAGAATAGGCAAACTGTACTACAAGCTCTGCCAATAAATTTGTTAAACAAAAAGTTATTTACCACTATACAACCTAGGTATTTACAAACACAATAAAATGCCACATGCATCATGTGCCAATTAGTTTTAGTTTAACAAATTTATTGACAAAGCTTGGAGTACAGTTTGCCTATTCTGAGTAATTTTTTTTATTTATTCTGAGTAATTCAGTCAGGTCTTGACACTGAGGGTGGTATCACTTCTCACTGCCACGCAGGACAGAAGTTCATACACAAAGAAATACACCATATTCATTAACAGTATATATATATATATATATATATATATATATATATATATATATATATATATATATATATATATATATATATATATATACCAGGTATAATGTTACAGCCTGTACTCACCCCTGAAGATGTGAATTGCTAATGAAAGCGCTTGGGAACTGTGTTTTTCTTTCCTTGTGGTTATCAGCATACCTAGATCACGCGCACCTACAGTGATTTACTTGCATATATATATATATATATATATATATATATATATATATATATATATATATATATATATATATATATATATATATATATATATATACATGATGAGTAAGATCTCACAAGAGAAGATTTAGTAATAAGTTGGAAGTATAGACTATAGAGAGTAGGAATGTAAAGATGGGAAACTTGATAGCGTGGCCGGAATGTTATTTACTGTGTCAACACACTTATCTTCTACGTCAATACACATATCTATTCTTCTCAAGGGACAACTTGTTAAACACCTCTTCGATACAACTATTTATTAATTCACTCGATGACATGGACACGTTAATATCATTATTATATCGGGGTACTACACATTAAGTTACGTTACTCGACCCGTGACTGTGCGAGTGACCAGAATTACCTCTCATTGACCAACCTCTCTGAATGATAGTCGTATGAGAATCACGAATGGAATGAGAATGAACGTCGGCGGGTCACTAAACTGGTTAGATCTGGGCAGCGTGTTCAGTTGTGGTCATGCCCAGGTGTCTTTGTCAGGTGAGGTCACCCGCTAATTCAGGTAATTAGCGGACGAGGTCACGTCCCTAGGGTCTTGGGATGTGTTCACCTGGTATGTGGTGGTACCACGAGGTCTGTAGTGTACTCGCTGTTATATGTATTTCTCCTTAGTCTGTACTCACCCCTGAAGATGTGAATTACACGAAAGCGCTTGGGAACTTCGTGATGTCACTGTTCAGTGTTCACTGCCATGCAGGACAGAGGTTCGTACACAAAGAAATACACCATATTCATTGACAGTATATACAGGTCAGATTCATGTGCCAAGGAGTAGTTTGGTGTAACTATGTGGTGTACCTGTGTCCTGAATGTCCAGATGTACCGCGGTGACCTGTTTTGAATGCCCAGGTGTACCGTGGTATACCTGCGTCCTGAATGACCAGGTGTACCGTGGTGTGTACCTTTGTCCTGAGTGCCCAGTTGCACCGTGGTGTACCTGTGTCCTGAATGCCAGGGTGTACCGTTGTCTTGAATGCCCAGGTTTACTTGTGTCCTGAAAGCTCAGGTGCATCTGTGTCCTGAATGCCCAGGTGTACCTATTCTGAATGATCAGGTGTACCGTAGTGCACCTGTGTCCTGAATTCCAAGGTGTACCGTGGTGTACCTGTCCTTAATGCCCAGGCGTACCGTGGTGTACCTGTCCTTAATGCCCAGGTGTACCGTGGTGTACCTGTCCTTAATGCCCAGGTGTACCGTGGTTTACCTGTTTCCTGAATGCATAGGTGTACCTGTATCCTGATTTGTCCAGGTGAACCCAGGTATTGGTGGGTGGGAGAGAAACACAGGGTTGAGCTGGCTTTATTACTCTAACGTTTTGGGCTACACAGAGCCCATCTCCTCTCTGAAGACAAGCTCTGTGTAGCCCGAAAGACACGGGAATAAAAAAGAGCCAGCTTTACCCTGTTCCCTCCCACCAATCAAATCCACTTGTCGTCATGGATCGGTCGTGGATCGTATATCATTTTAGACCCCAGCCGCAATTAAGGTACACAGTGGCCAAAGATTTGATGTACAGTAGGTGGTCGTGAATGCGTGCATAATTGATAAAGTATTATGCATTAATTTATATGTATTACACATTATGCACGAATTCACGATGCCACTAGTATCGGCGAAACGCTGATATCTTCATTATCAACAATAATTGAAGTGGTAATCTGACCCAGACAATACATTCGAAGCAACACGTCGTACAAATTATGATACACACACACTAATTACCCACCGCCTCATAGCATGATGGCGACAGGTATCAGACACGTCTGGAAAATGAGTGCGCATACGTATGAACACAGAAAGAACTTGTCCTCCCTCACCATCCCGCGATACGTTCCCACTATGTTCGTGCCAAAACCTCGGCCAGTTTTCCCTTAAAAAGGGAAATTTCCCTGTACCTGGCACACTGCGGCATCCTAAGGTGTTCACAGTTCATCATATGGGATTCATGATGATTGGAGGTTCAGTTCGTCTTTCTTGAAATGGGGTTCAATCAATCTAATGTCTTCGCCAGTGAGGTTTTTATCTTGATTTTCACTTCCATATTGATAGGTCGAGGTTCGGTTTATCTGTAATTGCTGTGTCAAAACGTATCTTGCCCAAGTAAAGTTAATAATAGCATTTGTTTGTATTGTTGACGACATGTGTGTTTTGACATTTATTTCACTTGGAGCAGAATATATTTAATTAATACATCCTCTTTATCATTAGTGATGTTTAAAGAAGAGGTAAAAAAAACGTGTTGATATTGTGGGGTAATCAATAGAGCAGGCACTGTCATATTACTAGTATCTAATTATGTTATCAATCAACTGTTATTGCACGGATTAGGTATTAAAAAAGATACTGGTATTTATATCGGTGTAAGGAGAGAGGTTGACGACATGAGTACCGCCTAAGCGGCTATCGAAGATAAGTGTGACGAAGACGATAAAAATGAAAAAGTCCTTTACATCTTAATCATTGGTGGAATTTTATTTCCTTTGTATTTGAATTTTTTTTTATAAATGCAACTAAATTCAAAAGAATGTGCCAAATTAAAAAAAATAATAATTATAATATTGAGAACTGAAGAAATGAAGGCCATGAGAGTAAATATGGCAACACGTTTGTGTTGGATGCCAGGTCTATATCACATTCTGCAAAGATAACTCAACATGTTATCATATTTAACATATCATCATAATCCAAATGGGAAAATAAAATTAGTATAAATCTTGAGACAGTTTTAACAGAAATATGAGGACCTGTTTGAGTTATGGTATATGTAGGAGGTGGTTTGTGGTTGTGAGGTGTGGCATCAAAGATGTCGCGTCCGACTGCCAAGCTTGATCCGTCCTGGCCTGGACATGTTCAGTGTGGCGGTACGTATGGAGGAAAGTGGGTGAACAATCATTATCCGCAGGCGCAGTGTTTCACTGAATCGTCCACTGAGAGAAGAACATCACTCATGCTCGCCACACTGTCCGGAAGCTAACAAGACGCTCCTTAGCAACCACTGTAAGCTGTCATAACACTAACAGCTACCATGGCGAGGTTGGAGGTATGTGATTTCATTAGTATTTCGTCATATTACTCAAGGTAGTGAAACTTACCTTTACAGGAATAATTATATAATTTACTGCATGTCTAGCAAAGTGTCGAGGATAAATTATCGTTTCGGCCATCCACCTCTTTGGAAGTTGTTCGAAACACATTAAAAACTATCGGAAAAACATAATTTCAACCTAACCTAAACTTAGTCCTAAAATTCGCTGGATGACATAAACGATAATAATACTGTTGGGTTTATATTTTTTATCTTTTAGCTTCATCATCTATTGGACAAATGAACAAGCCAGGGTAATTATTCATTTTTTGCCCATCCTCCTCGTTTGAGATAGGAAATCGTTTTTCTTGTGCATTTTGGTCAAATATTACATGTCAAGGGTTCGAGCCTCGGCTCGGACACGTGAGAAGGGCGTTTATCCAAAGTGACTCTACCAACCGACTAATAAATAGTTAAGTGGCGAAAATAAAAAAAGAAAAGAAAAGAAACGTGGTTAATATTTAAAAGTTGCCTACACTTACTTATATTATGTCTTATATGGGGAGAAAGAGAAGAACAAAATATTTATTCCATAACCTTTCCTCGGAAGTTTATATTTTTTGAATACAGTATTTTATTGTTTTATCCTCTTCACTGATCGGCTCGTTAGCCGCTTGGGCGGTTGGTCACGTCTCTGTTACCCACAATATTAGTTGTTGAAAGCAAAGACTATAATAAGCTGGTTCAAAGTGTGCAGGACTTCGAGGTTGAGGGAAATGTGGAGTAAAATACTTAAAATAACACCAAACAAACGATTCATTGAAATTTCTGAATGCACCGACCCCTCGTCTGAATGCACCCCATGTCTAGACCCAATGCACCATCTTCCTAGACTTAATTCACCACTCCCTAATCTAAATGCACCACTCCTGATGGTCTCAATGTACCATCTAAGATAGAAAAAATATATTGAAAGTCTCAAAGACAATGACAAAGTCTTATCTGAAAATTTAAATGGTACACAAAGCCATATGACACTTTTGAAATCAAAGAAAAGGGAAATGTTTTGTTTTTTAGTTATCAAATAATATATTTTTTTAAATATAAAGAGTAATATTATATACAAGTTATGACTATTGAATGAGAACATGAAATGCCAAAACTCGTTTGTTGGTCGAAACCACAAATTGACAGTATTTTGTATTTGCAAACAAATGAATACATTCTAACTATAAAATAATAACACTTACCGTACTAATTATAAAAGTAAAATATACTTCTAGTAATATTGTAGTGCATTCAGACTAGGGTGGTGGTGCATTTAAGGCATTTATTGTAAGGCATTTTAAGATCCACAGAATAGTTAATGACTGTAAGTACCGCGTCTTTGGAATAACTGTTGTAGAACACAGTCTTCAGAAAACAATAAGATTAGAACTGTTATATGGACAATACGAAGAAAAAAATATATACGTGGACAAGATAAATCATGATAAAATCACACGGGAAAAGGGAAACAACGGAAACCATGTTTTTAAGGTCACCCTGTATATTTAAGCCTCTCTCTGTCCATGTAATCCAGTTGCCTCTGAAGATGTCTTGAATAAAGACGAAAGCTAAGGTGCTCCGTTGTTTCCATTTTCCCGTGTGATTTTATCAAGATATATATATATATATATATATATATATATATATATATATATATATATATATATATATATATATATATATATATATATATATATATATATATATACACACACACACACACACACACACACACACACACAGTGAACCCTCACTTTACGCGGTCAATTGAACCCACGGCGGCCCGCGTAAAGTGAACAACATAACATATGGGATTAAAGAGACCGGGCCGACCCCCAAACTCCACTTTTTCAGACACAATACCTACATTGTAGTAAAAATAACTTCTTAATTTTATAATGGTATGCACACACAATTAATAATTAAGAGAAATATCAATAATATTAGGTTTTTTAACACTTACATTAGTAGAAAAGATGGCTGGGCACACGGGGATAGGGGGTTGGTTCCGAGGCAGAGGGCAGATTATTGGCCCTCACCTGTATCACTTGTATCAATTGTATCACTATCCACCACAGAGGCTTGCAGGGCCACTTTGTCAAACCCCTCAAAGTCCATTTAAGTCCATATCCTCACTATCATTATCACTATCACTGACTTGGGCCGGCTGTGGTGGGTGGCGGGTGAAGTACTCTGTAATGTTTTGATGACTGGGCGACCTTGTGCGCACCCTGCTCGCTCCGCTTTCCGCGTAAAAGGGTACACACACACCGCGGAAAGTGAGCACTCCGGTTTTTGCAGGGTACCGCGTAAACGTGGAAACATGTAAAGTGGGACCGCGTAAAGCAAGGGTTGACTGTGTGTATATATATATATATATATATATATTCATTACATGAATTTTCGTATCTCGAATAAAAGAACTTAGTGAAAAGATAGGGTTCAGTTCCCCAATGTCAAAATTACCCCAATATCATACACCAGCAGCATAAATCGGTTCACAAACAAGAACATAACCTGCCTAACTAATGATAAAAGTACAAAACTACTCTAAATAACTACCCGACACATGAAAAAAATACTGTTTAACTTTGGTATAATACCTTATGGGAGGGCAGTTTGGGCTCACCACCATAATGGAAGTGCTGAGTAAGGGTTGTCCACCTCATCGCTGCTGTCTGCCAAGGACACTACAGTCCTCAGTATTCTTATAAATGTGGCCACAGTAGAAGCAGCTAGACCAAGATCTTTCCCAATTTTGGTAGGGCCATCATCACATTCATGATACTTAATTTCTTCCAGCTTTGTCTCAAAAGGCATTGCCTTTCGTGGTTTCTTCGGTGTAGTGCGGGTACCCGAAGATTCAGCAGAAACGCTTGGATGCCATAACAAAAGGATAAATACACACGGGTGAAGAGATCACTTCATACACACAACGAATGGCGGAAGGAAAGATGCGGTCTTGTGGGATATGCGGGCTTTATGATCAGTGAATGAGAATGCGTCTGTGCACATCTCTCCCCAAGATGGCTACAGCAGCTGGTTCCCAGCACGTGAAATTTTAATTTTTGCCCGAACCCAAATTCTTGTAAGTGGGGGAAGCTTTCACATTTCAAAATAGTGGTGTCAATTTAGGAAGCGGATGCCGCCTCCATCCATTCAATCTCCTTGAGGTTCATATTGTGCATTTTTAATTAATTTTTTCCAACAGTGCATCCAGAGCCTTGTCTGATTATATAATATTACAGGTACTAGTCTTTACAATACAATTGAACTTTTGGCTTTACAGTATAACTGTTTCTGACTTTTATTGCTAACAGAAGTTAGTCACCACCCAGATAACATACTCCCCTACTAGTGGTGTTACTGAAGCATTGGAATTGGGTGTACTGGTCAGGACATTTCTTGGAACACAGGTTTGTAGATAATGTTCAGTTCCCCATAGGTATATTGTTCCACCTCTCGGTGACCTTTCTAAACATGTAGCAATGTCGGAATCACTTTATGAATGAATCGGTAATGTGAGGAGAGTTCAATTGTTGGCCACTGAGGGGTGGACATAATGTATCTTGTAATATTACTCTTTATTATTCTCCAGAGTTTATTTTAAAGTTTGCTAACATGGATGGACACACAAACACACCCACACACTTCTGTCTTATACTGTATCATTAATACATATAGATCAGACTTTATTTTTTGTGTCTTCCAGTGAATGCTAAATATATACAATTCATGTACAGTACTGTATTTGAATACAATATTAAAATTTTATCTTGTGAAGAATAGGGTATTAAAGCATGAAAACCATAGGGATGATACACCTAAAGGCAATTATCACTGGAACACAATAAGGTTACAAAAGTTTTTTGTCAAAATTCTTGATACAGTACCGGTATACTGTATTTTGCTTTATTTTACATACTGTATTTATATTACCGTTTTTGTGGCCTATGAAACCTTGCAAGAGACCTATGTAATGTACCACAACATATCTTGCAGTATCTTGAGGCATGCAGAACTTGACAGTTTTGGGGTCCTATCACAAAGGACACTGTACAGCCTCAAATAACCATTGTATTGCATCCTTTTCACAACATTGAAATATCTGGTCAATTGGAAGACTTTACAGCTGAGTTTTATGGCCTCGGGTTAGAACTTTTAAGGAGATTCTGATTCCCCCCTCCTGTATTCCATTCCATTATAGTAAACAATCAGAAAAGTTAGTCATCATATCCTAACAATAAAGGACTTTTGATAAACAATCAGAAGTGCTGGATTAATTTCTTAATAATAAAAGTCTGTCCATATACTGTATGGTAGATTTGTGTCTATACAATACCTTGTTCCTTCTCAAATCTGCTAACCCCCTTTGCCACTGGTCAGCTTACTGTTTGGTTGGGCAGTTGGTCTATTTTCTGCTATGCACTGTTGGCAAGTACAGGAAACCCTCTATAACTCGGCACATATGGGGTTCTGGCCTTGCCGAGTTATCCCAAATTCCGACTTATTGGGTCAGTCCCCCAACAAAAATACAACACAAAATTATCAATCCACATATGTGTACAGTGGTCCCTCGGTTAACGAACTCAATTCGTTCCAGAGGGTCTTTTCGTTAACCAAAAATTTCGCTACCGAAACCATTGTTTCAATGGGATTTTGGGTAATTGGTTCCAGCTCACAGAAAATTACATACCGGTACAAAGTAAAAAAAAAAATGCAATAAAGTACACTTACTTTGAGGTGTGTATGTAGAAGGTTCCTGGTTGATGATGATGATGTGAATTTGAAGTGGGAGGTGGAGGAGGAGAAGAGAAGGAAGTGGGGATGGAAGAGAAATCACCCCATGATTGATGCCGTCATTTCACCAATAAAATTTTAAGTTCACTAAGTGTAATTCAAGATTATTTTCTTAAAATCAACACTGCACTGCACTATATATATAGTGTATTCAAGATGTTGAATAAATTTCAGAATGACCAATAATTGTACTGTCAAAATGTGAAAATAGTTTATGTTCAAGAGAGCCACAAGCAAGATGTTACCTCCACTGAACCGAGACACAAACTGACGCCTTGGTGGGTGAGTGAAGTGGCTGATGGGCGCACCAAAAACTAACTCCCTGTACTGCAATTATGTTAAATAAGTGTTAAAATTACTAATAATTTTAATATAAAACTTGGAAAAACATTTAATAGCACAACCTTCTTGATATTTACTCAAATGGGAACGAATTTAAGCCCTAGACGATTACTGTATTGGCAGACTAATCTACCAGCTGGTGAGCAAGCGAAAACATGTCGACATGTTTTCTTAAGAATTTCGTTAACCGAATTTTTGTTCGTTAACCGAATTGAATATTCTTATGGAAGGTAATTCATTAACCGAATTTTCGTTAACCAAGGCATTCGTTAACCAAGGGACCACTGTACATGTACAGTGACCCCTCCGTTAACGAACTCAATCCGTTCCAGAAGGTCGTTCGTTAACCGAAACCATTGTTTCAATGGGTTTTTGGGTAATTGGTTCCAGCTCACCGAAAATTTCCTAAATTCAACAAAAATGGTAGTAAAGTTCACTTACTTTGAGGTGTGTATGTAGAAGGCTTCTGGATGATGATGATGATGATGGGATTTAGAATGGGGGTGGAGGAGAAGGAAGAAGAGAAGGCATTGGGGTGGAAGAGAAGTCACCCCATGGTGCCATTTCACCCATAAAATTTTAGCTCTCTTGGTGTAATTCAAGATTATTTTCTTTAAATCAACACTGCACTGCATTATATATTGTCAATATGTAAAATATATTTCAAAATGACCAATAATTTGCTTGGAAACACAGAAAAAAGCATTTAGTTGAAGAGTCTCAAGCAAGATGTTACCTCCAGTGAAAACAGAGAGAGACTAACTCCTGTTTGCTGTGTTAAGAGGCTGGATGCCGCGCATTAAACTAGTCACTTTACCTTCAATTATGTTCAATAATTGTTAAAATGACTAAAAAATTGAATATTAAACTTTTAAAATTATTGAATAGTATAAACTTCTTGATATTTACTAAAATAGTAAGGAATTTAAGCCCTAGAACCGATTAATGTATTGGCGGACTGATACTAAAGCTGGTTGCCCGGTCAGTGCAAGCGAAAACATGTTGAGGTCGGTTCGTAAGAACTTCGTTAACCTAATTTTTTTTCGTTAACCGAATTGAAGATCCTTATGGAAGGCAGTTCGTTAATCGAAATTACGTTAACCGAGGTGTTCGTTAAACGAGGGGTCACTAATTACTAAATTTAAAAAAGTAACACTTACTACCACTGCAGGTGAAGAATAAAGCATCAGAGGTGATGCAGGTGGCCAGATATGACGAGATTTTCTCAGATATTTTTTATACAGTACTGTGTCTCGGCATTTCCCGAGTTATACTAATACAGTCCGAGACCATATTCATGCCAAGTCATATGAAATCCGAGTTATCAAATGCCGAGTTATTGAGGGTTTACTGTATGTACTGGACATATACAGGCTCTTGAGTGCATCTGAAAATGTGCCAGTGTACATGGTAATACAGGTTGTACCTCTCTAGTCCGGCATTCTGTGGTCCGGAAACTCCCGTGGTCCGGAACGATTTTAGTTTGTCCAATAGGTAGATAGGCAGCTTTTTTTTTTCTTTTTTTTTTTTTACTTCTCTGAATTATTATTATTATTACAGGAGTATTAAATTTTTGCCCCTCAGGCCCCAATGTGGGTCAGTGACCTATGCCCGGGTGGGCTAATCCCCTTAAAAAAAAAAAAAGCCGCGGGAAATTAAGGTTTGTTTACATCCGGCAGTTCGGCTGCTCTCTCTCTCTGCTTGTCTATACAGAGTACAACATTTAACCCTTCAATATATATGAGCAGTAAATAAGTGTTGCTTTCATATTCTTATGTAGAGTAATGACGATATATTTTCACATGTGCGCACTTACATACGAGCAGTCTCACTTTTTTTTTTACCATTAATGGTTAGCTACTTATATTGTTCCATTTATTAACATTAAATAACATTACAGGTACTTCAAGCAACCATATTCATTTTTTACATTAATTTTACTACAGCTAAACTCAGGGTCTTATTTTCTTCAGTTTTATATGTAGAACCAATCAGTCACTGGTTTCGTAAGCTTTAACATAAACAATGCCGGCAGCCGTCTCGTCTCCTCTAATATTCCACGTATTATTAATAAATTGTATTGTTAATTTTGCACACACGTACATTAATTCAATAAAAACAAATTCAGAAACATTAATTAAAATATATATGAACAGTAAATAAGTGTTGCTTTCATATTCTTATGTAAAGTAATGACGATATGTTTTCACGTGTGCGCATGCGCACTTACATATGCGATCTCTCTTTTTTCTTTACCATTATCGTTAGCTACTTCTATTGTTCCATTTATTAACATTAAATAACATTACTTAAAACAACCATATTAATTTTACTACAGCTACAACCAAGGTCTTATTTTCTTCAGTTTTATATGTAGAACCAGTCAGTCACTGGTTTTGTAATCAACGAAAACAATGTTGTGTCATTTCCTCGTGTGTTTTAATATTCTACGTATTATTAATGAATTTTATTGCTCATTTTGCACACATAAACATTAATTCAATAAAAAAGACATTCAGTAATTTACAATAATGAATCTTTTGTACATAAGAGAAATGACGCTGTTTACACGATTAAGCACGTTGTCTGCACGTTGGCGGGCCGTTCAAACTCGTCAAAATTTTTATTTATTTATTTTTTTGTGTTCCAATAAAATACGTTAAGAATTAAAAACTCCCGAAATTTGAGAAGCTACTATACGACATTTAACCCTTCAATATGTCTTCAAAGAGACAATGACGCAGAGAAAGTGGTGCTAGTGCTTCCAGGCATAAGCACAAGTCACTATCTATCCAGGAAAAGGGTGAATTTCCATGGTCCGGCAATTTCCATAGTCCGGCACCGGTCAGGTCCCGAGGTTGCCGGACTAGAGAGGTACAACCTGTACTGTAGTCACAAGCTTCTGAAGATACCCTCCCTTTCATTTAATAACAAAATTAATTTATATTTCATAGTCTGCTTGTGCTGTCATACTTATAAGTTTCACATCTTGTTTGACATTCGCTGGGAAAACAGTTACTGTGTATCTCTGTAGTATAATGTATCATTCTCAACCAGTGTGTTTTAAATATTTGAGAGAAAAATTTACTTATTCAAAGTACGAGCCTCAAGGGAACATAAAACTATTCTGGGGTTCTTCCTAGAAGTGAGATTCTTGGAGGTTTTGGTATGATTTGTTGGCCATGAGTGAATAATTGAATTACATTATCTTATTTGATGAGCCACATTTTGAAAATTTGACTATTAGCCCCACAGGTGTCTAACAGTCTCTGAATTCTTGTGGATTTGATTGGTGGGTGGAAAGGATGCAATGGATTCATTGCTGTAATTACTGTGAAGCCAAGCACATGTTATTGGCAATGGCAGACTTGCCATGTTTGGTCTCTTGCTCATGTTCTTGGCCATCAAATGGTATTAATATATCATTCTTTAACATTTGTTTTTCTTGTTAACTCAAGGAATTCTACGAGTGCAAAGTGTGCAATCGGAGTATGGCTGGTATTACCCCAGCACAAAGTCATCTTGAAGGGTCTCGTCACATTAAAGCTTTAAGAAACCAAGCATACAGCTCAGTCCTCAGGGCCTCCTCAGGATTGAATATCTCCAATGATAACATACACAGCGCCACGCACTTTGATCCTCCTGCCCGTTATCAGCCTGCCTCGACTCCTTTACCTGCGGTGGACTTACAAATTTCATCAAGAGACTCCACCAGCGAGGTTAACAGTGGTAAACTTTGATGTATTTTGTCTGAACTCTTATGACAGGTGCAATACCACTCTATTCAGAAAGCAGTTTCCACATCACAGTACAGTATGTTTTATTAATTTACATCAATTTGAAGTGACCATTGAATATTCACATCCAAGCTTTTGTCCTTTATATTTGAGGACGTACTTATATGTCCTACAGCAGTGCTCTTTAAAAATTTGTCCCATGACCCAATGTAATAATATCACATACCCTCACGACTCTATTCCTGTGTTCAGTCTAAAAAAAGTGATATGGAATATAAAAGAAAGCTAATTTAAAGCTCTTGACTCATTAGAATCAAGATGTCCTGTATTAATTTAAGGATACAGTATTCCTTATATTATGCACATAGCAACAACAATTAAAACAATTTTAAAATTTACCAACATAAACCAACTGTGTTACTCAATTAGAAATATCAGTGCTCTCATCAAGTTGGATAGCAAATTCTCCAGCAGACTGTAGACTTAAACCAGCTGGAATTCTAAGTCCTCAGCAATAGTAGATATCCTCCGAGAGACTGGTAACACCAAGAGGCACACGTTAGGTTAGGAAAACTGAAAGTTAGGTGTAACACTTACGTTAGTAGAAGAGATGGGTCGGCATACGGGGATGGAGGCTGGTTCCGAGGCAGAGAGCAGATTACTGGCCCTCAGGTGAATCACCATCACTATCAGTTACAGTTGTCAGGGCTTCCCTGACAAATCCCTCAAAGTCACCTTCACTGTCACTATCACTGGCTCTGGCTGGCTGTGGTGGGTTGCGGGCGAAGAACTCGGTAATGCTTTTTTGATGGCTAGTGTTGCTGTTGTCTTGATACACCTTGATGTACGGCTCCATAGCCTGCACCAGCTGGGTATGGAAGACTTCATAGCGGTCATTGTCGTTGGAAAGGAAGAGCTTCAATTTTTCTGCACACTCGATGGCACCCTTAATATGACTATGCGTTAACTTGTGTTCTTCGGAGATTGACGCACCATCTTCCTCTTCACTGACGTGATCATCTTCCAACATCTCGTCGGCAGTCATTTCAGGATCTCTGAGCACCTCCAGGATGTCTTCGTTGGTGGTCTCGGAAGCCTTCAGCTGTAATACTGTGCGCAGCTTCTCTTGCAAGGTCCAATGCCACGAGTAAGGTTGCGCAGTATGTCGCTGTTGCGTTATCACTGATGTCATATGACGTATCGGACTGTGATTGGGCCACGCATCCTTACAACCCACGCATTCCCTCCGCTGCTAGCTGTGATTGGTCTAATGTAACATGACGTGCCCTGCCACCAGAGGGTAGAAGTCGCTGACCTAGCCGGGACTGTCTCATTGTTCTCAGTTCTCCGCGTATACAGTTCTCTCTTGTACCCGCTATTCCCCTCACAACTCACAATGGACCAAGCCATGATAATGTGAATGGAATCATCGAGTTGGGGGAGAAAATTAAGCTCATCCTTGACAAAGACACAGTCAAGCATCGGTATGAAGTGTCTAATAACGTTATGTCGAAAGTTATGGAGCCGTATATCCAGATCTATCTCGACAACATCAATGCTAGTCGTCAACGTAGTATTGAGGACTTCCTCACCCGCAACCCACCACGACCACAGCCAGCCCGAGTCAGTGATAGTGAGGATATGGACTTAGAGGGGTTTGTCTGGGAGGCCCTGCAAACCTCTGCGAGTAGTGAAAGTGATTCACTGGAGGGCAACTAATCTGCCCTCTGCCTCGGAACCAGCCCCCATCCACGTATGCCGACCCATCTCTTCTACTAACGTAAGTGTGAAACCTTGATTTTTCTTTTACCTGGTGCAGTATATTATTCTCTTATTGATATTTATCTTCTATATTATGTGTGTGCATACCATCATAAAGTTAAGATACTATTTTTACTACAACGTAAGTATTGTGTTGGCAAAAAGTGGAGTTTGGGGATCGGCCCAGTCTGTTATTTCATTAACGCATGTCTGGTTTTACGCGGTACTCCACGGGTACAATTGACCGCGTAAATCCAGAATATACTGTATAACTAAAATTAAACATTGTAAGCTGAATACAGTAAAGCCTCGAATAACGACGTTAATGTGTCCTCCAATATTGCAGTGCAAGGTGAATCGTCTTCTCGTAAATCATTAATTACCATTAAAATAGAGCAATAATAATGAGATGCGTTCCAAAGTGTGACATTTTCATATCTTTTGTGTGGCTTTTTACCCTCTTTTCCCCCAAAAACAATACAATTAATGAAAACTGCAAACTATATTCTTTAAATAATGTTTCTGAATGCACCTTATTCAATATAAATGAAGAAAATAAGACCCTGGTTGTAGCTGTAGTAAATTTAATGTAAACAAATTAACATACAGGTATATGTTTTAAGTAACGTTATTTAATGTTAATAAATGGAACAATCAAAGTAGCTAACCACTAATGGCAAAGAAAAAAAAGATGAATTGGGAATGCCAACATATACGTGTGCATTTAAGGATACTGCATCATTTATCTTAAGAATATGTATAAAAGATTTATTACTGAATATGTATTTGATTGAATTAATCTTTATATATGCGAAATGAACAATACAATTCATTAATACATAGAATATTAAAACACACAAGAGGATAAGAGACGACATTGTTGTGTTTACACCCAATGTATACATGCGCACTCAAGGAAACAGTCATTTATCTTAAGAATATGTACCAAAGATTCATTGTTTATTACTGAATATGTGTTTGATTGAATTAATATTTATATATGTGAAATGAACAATGCAATTAATTAATAATACTGTACATAGAATATTAAAACACACACGAGGAGACAAGACGGCAATGTTTTCATGAGTGACGATGGTACTACATAAGAAACAGAAGAAAATAAGACCCTGGTTGTAGCTGTAGTGAACTTAATTTAAAAAAAATTAATACCTGTATGTATGTTTTAAGTAATGCTATTTAATGTTAATAAATGTACTAGGAGTAGCTAACCACTAATGGTAAAGAAAGAAGGCGAGACGATTGGGAACGCCAACGTATGAACAGTTAGTGCGTACATGTGAAAACCTATCGTCATTTCTCAACATATGAATATGAAAGCAACACCTATTTACTGTTCATATATGTTTTGAATAATATTTACGAATGTAAAACTAAAATTCTATTCACCAATGGCGGTAAAGTCTAAAACATAAGGACAGCCAATGAATATTGTGCGAGTTTTTACTCAGATGACAAAGTCATCAGGTTCAACTCTGGCTGAAGCTGTTGCTGAAACTGTTACTGAACCTGAAGTTGATGTTGAAGCTGCTTATGATGCTGAATTTGATGGTGGAGCTGAAGTTGATGGCTTAGGCCTTTGAATAATAAAGCTCTCGAAAGAACCTTGCACAGCTGCTATTCATAATACATTTTTATGCAGATGTCATTTGTGTTTATTTAAATTTTAAGTCTTTGTTCTGTTAGTTGATCCACTTCAGAATATATGTTCATTGCTTGCTCCATATAATATCCACAGACCTCTCACCTTTTTCATATCGTTTTAACACCTCTAGTTTCTCGGCTAAGCTTAGACACTTTCTATTAGCTTTTGAAACAACGCTACCATCACTTGCTCTCTTGCTCATGTTGAATAGGGATGCAAAAATGCTGCAAGAAACCTGAGAATGTTTTTCTCCAGTTCCTGTCCCAGAATACATATTGGGATTTAGTTATTATTTATACGAAAATGTAATTTTATTTTATTTTTATTATATTTTGGTCGTAAATACGAATGAAATAAGGATGTAAACTGAATTGGGTCCTAAATTATCTAGGGTTTCAAATACGAATGAAATAAGGATGTAAACTGAATCGGGTCCTAAATTATCTAGGTTTTCAAATACGAAAAGTTGTTGGACGAATCATTGTTATCCGAGGCTTTACTGTACAGGTAAAATATTGTGCCTCGGGCTATATTTCCCCATAGGAGCAAAGAGGTTAAAGGTTTCCTCGGTAAGCCATTAGGCCATTGTGAGGTGTGGTAACCCAGATATTACTGTGACAACTACTGCATAAGTGTTGTGTTTTCCTTTATAGCATCTTACCATGAAGCAGTGGGACATAATATAATCCTTTTCATTGCAGAAACACTAAGCTCAGCCATGAAACGAGGAATTGTAAGACAGGAGTTTGTATTTGGACAGACTCAGATGACTTGCACCTTGTGCTCTATAACCTGCTCTGGTGAGGTTCCTATGAATCAGCATCTTTTAGGGGAACCTCACATGAAGAGACAGAGGTAAGAGTCATAATTATTAATAAAATTTTCATAGGTAAAGATGCAATTTGTTTGGTTAAAACTTTGTCGTTGGTGTTGAAACTAGTCATCCTATTAATGGATGTGCACTGTATACAGTAAATGATCATTTTACCGTACTGTTTTATTCAAGGGGCAGAGATATTTTCTTCCCCTATTCTTTCTAATTTGTGATACTGCATTGTATAGTAAATGATCTGGTGGTGGGATAAGATTGATAAAGAGATAGAAGTGAGAAGAATGAAGACTTTTTGTAATAAAAAGAGTTTTGTATCACTATAACAAACTATTTGTTTTTTTTGTTTTTTCCACAGGAGAATTGACTTGAGAGATGATAATAGTCCCCCAATAGCCAGATCTCTGGGGATACGTCAGTCCTCCTCGGTGCCAGCGTTGACACATGACTTGTCCACATCCTTTAAGCAATTTGATTCCCTTAACTTAGATGAATGTAAATCATCACCTAAAGGTTAATGATACGTTTAACATATATTTATAAAACATGAACTACTAATTCACCTCTGGCATTTCCTCAGCATGAAGTACAGTATAGTAACCTTGGGAGAATTAAAATTAAGGACTGTACAATGGGCAACCCGCGGCCCATGGGCCATATACAACCTGAACCATGTCTTTGTGTAGCCCGCGGAATGATTGAGAAATTTTATTTAATGTGGCCCACAGTTCAGGTAGGGACAGTCACCTTATGGTGTGTAAAGCAATATTTATTAAAAGAATAATCTTCACACACAATTCATTACTGTACTGTTTTACCACCTGTTATGAAAATGTAACAAAAGTATAGTCTATAATATAAACATTTTAATTGTGTGAGTGTACGGGCCAAGTTCTGCGCGGTCTGTTTGATGGATTAACTGCTATGTGGCAGTGGGCCATTTGGGAATTAAGTAAGGTTGGGTAAGTTCAAGTGGGGTCACGGGCAGTGGTCATACAGGTCAAAGGTAAAATCTCTTCCTTGTTGACAGTCTGTCTCTCTCCATAGCACCTCATCCTTCATGCCCCAAGATTAACAGTGAAATTAATTTGGTGGGTGTCTGATAAGTAAGATAAGTCCTGTAACTGTAGGAAAAATCAGTGTATTCACAGACTACTTCACTCATCATCTGTTAAATGCCAAGAAACATAAACATTTTACTTTAAAAATTATTATGATGGATTTGTTTCATAAATCGCAAAAAGACTGTGATAGAAAATATCGTAAGGTGGGTGTGACAATAAACCGTATCTTGCCCGTGTTAATACAGTATAAACATTACTTTTGGGTTAGGTAGTACATAAATTTTGGTGGGTTAGCCCGCAGAAAAATACCTAAATTTCAATGCAGACCATGACTGAGGAAATGTTGCCCATGCCTGCTGTACAAAATGCCACTCTATACCAGTGAACTGTAAGGAATTCCACCTAAAAAATTGGCAAAATGTACAACTTGGGGGGGATGGGTTAGCATGGTATTTGTCTTGCTGCAATAATACATATCTCTTAATGTATAGGCAGGCTGTGTTTGTCCCACCATGATTATTAAAGGGATGTAATGTATATATGTTTCCCTTATCCAGGCATCTGTAATTAAGCGCAACTTGATGTAACTGAATTTCTTTTAATTATTTTTTCTTGTTCACTAATTGAGCAATGCAGCTTTATATGAAAATAGACATGGTTAAAGTATTTGTCTGAAGTACAGTCAAAATCAAGAGTTCCCCAAAGATCCCCTGTCAGCATTATTTAAAACGCATACCGTAGATAAGCTCTTTCCACCAACGGTTGACCTGCAGTCCAGTCACAAGACGATGCCTCCATGCATTGGTGTAGGACGTTATCTGTGATATATGAACACACATAATGCTGCTGGAGATGTTCAGTGAACTTTTGATCTTGATTGTACTCAATATTTTCATTTTACCAGTATACTATTATCTGCTGAAGTTGAGATTTTATTAGAAGTTATATGGAATATGCCGGGCATCTTAAAAAGAAATCATGTCTGATGTACAATTTCTTTCAGATATACTTACATCCGCAAGAGAGGAAGGAATTGTGAAAAGTACAGGAGAATTTGTTTTAAATCAGCTGACATGTACAGTATGCAGGTCATCATGCACAGGAGATGTACCGATGAAGCAGCACCTCCAAGGTAGTAGTCATCAAAAGAAAATGAGGTAAAAACTTTTAATTTTGTTCCTTATAAACACCCACTAATGCACACACTGGGTTTACAGTACTGTACACTCAAAATTTTGAGATTTCTAAATACACTTTACCCACTTTAAGTCAGATTTTGGCTTAGTTCATTCATATCCTTTTTCCAAAATTAAATAAGCGATTCAAATTCGGAATTAGTCTGAAATAACCAAGCGATTCAGAAGTCACGTGCCTAAAAGAGCTCAGGTTCTCAACTGGCTCAGCCATGTTAATATTGTTATTATTATCCACTCTGTATCTGTGTTTTCTGGCTAAATAAACTCTTATCAATTCAATTCAATTCCTAAGCAGGCTTAGGCCAGGTGTCATCCCATTTGGATGATTCCCAATTGTTTCACTTAACCTGATGTTGTTCAACCCAGCTTCTAATGATCAGCTGATTATGTTGGTTTTCCAAAGATTGTTACCAAGATGGTGAGTGGGATGGTTATCATCTTTGGTCTAGGGCCCATTGGTTTTCAACCTTTTTTCACTGATGGCACCCTAAACTAATAGAGTATCTTATTCTGTAGCACCCCTGTTCAATTTCCTATCAGTACAGTTGCTTCAAGAACATATATTAAGGGCTCCAAGAGTTGAATTATTGGATAAAAATTGAATCTGTAAGGACCAAGCCTGAGGAAAGTGTATCTTTTCACAAGATACCTCATTGCAATTACAATAAAGTTGTTGGAGAAAATTAGCAGTCTTCAAATTTTCTTAATTATAATACCCGTACCTGCTTGCAGTACCAGTATATACCAGTTATAAACTATTAAAGAACCAAAGACAAACAAATCACTAACCTGAATGTATGTGATTTTCTTAGTGAGATATTTGGGCTTGATGAGATTGACAGATTCTTATAATATTTGCCAAAGTATTGGACAAATATACTCTCATTTCTTACTCATTAGTTTGCAATCTTTCCCTATTCTGTTTTTATGTATGCGAGTACAGAAAATCCCAACTCGCACAAGTGGAAAATTGCATAAGGATTACCAGGGGCTTTCTTGCAATACGTATGAGGGTATTCATTCTTTATCTGTATCCAAAAATCGTCAAGAGCCATGTCTATATGCTTTAATTTTAGACTGCAATCATTGAGTATATATCCACTCATTCCTCTTTTTCCGTGAAACTAAACCGAGATTGGTTTGATGTAACTCCAATAAAGCGGTTTCTCAACTATTCTTCATTTTCATTGGATATATTTGGAAAATGGTATTGAATTTTTTTTTCACTACTTCAAGATGCTTAGAAATTAATGGTATGATTTCCTTATTGTTTGTTGCAGCAGCAAATGGAAACATGTCCATATTGCTTTCCTTCACTTTGATAATCCAAATTCTTAACTTCTCACTAGAGCATAAATTTTGTCAGAAGAAAAGACAAGACATCTTTGCCTTAGCTTTTCTTTTTTAACAGGGAATAGCCCACCCGGGCACTGGTCATCAACCCACAGCGGGGCTGAGGGGGCAAAAAGATAAGAGTAAAAAGAAATTAAAATAGAAAAGAACAAGCTTTTGAAGTGAGAGGAAAGAAGGTTGTACTATAATGGGTTATTCTAGTGTGACTGACCTCCACAGAGAAATGGTAGGCACCACGGGCAAGGTGGGTGTTATGAGCCCACTATCGTACCGGCGGTACACAGGACGCCAAATCCACTGAACATTGCCCGTTAAAGTACGTGCAAAAGAGAGAGAGGGAAGCAACATTGCGGCAAAGAGAACATAAGAACATAAGAATGGAGGAAACTGCAGCGGGCCTATTGGCCCATACTGGGCAGTCCCGTTTACACCCAACCCCTATTGCTCATATGAGCATCCAACCTATGTTTGAAGCAATTCAGCGTATTCGAGTTAATGATGATATTTGGTAACTTGTTCCATTCATCCACTGCTCTGTTTCCAAACCAGTGTTTACCTATTTCACACCTAAATCTAAATTTGTCTAATTTAAAACCATTGTTACGAGTTCGCTCTTGGTTGGATAGTTTGAGTACCTTTGTAATGTCCCCTTTGTTTAGCCCTGCCTTCCACTTATACACCTATCAGGTCGCCCCTCGCTCTACGTCTCTCAAGGGAGTGCAAATTAAGATGCTTTAACCTGTCTCTATACTCAAGGTTCCTAATGCCCGGGATTAGTCTTGTCATTCTCCTCTGAATTCTTTCCAAGGATTCTATATCCATTCTGTAATACGGTGACCAGAACTGAACTGCGTACAGTGACCCCTCGGTTAACGAACTCAATCCGTTCCAGAAGGTCGTTCGTTAACCGAAAAGTTCGTTAACCGAAACCATTGTTTCAATGGGTTTTTGGGTAATTGGTTCCAGCTCACCGAAAATTTCCTAAATTCAACAAAAATGGTAGAAAAGTTCACTTACTTTGAGGTGTGTATGTAGAAGGCTCCTGGGGTGAAGGCATTTGGCACCATTTCACCCATAAAATTTTAGTTCTCTTGGTGTAAGTCAAGATTATTTTCTTTAAATCAACACTGCACTGCATTATATATTGTCAATATGTAAAATATATTTCAAAATGACCAATAATTTGCTTGGAATCACAGAAAAAAGCGTTTAGTTGAAGAGAGTCTCAAGCAAGATGTTACCTCCAGTGAAAACAGAGAGAGACTAACGCCTGTTTGCTGTGTTAAGAGGCTGGATGCCGCGCATTAAACTAGTCACTTTACCTTCAATTATGTTCAATAATTGTTAAAATGACTAAAAAATTGAATATTAAACTTTTAAAATTATTGAATAGTATAAACTTCTTGATATTTACTAAAATAGTAAGGAATTTAAGCCCTAGAACCGATTAATGTATTGGCGGACTGATACTAAAGCTGGTTGCCCGGTCAGTGCAAGCAAAAACATGTTGAGGTCGGTTCATAAGAAATTCGTCAACCGAATTTTTTTTCGTTAACCGAATTGAAGATCCATATGGAAGGCAGTTCGTTAACCGAAATTTCGTTAACCGAGGCGTTCGTTAAACGAGGGGTCACTGTAATCCAGGTGTGGTCTCACAAGAGCAAGATACAGTTTTAGGATGACCTCGCTAGTCTTGTAACTAACACTCCTTTGTATTAACCCAAGTACTTTATTAGCCTTGTTACGAGCAAAAACAGGAGGAGACTTAATAAGACGAAATGCATTTGATTCCACCCTTGTTTAAATGTTCAAAGATATCAATTAAGTAAGATAACTTTGTAGACCAAGTGTCGTCTGTCAGTAACTCCTGAAATTTTCTTGCTGCTCAAGATTAAAAAAGTAAAGATCTCATTCTTCATTTCATACACTCGTGACAACACTTTGCCTCTCGACAACCATCTATCCTCTGTGTGCTTTGTCCCAACTTCTTCACATGGTTGATTTTTTTGCAACTAATGCTTCACGGGGCAGAAAGCAATATGTTTCTTAATATATTACTGTTTACTTTCTTCACTAATGACAAATCCTTTCAATGAGCCAACCATTGAAGGAGCACCATCTGTACAAATTCCAACACAGAATTTCCAGGACAAATCAACAAATTCCAATTAGTTAGTTAAGATAGTGTAAATATCCTGGCGAATGCCAATAACTGAGCTTTCCCTTCTGTATCTGTTGATTCATGTACTTGGACTGCATGAATTTCACCTTCCTTTACCAAGGCACAAACAATTTCTTCTATGTCATCTGACATGAATCCATCTGGTAATGGTATTTTCTGACAAATTTTTTTTTCTTTTGTTCTTTTCTGCCTCACTCCTGAAAAATGTCTTTACTATAGCACTGCAAGCAGGAAGAATCCCTGTTTGTACATTTGTATAAGGCTTCATATTTTTAGCAATCAATTGTTACTACTTCATCCAATACAGGTACTCTGACTGTTTTAGAAAATTTTAAACTCCGTTGTTTTCTATCATTGAATATACTCTCAAAGTACGATCAAATTTGTCAGCAAGGTGACTATGTTTTACAAGAGAAATATCCCTTCAGTTTGCTGGGTACCATTGCTTCATTGTCCAATTTATCATCACAAATAAGACAATCTAGTGTAGGATTAACCAAATGAATCCCAGTGCTAGATAGCTGTCCAATATAGGGGATTCCACTGTAAAACAGTGGAATTATGGTTATCCACATTCCGCGAAATGAGCAGATTAAACTAACCGACATCAAAATGAAATAATAATAAAAAAATTGTCTAAAATCAGCTAATATCGTAAATTCAAAGACTGCGCACAACTGGGAGGAGCTGCCATATTTATTGGACAGTTCTTAAACAGTTATTCCACTTTATTTAAACGAAATGGTTCAGAGTTAAACAATTTAGTGAGCACAAGGTTAGCCTAATTTGAACAAATTTCAAATTAAAAAAAAGAATTGCTATGATAAACAATAAAATTAATACATATATCATAAAATAAAATAGCACATATTTTATGTATGATAAATAGCTCCTTTCACACTAAAACCATCATATGGGTGGCGCTACCCAGTTCTGTCAGGCAGTCAACCAGCTGACTCTACAGAAGTTGTGGCTACTGCCTCACTGCACTGTGTGTATGCCTTGATGTCACATCAGGAAAGGGAGCTGGGAGAGTGCCAACACATTTACAGCCTACCGCCTCTACACAATAAACTCTCTTCACATACACACCCATGCTCTTCACTTTTCTTATATTAGTTTGCCAACGAGGTGGCTGGGTTGGCGAGTTAGTGACGCAGTTATAGTCCACCGCCTCTACATAATCGTTCACTTCCCACACATACACAGATGCTCTTCACTTGTACAATATGTCAGAATATAGAGCCTAATGGCAACAATTTCTGATTAATTGACAGGGCAAGGTCTTCAATATCTCCATGTACTGTTCAAAGAATCCCACCCAGAAATATTGAAAGTATTCTCCAGGGCACAACCAGTTCTCCTCAAATGCAAATTTCGGAAGTACTTGGAGGTAAGTCTGTCTTATATATTTCAAAGTATAGTACAGTAGTGTATACTAAAAAAAAAAAAAAAAACGAGAGGGTTAATATTAACTTACACTGTTGCGTACTTGATGAAGCCCAAATATCATTAAAATATAAAGTCTTTAGTGTCATGACCTGTTGTACCTTCTGGATATAGTTTCCTTCTTTAATAATGATGGTTATAAATATTTTATTTCTTTTATATGCTTGAATGACTTTACTCTCTTACAGGAAACTTACAATCAGAAAAAGAGAAAGGAATTTTGATTAAAACTATGGAAGGTGTGCAGTGTGTGGTGTGCTCTATAACTTGTAATGGGGAAGTAACCATGACAGCACATCTGAGTGGTGATCAGCACCGCAAAAAACTCCGGTAATTATAATTGGCTTTCAATGAGTGGATCAAGAACTTAAACATTTCTATAGGCTTTTTTTTTTTCCTATATTATTGTGGTACAAGGAGTGCATTATATATCAAATGTATGAAGTACATCTCTGCATTAGCTGTGATGTGCAAAATTCCCAGCTAATGTGAAATTTATAATGTATCCAGATTTTCAATTTTCTAGATTGTTTTCAAATTCATTACAGTGAACCCTCACTTTACGCGGTTAATTCAACCCACGGCGGCCAACGTAAAGTGAACAACATAACATATGGGATTAATTGAAATAGAGACCGGGCCGACCCCCAAACTCCACTTTTTCCCAACACAATACGTACGTTTTACTAAAAATGACCTCTTAACTTTATGATGGTATTCACCCACACATAATATAGAAGGGAACAGTCAATAAGATAAGAATAAAATGAAGGTTAGGTTAGAAAAAACAAGGCTGGGGTTAACACTTACGTTAGTAGAAGAGATGGGTCGGCGTAGGGGAATGGAGGCTGGTTCCGAGGCAGAGGGCAGGCTACTGGCCCTCAGGTGAGTCTTCATCGGTGTCATCCACACTTACTAGTGCCTCCTTGACAAATCCCTCAAAGTCATCATCACTGTCTCTACCTCTGTCACTATAACTGGCTTGGGCTGGCTGTGGTGGGTTGCGGGCGAAGAACTCTGTTATGCTTTGCTGACGGCTGGTGTTTATGTTGTCGTGATAAACCTTGATGTAGGGCTCCATAGTCTGCAACAGCTGGGTAGTGAAGATTTCATACCTGTTTGCGTCAGGGTCGTCGGAAAGGAGCAGCTTGGCTTTCTCGATACACTCGATGGCACCCCTAACATTACTATGGGATAAGCGGCGTTCTTCTTGGAATGACGCACCACCTGCCTCTTCACTGACGTCATCATCATCTACCATCTCGTCGGTAGTCACATCAGGATCCCTTATCACCTCCAGGATGTCGTCGTTGGTGGTCTCGGAGAAGCCTGCAGCTGTAACACTCTGCGCAGCTTCTCTGGCAAGGTCCACTGCTACTGCAACAGTCTGAACCTCACCAGTCACAATTGACTCTGCCTAACGGCCGGAATGCCTTGCAACACATGTCCCCGTGCGTGACGAACAGTTGCTACAGACAGCTGATCCCATGCCTCCACCAAGAAGTCCACAGCTTTCTTGACGTTGAATGTCTCCAGAATTGTTTTAAAAGTACTTCTTGCTCTGCCAACTGTTGATCCTCGTCGTCTTCGCTCTCGCTATCGGTGTTGGTGTCACTCAGGTTACGCAACTCTTCCTTGGTGTTGGTGTAGTCGTTCAGGAGCTTGAATTTTTTAGTAGAGAATGCAGCTTTTACATTACAGATTAACTCTTGGTCCATGGGCTGTACTATAGACGTAGTGTTGGGAGGAAGGAAGACCACTTTTACGTTGGGGTGACTATCTAACAGTAGGGGCGAGTGTCCTGGTGCGTTGTCCAGCAGCAACAAAATCTTGAATGGCACATTCTGTTGCTCACAGAATTTCTTCACATCGGGAACAAAACAGTCATCAAACCAGGAGAGGGACAGTGTAGAGAACATCCACGCCTTACGTGCGGTCAGCCAGTGGACATTTAGCTTGGTCATGTCCATGCTCTTGTAGGCGTGCGGCTTGTGTGCTGTGTGGATCACCGATAACTTGAGCTTACAGGTACCGGAAGCATTGGTGGTAAACAGGACGGTGATGCGCTCCTTCTGCAACTTCTGGCCCCGACACTTGCTGGCATTCTTCACAACGAAGGTCTTGGAAGGTAGCTTTTTCCAAAAAAGACCAGATTCGTCCATGTTAAACACCTGGTCGTCGGTGTACTGTCCTTCCTCCATAATCTCACGTAAAAACGGAGGAAATTCCTTAGCCGCAACACGGTCAGCACTAGCTTCTTCACCACCAATGTTGATATTGGTGATCTTGTTCCTCTTCTTAAACCTCTGTAACCACCCAGAGGAAGCATTAAAGGGTTTGGTCTCTGTAATTCCCATCTTTCGTGACACTGCAGCATACAGTTCACGTGCGTACTCCTTAACTGAGCGCGTGTCCACCGCCATGTTCCGTAGCGCCTGACGCACCAAGTAGCTCACAAGTAATTTTTCCGTCTTGAGAAGCACCTGGTTGTGGAAATACTTGATCATAGAAGCACCTGTAGACTTTGTGATGTTCATGTGCTCCTTTATCTTGGCTGCATCCTTCTTAATTGTCCTGATCGTAGACTCGTTAACGCCATGCTGGCGCGCGAGATCAACCTGTCTTGTTCCTTTCTCCAACTCTTGTATGATCTTGTACTTAATTTCGTAGCTTAAGGAACGTCGTGTCTTCTTTGGCTTAGGGCGGCTGGGTCCAGGTAAGGAAAGGTTTCTCTCTGGGGGCGGTGGTCCGGCGGAAGCCATTTTACAGAACAATGGAATCACGTATACACGGTGTGGCCTGGAGGGATGAAACTGCCGCGGCTAGGTCAAGCGTCGTCTTTCCTCCCTCCCTCCCTCCCGCGGGTGGACACGTCATATTACTTTAAACCAATCACAGCTAGCAGCGGAGGGAGGTAAGGATGCATGGCCCAATTACAGTCCGATAAGTCATATGACGTCACTGATAACGCAACAAAGACACACACTGCGCAACCTACTCGCGCCGCTTACACAACATGGCGGGAGAGATGGCGGGATGGCGGGAGGTTTGGATCCAAAAATGGCGCGGCTCGCCAGCCGCTCTCCGCGTAAAGGGGTACACACACCGCGGAAAGTGAGCATTCCGGTTTCGGCAGGGTACCGCGTATACGTGGAAACGCGTAATGTGGGACCGCGTAAAGTGAGGGTTGACTGTACATGCTATATGAAAATAAAGTACAGCAATACGGTATCAGGGAACTTGAATTTGGGGTTTCAACCCTTAGGCCCCGGGTGACATTCCAGAACATCTGGCATATGTCTCGGACTCTCAGTCTGAGTCCTCCCTTCATGTGTATAGTATCAGTGTGCCGCACCTCGCTACCAACTGTACACACATTTACATGAACTATTTTTGTAGAGTATGTAGTATCTCTAATGGGGATACTAGAGGGTTTTAATAAATGGGTTAAAGTTATTTAAGTCCCTTAATTTATGGCATATACAGTAAGGCGCACCCCTCATTTTAGCAGGAAGTATTTAGGAAAAAACTTTTGTGTATTTTCCTTCTGTAGCCACAGTTTTCTTAAAATAATATATTGTACCATTTTTCTCCCTAAATACTCCCTGCTAAAATGGGGAGTGTGTGTCTTATGTGCCTTAAAATATGTACTGTATTTTTAGTGTATTTTATATCATTAGTTGTTGTTTTTATATATCAAGTTCATTTGCCGGAAGATACAGACAAACAGCTTTTTTCAGACAGGTGGTCTCCCCCTTTAGTCTGGATTTTTGAGGGTTCACTGTATCTACAAAATAGTAATTTATGAAATGCTGTATGCTTAAAAAAGATTAATATAATGATCCTATAAGAAATATTTACCTTGTTCATAAAATTGATGTTGGTTGAAGATTCCCCATTATGCTTTTACAATCTTGTTTTGGAACCATGCTGCTTTTAACCATCCCCAGACTTTCTGAATTTCCTAGTTTAAAGATGTCTGTCTCTTGTATAATACTGCAGTTGTTTCAAGAATTATCAAACACTTTATGCTGTAACCCAGGGATTATTTAGGACCTGCAGTACAGGAATGACCTTTCATACTTTCCAGGGCTCATAACAGCTACAAGCAGTATGGGGTGGCAGCTGAATTGAGGATGGACTGCACCAGCCCTTACTCCACGTCTGGCTCTTCCTCTCCCTCAAGGAATTCAATTTCTAATGAACCCATTCGTTCGTCAGCTGCTAATGCTTTTCAAGATATTGATAGGCTAAGTACTTCATATCAGGTAACAGATAATTTAAGGGATGTCCAGATATATGAACCATCAGACCCCCTTGATGACCTTTTTGAATAATAAAATGCTAGTGTTCATGGTACAGTAAAATGTACTGAATGCTACTCTTGCAGCTTGTCAGTGGTAGTTAATTTTGCCAATAGGTGCTGCCTATATCACTCTCATTATGGCTTCGTATATACTGTTCACCTCGGGAAAAATCAAACAAATAATGCACAATATTTTATACAGTCAGTCCCCGACTTACGACAGGGTTAGGGACCGACGACCAGGTCGTAAGTCGAAAATGCGAAAATAATACATAGAAAATCTAAAATGGGTGTCTCTTTTTCTTCTCAGCACCACAAAACTCTCACTTTTAAGCTTGGCAGCCATTTTAAAGTGAATTTCAAACGAAAATTTTTTCTGTGTACTGACGTTGGGACTCGAAAATACGTAATTTGACAAAATTACGTACAGTAATTCCAAGATTCAACCTTGAGTTTGTGAGTTTGACCCCCATACACTGCTGTCACCCATACAGCCACACAGAGTGAGTCAGCTGTTCAGTCCATAACCACACACTTTAATGTAATAGATTGCTTTCTATAGGTTGGCTTGGCAAATTAATATTAGTCACACATATATCATTTTTATCATCTATAAGTTTTTAATTTTAATCACACTATTTCACATCAACATGTACTTAATATTTTTAAAATTTTAATCATACTATTTTATTGAGTTATTTATTAGATATAAATAAAATAAAAAATGTGGCAAGTTTGCAGCGGGCAGCCGGTCACATGGACTGTGATTGGAGAAATTTACTTCTCTTATACAAATACTTATGGCACTTGATGCAGCTACTTATTATAAATACAAGTGACTAGCGATTACCTACAGTATAGTAATTGGAAAATTAAGAATATATACAGTATACAGCTCCTACCCGACTTACGACGGGGCTAGGGACCCAAATCTAGGTCAGAAGTCGAAAATGCTTAAATAATACATAGAAAATCTAAAATGGGTGTCTCCTTTTCTTCTCAGCACCACAAAACTCTCACTTTTAAGCTTGCCAGCCATTTTAAAGTGAAATACAAACGAAAATTTTGTCTGTACTGACGTTGGGACTCGAAAATACATAATGTGAAAAATTTTGGTACGACTGAGGCAGGTCGTAAGTGCGGGTAGTCGTAAGTCGGGGAAGAGTTGTATACTGTATACTGGTATTAAAGTTTATTCAGAAAATTCTACTTACAATGTGTTTTGAGTAAAAGTTGTGTAATGATACTGTATAGTACACTTCCTGATAAAATATACAGCTAGGTCATACAAACATGACTTCTATCTAGTAATTTGCAGGGTTGATTTAGAATGAAAAGCCATTTTCAGCCTAACTAAATACTGCCAATTAGTAGATATAAGTCATGTTTGTATGACAAACCTCACTATTTTCCAGTAATTGTACTCAGCATTTTATAAGATTTAAGAAATAGTTTTACACAGGCCACCAGCTTCTCTATGTCTCATTGTTTTGCTGGCCTTTTACTTTTATCCACTGACTCGATTTTAGGGGCAGGTAGCAGTAATGTTTTCCTGTGGGTGTATTTACATTTTTCATATGGATGTCCTCCATCAGTTGAAAAATTATTTTTTTCATGTATAGTATATTAAGCGAAAAAATATACCTGTTTGGACTCCGTGACTGTTCAGCTGTGTGTGTGTGTTGGGAGGGGAGGATCTTTGCTAGTACAGCAGAACCTCTACTGTATACACCAGAATTTGCTTTTTACAAACCAGAAATAATGCTACCTACACTCATTTATGTGGACTTTTTAAGTAGAGTGCATATTGTCTTTAATGGGGATATTTGAGGGTTTTAAAAATTGGCAAAATTGTGTATACATATTTTAAGATATGAATAAAATTATGTACAATAACCTATTTTAAGAAATCGGTCAAATTAAAAAATGTATTGTATATGAAAAGAACAAAACTTGCTCAATGAATACTTACTGTACAGTAGTCTAATTGGATATGCTGTAGGCTTAATTAGAGCCAAGTACAAGAGCTAAGACACTGCATATGTAAACAGGGCAGGGATCGTGCTCCAGGTGTATTTATTGATTCAATGCAAATGCATAATACACTGCAATATTATTTATTAAGTACTGAAGACATGTTGTGGTAAGCATGAGAAATGGACAGCACTGTTAACAGTGTGAAGGAGAGAAGCACTTAACAGTGTGAAGGAGAGAAGCACTGTTAATAGTGTGAAGGAGAGTGACAGCAATCAGCTGTTCGCATTTTGTAATTGAGGAATTTAATACAACCTCAATGGCTCGTCTGGGGTTAAGTGTGGGATTATTTTTTTCTATAACGATAATGTTTTATCAACCAGGCACCAAACGAAGCTAAATAATATGGGAATTCTGGTGAAATTGCATAAAGTTACCTCCCTCATGCTACATTCAGATGCACTCTCATCTCCCAGTTTTTTCTTTATTCATAATGCACACAAGCACTAGGAAATGCTTTTTCCACAAATTCTGTGGTTACCAGTACAGTATAACACTTCACAGTATGGAAGTCATATCGGTGAAAACAATTGTCGAAAACCAGACTTGTCTGATATTCTTGAAACGTACAAGATAAGCCGGGTTACGTCCAGACCCCCCTTCCCCAGATTTTTTTTTTTTTGACTGGGGTCTGCCGCTATTAGTACGGTGTACATTGAGGTATTATTGTATTGCAAATGTTCTTATTAAAAGTTGCTTTTTACGAACAGCAGCCCAAAATATTTTATGGTAAAATGCCGATTGTCTCTAAATGTACGTCAAGGACCTTGACGTATAGCTGTACTGTACTGTCATTTTGCATAAATAAATTGCTAACCTGAAGTATAGTCTCACTAACCTGTTTAGGTCTTGAGAGAGCTTATGGTGGACTTTACGTCTGATGAATATTGTAATATCACGCAAATATATATATATATATATACGGTATATATATATATATATATATATATATATATATATATATATATATATATATATATATATATATATATATATATATATATATATATATATATATATATATATATATGTGCAAGTAAATCACTGTAGGTGCGCGTGATCTAGGTATATGCTGATAACCACAAGTAAAGAAGAAAACACGAAGTTCCCAAGCGCTTTCGTGTAATTCACAACTTAGTGTTTTCTTCTTTCCTTGTGGTTATCAGCATATATATATATATATATATATATATATATATATATATATATATATATATATATATATATATATATATATATATATATATATATATAAACTGAAATCCCATCAGGCAGAAATAACTATGGAACTCATCTTCCACACAAGACACTATCTTCTTTATAGAACTAAATCCTATGTTAAATTTCCAACAAAATTGAATGCTGTTATATAGTCCCCTATCACTATTAGCCAAAGCAGATTCAATATCTTTGCTGCTCTTCAGTACTCGATACTACAGATGACAGGCGCGATGAGTCGCAATAATGTGGCTAAAATTTTAATAACAAATATCACTACACTCGGAAATATTCCAACAATTATTCAAAATATACAGTCAACAATAGTCACACACAAGTAATCCAAAGGACGGAGTGTGGTGGAATTTAAACGTCCACGCTGGTTAGCAACCCACTTCGCTCAATGTCATACACCAGACTAATTTTTTACAAACTTACCCTATGAGCAGAGACAGAGGGTGCCAGAGGTATGATACATTTACCATGGATTCTTGTGCTGCAACCTGTACTCCAGCCATTATGGATAGGTTTTTAAATACAATTGCAGGATATTTTTTACCATGGGAATGCTACCGGCAAGTCCAAGACCATGAGCATAGCAAAAATTTTGGATGCTCCCCTAGCATCCAAACCTGTGAGTGTTAAGGAAAATAATAAAGTAAGAAATAGGTAAAATGTTGCGGCTAACCTGCAGGAAATGATCCTATGACCATGAGAGGTGACCCCACTTATTCGTTCAGGACCACATCACTTTACCCCAAGTAGTGACTAGCCAAGTGATACAATGATGAACAAGAACGTGCAGTTGATGCTGAAGCAGACTAGATGATTCAGGTAGATTTAATTCTCTTGGTGGGAAGTGGCACAAAAATAGCACTCCTGTAAAATAACTACAGAATCTATATACAATAGTAAGAAAAACAATTATGTTGTGTGGAGGCAGTTACTACCAATACCTAGAAACAAGTACAGTATAAAGATTTACAAATGTACATCAACAAAAGTTAAGTATTTAATAAAAATACAAACTTCACACTGAGTGCTTTATTTAGCAGTACAACTACAACTGTTTAGTGTCCCATGCTTCACCTGAGACAGCTACCCAAATTCTGAAACACCACTAGAGGAGCCCAGTTATTTTTACTGGCTTACTGTTATATTCAGAAGCTCATCCAAGTATTGCTTTAGAATTTGGGCTTGGTGGCTGGGAATGTTTACAACATCCCATTCACCCCATAGACTAGCGACTCCGCACGCCCTGTGAGAGATTATACTTAACAATCTAATACTGTACCCATAAAATCAAACGTGGGGCAATTATTTACAGTTGCCACAATAAAGTTTTTTTTTTTTACAAAGAAAAGTTATAACAGCATGTATATGTGAGCTGATGTTTTTGTGTATAATTATACACAAATGTGAATTTTTCACCATGTACAGTATAAACAATCACAGGGTGCCACAAACCATAACTCTCAGAAAACATTCTAGCACTTGCTTAGGGTGCCTTTGCACCATTAACACTCTTCAGGTAGCGATGTTTGGAATGTCCTCGCTCATCCATCATCAAGCTCAGAGGAAAGGCTTTAAAAAGGTATGTGTGTGTGTGTTGTGTAGTGTTTTGTGTCATGTGCTTCATTTAATAAGCAATCTTGGCAAAAGTTAACTTCAAAACCTACAATATTTTCTTGTTTAAAAACTTAAAAACCTTTCCTCCAAGAGATATTGCTGACAGACCTTCTCCAGCACCTGGGTTGCCTTGTGACCCTCCCACACCACAGTTGAACACAATAAATAGCACCACAGTTGCTTCATTCATTCTAAATTCTTAGTTCTTACATGGAAAGTTTACAAACCAGTATTTTCTGGTCAAATATAAATTACAGAATTTGAGAGCTTTAACAATTAAAAGAAAAATAACTAAATGGTGACACACCTCAACATAATAGTGCATGTTAAATCTACTGTACTGTACTCCCAACTCCACAACTTTAACCAATACTGTACCCTGTTCTGACTTGGCCTATATCAATACTTTTATAGACTTGATGAACCTATTACCACACGGAGCAAGAGATCCTGAATTTGGAATGAAGCTCAAGTTTTACTCTGCCATAACTACATGCTCAAGTCCATTCAATCACTGAACAGTTACACTGTACTGTACATGTAATAAAAATTATTGAAAATTTATTTATACAACAAGAACTTTTTAATTTCTATGGATCTTATGAAGGTATTTCTAGCACCATAACAGTTTTGCAACTAGTCACATAAAAGTTCATGTTAAAATTTTTGATAATCATTAATTTTCCATACTCATAAATACAGTACAGTATAACAATCCCAAGGATCATGCTCTGCATTTTCTAGGGCATAAAAATACATGAGTCAAACAATGTGAACAAATCACTGGAAATAATAAACTCTCTCAACTACAATCTCACCATAGTCTTATTAGAGTAACTTCATAGTTTTTCACACATATATTATGGCACAGTAACTCAATTCCAATTATTTTAACAAAAAAAGGCAAGTCCAGTACCATCGTCACCATGTTTGACAATCTCTGAATTAATCCTTGTTTTGCACATAACAAGGATTATTTCAACTATTAACTATACAATCTGCCTCATTTTACACAAGATCTGTTTATTGCCCAGTCACCTGGAGATCCACACAAATTAGAAATTCAATTTTAAAACACATAAAAACTTTTTTCACCAACTTGTGAACTACACTAAAAGATGATGTTTCCTGATCATTTAAAAGCGTTGTGGTCCTGTGAGCTAAATAATTGTTTTACTGTGATGTATAGTGGTACAAAACACTCAAACTCTGCCTACTCCTCAATATACTGGAAGACTGAACCAACAAACGATCACAGCTCTAAACGTTCTGGCCTCCTGGAGACACGCCGTAGATGACACCCTGGCTGGAAGTCACCAGGAGAGCAACTTGAGGCCACTCTACTGGTCATTGCAGCTGGAGGTCAATCCAAGCAGAAGCAGAACACCATTGTTTGTCATAAACTACAAAAAAGCCCAAACAGTAATCACAGTAAAAACTCCAGTAACGTTACAATCACGAAGATCAACCCATCGTTGAACAAATGTATAATAAATATGACACAATGGTGTTCCTTAATTGAATACAAATCATAACTACTGCTTTAAGCAAGCACATCTACTAGAGAAACCTATCACAAGTCATAAGCAGCATGTCTACATATTTCAAGACATTGAGAATATTCATTACAAAAATAGCTTCTTTCAATAAACCACATCAGTTAAACAGTTCACAAAGTTTTAAACACTAGAGTTTCCACAGCAAATATGGTATGACTGATTATAACAAACCTTTTGATTGTATATTCTAGTTTTACACAATGCAGTAACTTGCACAATCCATCAAAACCATTTTCCCAAGGAATTCTGCCTAAACCAGACAACAGGTACCTGTATTAATAAAAAAAAAAATCAAAATACCAGGATTTTCTTCTCTCTACCACATGGGAGACTTTTGGCAAAATGTAAAAAATTGTGGCAAGTTATTTGTGCGGTGATATTTACTACCATATTATGTACCTCTTTTCATAGATGATAAACTGAGATCACAAGGAAAGCACTACACAAGCAAACAGGCAAGCAATTCTGTTAGAAAACTGGGGAATAAAATTCTGCTGACTAATAAATTTTTCAGAAAAGCTCCTCAAATTACTTGAGCAAAATCTTCATGTAAGCAATACTACTGTGATTCTTTGTGAAAGCTAATCTACACTTGATGCCAGATCCCTCACTGCATCTCAAAGTAATTATATTTTTTTTTATTAATTCTTTTAGACTGTCACGATGATGTTGCACACTTATCATTAACAATTGATATAAACAGTGGTAATAGTTAACATCTAATGGCAGTTTTATGATGCATTACTCTAAAGGTACACAACTATTGCTGTTTCAGCATCATCATTAAATTACACAAAATTATTCTATCAAATTATGACACCTCACAAAAATACATAAATAAATTTCCTTAAAAATTAGCATATTACAACACTTTTACAGATAAAAAATCAATGTGTGACAACTGAAGCAGCAAATCCTTAACATAAAAATCAATGATAAGGCTCGGTGGTTCAACCACAAATTTTGTCCTTTTATAATAATAAAAAAGAAAGGGGTGCTGAAAATAATTAGCCTACAGCTGATAAATAGGATTATGAAATGATGTTTATGGTGGTAGAAAAAAAGTGTCAACCATTTCATATGTTCAATACATTGCTCCAAAGATTCAAATGTCATTATAGTATAATCATGTCTTATTAGACTCACACCTTCACAGAGACTGGAATAGAAACTTTTAACACACAATCAAGTTAGAGAATCAAATTAAGCAATTGGAATACCTACCTAATTCATCACTAGGACCAACATATTGTACAGTATACTGTACAATGAAAAACATTTAAAATACAGTATAAAGGGTTTTCCCAAAGCCCTTGACTGTGTTGCACCTGAATTTTCACCATCATCAGTCAACTTTGTCAACATCCTTGAAGACTCAGTTCATTATAAATATTTCAGAAAACACTATCTTGAGCCACCCTATACAAACTAGATGTAAAGATAACAGACAGAAAATAATAAGAAAACCTGGGAGCAGAGATTTCAATTTCTTCTTTCAGATATATGGCTGTAACTGTTTTCTTCTACAAGTCAATACTGGACAAACCCACCAGTCATTAAAAGGACCATGTGGGAAATAAGCATTACAGTAAATGTTTGTACATGTCTGCATGTACTATATGAGTTTTTACTGGATAAATTCACAACAAATCAAAGATTATTATAAACTAAAGGGACAGTTTCTCATGATGCCAATGATACACTGCAGTAAGTGAGAATAAGACTTGGGGGGGAGTTTACGAGTCTTTTCAATCAAGTACTTAATTCTTATTCCAAAATTCTAAGATGCTCGAGCTGTGACCCATGCAAATAACATGTTTATTTTTAATGGGAAAAAGAATCTACCAGATGCATCTTTTCTTAAAGATTTGTCATACATATTAATAAAAAGCTCCAACTTTTAAAGACAATCACCATAAAATGATGAATTAAAATAACCATTTCAATAAATGTTGATAAATCACTTAAATGAATTCTGTAAGTGTCATCTGGGAACTGCCCATGAGGAATTTCACTTTGTTCACCTGTTTCATGAGAGTACAGTACTGTACTGTATTCTGATTTTCTAAGTTTTTATCATCTGTACTTTGAAGTACAATACAGATGTATATTGTTTAATTATTATTTAACTGTGCTGTATAAGTTAAATGCATATGAAAACAAACTTTATACTGTAAACATACTAAACAAATAAATTTAAGCCACCTCAGTACTGTATGTCCTGTGGGCTTCTTGTTATCTTTATGTATTACCTATGAGTTCCAGTTATGGCATTCTAGTGATTTTTTTTTTGCTACATGTTTATACTTAAATTATGCTGTATATAATATTTTACCATTTTATAAAGAAAAAATATTATGATAACTGTTCATAGCCTGTAGTTAAGTGGCAGCTGCCATAGAATCAAGTATAAAACTGTATCCATTCAAACAGAATTCATGAGAGTAATATACAGTACTGTACTGTACTGTACATGGTTTTAACTTGTTGTTTACGTAGAAAGCCAAAATGGAGTCATATAAACACTGGAATCATGGGGTACGTCACTTACCTACTGTATATCATGAAAGAAATGGGACAAATTAAAGCAACTATGATTGAAAGAATGAATACAAATACTGTAGGTATAGAGATTAACCAAAATCAAATAAATTATTTATCTTATTAAATAAAAGAAGCCTTTGTTCCAAAACCCAGATTGAAGCTATTGGGTTACAACAGGGGCCTGTTGTAGGATGGGAATACTAAAGCAGAACACACTACAGCAATAAGTGAATTGGAGCAAATTATGGGGAAAAGTAAGTGTGTGTGTGTGTGTGTGTGTGTGTGTGTGTGTGTGTGTGTGTGTGTGTGTGTGTGTGTGTGTGTGTGTGTTCTCTTGATCCTGGTCCCCCTATACTATAGTGAGCCAGTCTTGAACAAGTGAAAAGATATGCAATTTCCTTTAGTAAGTGTAAATTTGAGAAGCATAACCTTGGAATTGAAAAGAGCTAGAATTGTCCAACTTAAACATGACCTAAACTTTCACATGGGTAACACTATCACATAGGTTAAAAGGAATCGGTCTTAGGAAACAAAAGTTAGAGTAGCAAATCCATAAGTTTGCAGATAAACAAGTTTCCTTTACAGGTGCATTACAAGCAGGCGAATAAAAATCTAATTAAAACAACATAGCACAGAAATGGTAGCCTACAGAAACATGAGTTACATAATTTTCCAATGTTACCTTCTATCAACATTATCAAATGGAAGATATGTAAGTTGTACAATTTTAAGATAAAAGTCGTATAAAAAACTGTATCACAAGACATTTATGCTTAATAAAATTAAAAGTTCCAGTAGTCCTGATAAACATCTCCATAAGTCATTAACAAGGTCACACATATCTACATCAAAAAAACAAAAAGGAATGCCTCTTCTCTTACCCTTTCTTGGGGTAAATTATCAAGCTTACTCCATCAGTAACAAGCTATAGCTTGACTGATAAAGAAAAGTAATTAAGGCAATATCCCCCATCCCTAGTTTTATGTACCATGATATTGCTAGTCTAATGAAATGATTTTATAGATAAAGTTCGAGATTATAAAGTAAAAATGTATTTTGAAGCAATTTATATACACACCAGATGTGTTTCAAATTTAAAGCAAATCAGCTGAAGCATTGCTTAAATACTCAAGGAATGGAAGAAGCAGTAGGAATGATTAACAGTGAAATATATGTGAGTGTGTGTATCAGCTCTTGTTTTTGGCTGCTCTGCATTCAGTGGCAAAAGGCTTGAAAAATGTATTTAAAAAAGAATTTCTAACAAAGTCACTCAGGAGCAACACCACAAAATAAAGTATATCACATGATGCAAAGGATATGTGTTTCATATTTGCAGTAAATTGGTGAAAATGTTATGGATTTCATCTAAAAAACCAAAGACACTTTCTTAAAATTTATAACAGAAGTACTTAGATCACAAAAAAGCCAGATGTACCAAATGTAAGGCAAAAATGGTTTTCTTGGATGCTTTGAATGTGATGATCCATTCCATTTTGTAGTGACATAACCCTTGAGCTTGGTGACTCAACCCTTGAATAAGAATGATATTGTACCGAGGGGGTGAAGTTATCACAATCAAGGGGTTAAACCAACTTGCTCAAGGGGTTAAATCATCTTACTCAAGGGGTTAAACCAACTTACTCAAGGGGTTAAAACAACTTGTTCAAGGGGTTAAACCGTTTTGTTCAAGGGGTTAATCCACTATATACAAGAGGTTAAGCCACCTTCTACAAGGGGTTATGCCAGCTTACTCAACGGATTACAACAGGGTGCAAAGACAATGAACCCTTATACCTCTGAAGTTACATCTAGGTCCCTCTTCCTACTTACAAATCTGCACAAGATAGTACTAAGTGTCAGGTCAGCTTTGCCTCACAGCCACTTTTCTCAAAAAAATCTTATATAAAACTGTAGATACTATTTGCATTATCCTCAAAATTCCAGAATATAAAGAGAAAGATTGCAGAATAAGCTTCAATGTCCAACCCTCTAAAAAAGTAGAAAAAGTAGACAAGTAACTAACAGAGAAGACTAAAAACCTCACCATCAACCATGATATAAAAGATTTGATTAACGTACGACAGAGGCACTAAACTAAAGGTCTATTACAGATGCGATGAATTTCACAATATTGTGTCCTGTGATTTCACTGGTAGGTAACATATCTACTTATTAATAATTTCCACCATGTAGTGTAGTCATCTCCATGCTTGATTATGGAAAATTCATGAGCGATAGTTATGTCATACAAGTCTGTCAAAATCTCAATATTTACAACTGAGATCCACGTCAACTCGTAACACATCACGGGTAATGAGAACACACGTGTGCAAAATACAACATATCACAGTTTATCCGCCAAGGTGTTCTGTCACGTTGAAATCTGGTGGCCAAAAATATTATCACACCTCACCACTAAACCCCTAACAGCAGTTCATTATTTTTTCTTCAAATTTTGTGACAGGAAGGGGTTCCCCAACTTAATCCACCCAGTTGTAACTATGAAAATAATAATATTAGTAAAAAAAAAGTGTACACTTTACTCTATTTATGCAACTCTTATTTCTTTAAGTAAAAATGATGCATACTGAAGACTGACTATTGTTTCAAAATAATTTTCATGACTAAAATACACAGGAGGTCGAGAATGGAATTTCACCTTTCAGCTTTAACCTATACTTGCACTGTTTCTCTATCCAATCGCAATGATTAAAATTTGGAAAATTAATTTTATTTTTAAGTACAAATTTGCCTATCCACTTCGTGGTAATTTTAACTTATTAAGCAAACTCTACTTTTGAAGACACAGTCTGCCAAGAAAATATTAAAAAAATATATATTATGTAACATGCCTACCATTAGATAATCCAATCTTGGTACAATAAATATCTATGTTGAGTAGCATAATTGGCAATACATCTAGCCAAAATAAGTTATGCATAAAATTTAATTAGAACTTCATAAAATCATAATAAAACTATAATGAGTCAACTTCTCATACATGATGTAATTTAATTATATAAATCTTCTCAGTAAATATGTTTATACTTGTAGTGCATAATGTAGTTATCTATGAGTGTGATGATATCAAACGGCCACATATTTACACTGGTTTCTATTTTCTGATTGCCAAAGCATCATTCATCATATAAGGACATGGACTGTGTACTAAAGCCATCCCTTCTTTTCAGAGTTAAGGCTTTAACACACTTTACGGGAGGTTATTCATACTCCATAATATTCACACTGACCGCCCAATTAATTTCTCAATTGCTTGTTTGATGTCCTGGATGGCCAAGTCAATTTCTTCCATAGTGGTGTCCCGCCCAAGGCTTAGACGAATGGTACGAGAGGCATGGAAAGAGCAGACCCCCGAAGCCTCCAGAATGCCTGTAAACAATTAAAGAAGGATGGAATCATTTTTATAGAGAGAAGGACTGGAGGATATATGACTCAACACTCAGTACATGCTTATATCTCAAGAAGAAGGCCATTACACCCTAAGTCATTCTCTCTCTTTTACTGTCTCTCTTTACATTCTTTTTACTTTTTCTGCATCTTCCTTAATTATCAAGTTTACACATTACAAACAACATACCCCAAACTTCTCTCTTTTAGTCCAGTATAATGTTGAAATCCATAAGCAAACAAAAATATCACAATGATACTTGGCAAACCGAGACGCAGTAATACCATACTAGCAGATGTTTGTTAGGGTGAGTAAATTTAGCAGAACCTAGCCAGATATTGAGACACCTATTCACTAATACATACTTTGATGCTCTGTGTGTGCATGACATGCAGCTCCACAACTGGCCTGAACCAGCCGACAATGACGTAGAATATCTGGTCCTGCAACCTGAAACCCAAAGATTATACATTCATATTCAGTACTGAAGCATAACATATTTTACCACATTAACTCTTCAATAGTACAGCCAAGTAGGCTACTAAAACCTAAGCATCACAAGTATTGATCTATACTATACCTGTCTATAGTAGAACGAAACTGATGATGTGTTGGGAAGGCGAGGAAAGATGAAGTGTTGCTGCTTAGGGCCCCGGGGTGGTATAGAACACGCCTCCGGGTCAGATGCAATACACGGGTCCACACAGTTGATCTTTACTTGGTTGCCAAAAACTTTCTAATGAATGATTTAAGATAAAGGAATAATTCATTATTCATTTTCAGTTTACAAAAAAAATCAATTAAAGTAAAAGGTTTGCCTGACCTCCCTAAAAGCATCAAGTACAGTACGGTATCACTACCCTGTACAATTAAAAATATATGAGTATTACTGTAATAATTAATCCTTATGGCAGACCATAACTGATGCACTACCAGATTCGAAACAAAGTCTGCCACCAGTGTCATCGATGTAAATAAGTGTAATTTGTATTTCTTAATTTTTTTATTTTTTTGCATTTAGTTATTAATAAAATATAAAGTTCCATAAGAGTGAATTCACATTCCATGTCCGGATTTTATTTGTAGTGATTTACAATGTTCGTAACCAGAATTCCCATAATGTGTATCAACATTTGAATAAGACTTGATACAGTAAGTCCTCGTTAAACACTGACCCCTGACAACGTTGTTTCGTTATAACATAACTAATCTTTAGATACCCATGATTCCGACAACGTCCCAACCGATTCGTTATAACGTCATCACGGACTACTTTGTATGGCACATCACCCTCTCTCTTCTTGGCGTGCTACGCTCTCTCGCGGAGCGTCACCTGCGTCCCCAGTCTTTGTTAGGCTTCCACAGCGTACGCGCATGATTAAGTGTTTTTGCTATAAATACTGTACTGTAAACATTTACTGTAACCATTCGAAATAGCTTCCAAGCGCCCATCAAGTTTTAGTGATGCTAGTGATTTGAAGAAGCAACACAAGACCATTAGCCTTGCTACGAAAATGGAGGTTTTAAAGCCACGACACACTCGCTCCACCTCTGCCCATCAGTGAGTACAATTCAAAATTATTTAGTTTATTTATCTTTTTGGATGTATAATATATATTTTCTATAAAAATTCCATTGAATTTATGTATATGTAATGTATTTTATGGGGCAAAGGGAGGCTGGGGAACGTAACTAGCGTATTTTATCATTTCTTATGGGGAAAATTTATCGTTAACATTGTGTTTTTCAAGAACGTAACCACGACGTTAAGCGAGGACTTACTGTACTTGCTAAATCCCTTTGTTAATGTATTACATATAACCAATAATCTCTTAACAGCAGTTGCCAACTACAGTCTCTCCTCAACTTACGACGGGGTTCCGGACCGACAACCTACGTTAGAGATCGCGCTGTGTACTGACAAAATTTTCGTTTGTAATTCACTTTAAAATGGCTGGCAAGCGTAAAAGTGAGAGTTCTCGTTGTGCTGAGAAGAAAAAGAGACATCCATTTTAGAATTTCTATGTATTATTTTCGCCTTTTCGACTTACGACCTGGTCGTCGAGGCGGTATCCCATCATAAGTCAAGGAGAGACTGCATATATTTCATGGTTGGCTCGCCCATCCAGATATCCAATTGGCAGTGTAAATATCCAGATACAAATCCCCTAACCTCAGATATTGAAAAATATTCACATGTGCCTTAGTGACATCCTACACATCTTTTGCAACTACATACTAGTTAACAGCTTCTTAGAAATGTAGTTTTATGTGCCATGCTTGCTGTTCCTTGGCATCAGCATGATTTTGCTAATCTGTAGCATTTGTGGCAGAAAGAGCTGTGAGCGTCATCTCCAAATATGATTTTTTTTATACAGATTTACAGTACAATCTGTCTCTCTGTTAATCATTACTTTTCACAGACTTTAATGAAAAAGTTTCTGGTTTTAATACTGTACAGTAAACTAATCAGTCTTTCAGTCATCATAACCTTTCAACACAAGTTCATTACTGTACTTACATACGTAACCACCAAACAGCAACTTTCAGTATACAAACACATGCTAACTCTACTGTACTATTTCATTTAAACGATAAACTGTGACCCTCTGTACATCATTGTGTAATGACCCAAAATTTACCGTGCACCAATGAAAGTGGCACTTTTGTGTATTAAACTTTAAGAACTATTATTTTGTCTTCCCACACTATTTTTTCTTCGGTTTCAATATCATTATCTGTTTTTATTCCAAATGTACTCCGTCAGAACTTTCTGATGATCAATTACTCTCAACCTTCTACAAAATACATGTACTGTACATTGTATACCCTGTAAAACACAATACAGCTGCTCCCCGACTTATGACGGGGTTAGGGACCAACATCCAGGTCGTAAGTCGGAAATGCTTAAATAACACATAGCAAATCGAAAATAGGTGTCTCTTTTTCTTCTCAGCACCACAAAACACTCACTTTTAAGCTTGCCAGTCATTTTAAAGTGAATTACAGATGAAAATTTTGTCTGTGTACTGACTTTGGGACTCGAAAATACGTAATTTGACCAAATTTTGGTACGACTGAGGCAGGTCATAAGTGCGGGTGGACGTAAGTCGAGAAGGTCATAAGTTGGGGAGGAGCTGTATATACAAGCAAGTAAAAGATCCATCTCATAAACTTTCTTTTAACTGTAATATATAAGAACACCTACCTTTAGTTGCCTTTCCATGTAGTTTCTAGTTTTTTTCATTGATGCATAATAGTCTTGAACATTGTTATGAACTAGGAGCGATGCTCGACCCAACCCAGCAATCATTGGTGTGTTCTCTGTGCCTGGTCGATAACCCCGCTCCTGACCTCCCCCATAAAACATTGGGTATACGGGAGTCTTGTGGCCCAATCCACGGATATACAGAGCACCAATCCGTGGTCCATAATACTGCAACAAGATTTGTGAGCTCCATTAGGCCCAGATCTAAATACATTCTCCTGGTCATTCTTTTTTCTTCACAAGGAAAAAAAAATATTTCTGCAGAATTTTCTAAATAATATTAAGCATGTTATTATCATCCCTTCTTTCTTTCACATAAATAATTTTTCCCTCTCTTATCAGTCTTTTTTCACTAATAAATACTTGTAGGGCATATAAAAGTATAATTCTGTCAAACTCTCCAACATTGAAAATATATGTTTATGGATCATATCCCCCTTGCTGAATGATTTCCATAAATGATTTATGTAGTCTAATAAACAATTCTTCCATTAAAACTACTGTAGTTCCCTATCAAAACCAAACACTGAAAATTTTTAATTATTTCAATCAATGACAAGCCTGGAAGCAGTGTCTCATTTCCGCTTAATAGTGAGATACTGTACACACAATTTGAAGAAATGAGATTGAAACTACATTAAAAAGTTAAGCTAACTGAACTGTTATATACTGTAAACAAGTATACTATGTCCATATTCATCATTTTCTGTAGACATTTATGTTAACTAATAAATACTGCAAAATAGATATATATATATATATACCATATACCTTGTGTCCAACAATGGTCAAGTAGTCAACATTAAGGTCTGTCACATCCACAGGAACTTTCCCAATAGCCTGTGCTGCATCTGTGTGGAGGAGGACCTTGAACAATCCTTCATTTTCACGCTTCTTGTTTACTTCTGCTAATAACCTTATAAGGAGATGTATAAAAATTCTATCAGTTTAGATCATCCATAACATTTTCAAGAACTTTGCATGTACCGTATATAATGGCATATACGACAACCATTGAGACTTAAAAAAATTCACCTAAAAGTAGGGGTCATCTTATTTGCCTAGGATAAAATGTGAACCTTAAATCATATGAGGCAGGCAGGGTAAAGTCCCAACACCACTGTAAAACAAATATTAGCATATAGTGTAAATACATATTCATTCTCTTTTAGGTGTACAGTACATAAAACAATAATGTAACATACCTGCCAATGTGAGCAACAGAGAACATAATGCCAGTTTCATTATTGGCCAGCATGACTGTGATGAGGCAAGTAGAGGGTCGGATAGACTCTAATACAGCTTCAGGCAGGTTTTCAACTCCAAGGTAGGTTACATCTGAAATGCATGTAACAGTACCTCAAAGAAGAGAGACAAGAAGGGAAAGTAAAGAAAGTAAGGTTAACACACACACACACCACGCACACGCACACACGCACGCACACACACACACACACACACACACACACACACACACACACACACACACACACACACACACACACACACACACACACACACACACACACACAACACACACACACACACACACACACACACACACACACACACACACACACACACACACACACACACACACACACACACACACACACACACACACACACACACACACACACACACACACACACACACACACACACACACACACACACACACACACACACACACACACACACACACACACACACACACACACACACACACACACACACACACACACACACACACACACACACACACACACACACACACACACACACACACACACACACACACACACACACACACACACACACACACACACACACACACACACACACACACACACACACACACACACACACACACACACACACACACACACACACACACACACACACACACACACACACACACACACACACACACACACACACACACACACACACACACACACACACACACACACACACACACACACACACACACACACACACACACACACACACACACACACACACACACACACACACACACACACACACACACACACACACACACACACACACACACACACACACACACACACACACACCACACACACACACACACACACACACACACACACACACACACACACACACACACACACACACACACACACACACACACACACACACACACACACACACACACACACACACACACACACACACACACACACACACACACACACGGACATATGCACCTTTTCTGATCTTGCAATATATAAAGTCATGCCTGCACTGTAAATTACTGTAGACGTATAGTCTGGCTGTGATGTACTTATAGTAATTAAGTGGTAACTTGTAACACTTCAAGCTTTTTCAACTTAAAAAATTCATTAATATAAGCATAACATATTGATTGGAAACAAACAATACTAGGATTACAGTAAACCCACTAAAAAATTATTTGGCACCCTTGTCATATTGTATCACGCCGTAAGGGTGTCGAATTATTTTTTAGTGGGTTTACATGTATGTATTGTGCATGTATACATGTGTGTGTGTGTACAAGTAACATGTACACCCATTAAAAAATTATTCGACACTCTTAGGGAGTGATACAATATGACAAGGGTGCCAAATAATTTTTTAATGGGTGTACTTTCCATAAAAATTACTAAACCAAACTCTTTTAAAAGTAAAACAACAGCCAAATCAGCAACAAGACACTAAAAGCGTATCACACATAATATTCAGTTCCAGAGTACTGTACTGTAATAATAACGGACAAAAGTCAGTCTATAACATTTACCTGAACTCAATATTGCTCATTCAGAAAATGTATCTTTGTCTTTTTCAATTATTGTTTGCCTATTTTAAGTCTAAGTAAAAGCTATGGTTACCCATAGTACAATAAGTGTGCAAGTTGAAGATTTGACCATGTGTGTTTGGAGTATTTCTACTGGTCTTCAATTCTTTACTGTTGTTGTCTAAACTTTGTCTTGCACTATAGGGTATTGTACACTACTCCTCTACTATTACTCTCATTTCTTTGAGGTTCCTGTATCACTTGATCCACCTTACACCAAACAAAGGATGAGGACCAACTATACTGCATTAGATTTACACATAATATATATCTGCTACTTCCTGTCCATCTACAGTACTTTCACACTTCTTTACACTTGCCGAGGCACATCACTTTTCAGCAGAGACTTGTTTCACATTGCAAGCAAATGATGTTCAAATATGTGATGACAGCCATACTAGTCAGTAAAATTAAGCTGCTGTAGTAGTAAAATATTCTGCAGGTGTGGGAGATGATCAGTATAAGAAATATTAAGGAAGAAATATACAAGTGGCTGACATTAAAGGAGTATGTACTTTTTTTTTACCCATCCAAGGTCTTTCCCACTACTTTCCCAGATTCGCTGACCATTCACTTTCTGCAAGTGTAGTAAAATATAATGGTTTGATATAATTCACAAAATTCAAGGGACTGAAAATACTTCACCTGATGATTTGTCCTCCAGCCATTTCATGCTAAGATTTATCACTCTCATGCCAACCTAACCTAACCCCCAGATAGTGTTAAGGTGGTTAATCTTCTGGTGAAATAGGGTGGGGGGGGGGCAGAAGGGAAAATCTCCAATTAATCTAGAAATACCCTGTACTGTACAAAGCTATTGTGGTCAACTACTGTTATTTCTATTACCAAGAATGAAGCATTATTTTAATGGTTGTCATATGAATGAGTATGTAAATACCGTACAGTAAAATAGTGATTCAGTGAGAATGTGGTTTATAGAAGCATATGCTAAAATATACTGTACAGTAAAGGTATAGATATTTCCACAAAGATGTCAATTATATTCAGTAGTTTTATGTGCTGCAGACTAAGCAGATCACATGTTAGTACAAAACAGAGAAATGAAACTAACCAGCCTCAATTGCATATCTGTGTGTCAATGGTAGCTTGACAGCATCATGTTCAACTTTGGTGGTTATGATATGAGGGCGAAGGTGATGGTATATGGGGCTCTCTTGTGACAAGCACCACTTGCGGAAGTGCGTCACAGCACAGTGCAACACCACATTGTTGGCCTGAAGAAAGCAGAAAAGTCTTCAGAAAATTCAATTTCAGTTTTACCCAAGAGTTAACTCTTTACACTCACCCTAATTTTCAATTATAAATAAAACCAAATCATCCTCACCTCTGTGCCACCAGACATAAACAAAACATCCTGAGGCATGGCACCAATCATCCTGGCTACATCATCACGAGCCTGGTTTATAACTGTTCTTGCTCTTGCACCTTCCTCATGGGCAGAGCTGGGGTTACCCCATGCTTCATGCATGCTCTGCTCCACTGCTTTCATAACCTCCGGTGCCAAGGGTGTTGTGGCATTGTAGTCAAGATAAACCCTTTTCTGGACGTTGCTGCCAGTGCTGGACCCACTGCTACTTCCAGACATCCCACTACATAAAAAAAATAAAAAAGTTACTAAGTACATACTGGTATAAAATATATAAATTTACATATACAGTACATTACTATATTTTCTCTAAAGTCTACACGTAACCAATTAAAAAAAAAAAAAAACTCTTACAAATAATCTACCAACTCTAAATCAATAGTTCACTATCAGAGTAGTTCCCTGGTATAATGAAGAAACAACTGCTGTCACTGGTACACTAAGTTGCCAAGTAAACATTACTGAATTTTGGAAAGGCTTCAGCCTCTAAGGCTATATTGCCCCAGTCTAGTTAGTTGCCTTCCTGGTTCTGATAGTTACACACTTCAGTAAAAAGAAAAAATGGTGAAAGACCCACATATGCTAAGCTGGTGTTTCCAAAGCATTATCTAATTCAAATTTTCTTTAAAATCTTAATAATAAAGACAATAATAAAGATGCTCATGTGTTTGACACCATGTGCGGCAGGTGTTATAACTTTTAACGCATACTGTACTGGTACACCAAACAACTTAACAAATTTCAGGTAGGCTGTAGCCCCATGCATTTACAGAATTGGCAACAATGATCACCAAATTATGCCGATTATGGCAGGAATAAACCCAAGACCAGACAATACTCTTTGTTTTGTCACATAACTGACTGCTGGAGGTATAACATCCTCGGGCTATTTATAGTTTTCAAAGAAACCTCTTTTTTTTTTTAGTTCCAACTCTTGATCCAATAACAAAAAGCATATTTTACACTTAGACTACATCATCCCTCATGTGACATCACCAGTACAACTGAGAACAGCATTTTTTTTTTTTAAATGCACACCAATTTTAGAATTTTTAGCATTCATAAAGTAAGTTACGTCTCCCAGACCAGTAGTCCTCCTCACGCTACCCGCACCTCCATAAGGCTCAAAGTTTCTTCTGTCATCATCAAAGATGCATGGTCATCTCTGTTCATGGGAATCTGCCCCCAGCAACCCCTAGCTCCTCTGCTGAGTAGCTCGGACCCACACATTCACTCAAACACTCCTCCATGACTGAGAAAATTTAAGTAAATTTCTTCCACTTTTATATTTTATTCTTCTCCATACATATCTTATCTTTTACCAATACATATACTACTGTACAGTATTATGTGGAGAAAAAATAAAAAAAAATTAAGAAACTAAAATTAGCTAAATTTTCACCCAAAGTACCCCCAAGATGAGATAAAATTGACTGACTGTGAGAAAGAACAGCACTATACTGTACTGTATACAGTAAAGGGCTTGAGTTGAGGCAGTATGAATGTTCACTTTTTTGTTTTAGTAAATTATTCCAGTCGCACGCACGCATGCACACACACACCCTTTCGACTCTCACTGACCATCACCACGGCCTCATCTGCAAATTTGGTAAGAAGCTTCTACACCATCCCCGACACCGGCCCCTACTACCACCTGAGATCCCCTGTCCGAGAATTGCTGTTCGACACCACAACCGCATCCAGCCCATACGTGCACGAACTGATCGCTATAAGAACAGCCCAGTCCCAACCATTGTAAAAATTATCAATAACATGTAATAAATCAGTGTATTCACTCCCAGTAAACACTGCTCCCTACACTGTCACTATGTTGAAATGAACTGTAGTTTGAGCTGATCCCCATCTAAGTTACTATACATCTAAGTTACTATATGTCTTATTTGTGTCACTTATGTCACTTGTATATTATTTGTAATTCGTAACCCATTCCCCAAATATGTAACTGTATATTTTCAGCCTTCTGGCTGCCAAGCTCTTTCAATAAACCGTTAATTATTATTATTATTATTATTACACACGCACACACACACTATATATGATTTTTATACATTTTTAACTCGAAAAATAAATAAGGAAAATGTATTACATGATTGAGAAGTCTAAAAGTAAACACTGGCAGAAACAGGTTATAACTCTGTCATGTTTACATCAGCATTTAATGTTCTACACCTAGGGATACAGTATTATTATATGGTTAAGCAACATGACATACAAGTTTCATAGTTACAACTTTGCCACTATTATATGTAACATGTGTGCATTATCATTAATCAAAAACTTTGACATGTTATCAGAGACATCAAAATTCACCCTTGCCACGTTGCCAGCTTTCAAATCTGCCATTTCGAGCTCAAAAGCGCCACACTGTTTTACATCTGTCTTGAACGGAAACTGAACAATATAAAAAACTCACTAAGCAACTCAGGGAATTTATCATTCAAATTTGCTGCCATTTTCTGTCTGCATCTGTGGGAAGTAGAGTGAACTGAGCTGAGAACAGTTCACAAGTAGGAATGTTGAACTTCTGCTGCAAAATGTGGCATCAAGGCAAGCCAAGCCTGACCTGACAAGGAGTGTAACTGTGTTAATCCCTTGACCACAATTTATGGTCCCAACTTAACGAGACAGCACCTGTCAGCCACGTCCTTGACACCTGGACCGAAAAATAAATCAATCATACATGGCTGCTGCAAGACCCAGGAGACTCCAGTGACCTTATGAGCTCTATGAAACCCCTTGTGGTGCAAATGGGGTCACGACCCCATGTTAGGGAACGGCTACTCTAAAATATGGTATCAATTCTAGTAGATGAACCAACAACTGTTAGTAAGCAAGCAGTGTAAATCACAGCTATACATTTGGTACATTTGTGATGCTATCTATTAAATTTTTTCTTGGATTAGGTTTGGTAGTAAGTTAAAAGTTTTTTCCAGTATCATTTTTAATGTTTTCCTGTCCCGAACACTGGAAGATGTGTCCATTATTTACATCCGAGACGCTTTCAATAACTTACCTACTGCTACATTATATGATTTATTGATAAAATGAATCAAACTAACCTACATAACTTCCTAAGTTAGGTTAGTTAATGTGATGTCAGATATATTATTGCACACAGCAGTGCATATACTCGGGATGGAGAGTCACATAAAAAGGTGCAGGGTATTACAAAATACATTTCCAGACTCATTTTGAGGGGTATCTCAGGAGGTAAGAGCATTTATCTCCAACAGAAAATTTTCCCTAAGTTGTTGCTTAAGGTGCACAACCATCATCCAGTATTAGCTAGTTTAAAATGGTAAGTAATAAATCAATTTGGTAATACTTGATGATGTAGAAGCTCCCTTAGCACTAACTTTAGATAATTTTTCAATACTGCAGTACAGTAACTCTAAAATATTTCTTACCTCAAGAAATAGACAAAAATATGCATGAGGAAGGTTTTGTGTAACATCTACCTGTCTGCCATGTTAGTTTATGTAAGGAAATGTTTTAGTTATATTTATTTTATGAGATTAAAGTAAGAAACTTATTATTTTAAGGTAGGTTTGGTTCATTTTATGAATCATAAATTATAGAATGTTTAAATATCGGATACTTCAGAAAATTTAGCAGTTGCCAGTAGTTTCCGATATGGATCGTCAATAATTCATCATTTAAGAAATTAACCAAACTATTCTACCTTACTTAACTTAATCTACACTATCAAAACTATTCTAAAATACTTTACTTTATCCTCTTTGCCACTAATCAGCAAGTTAGATGCTTGGGCGATCAGTCATGGCTCTGTTACACATTGCTGGCAAGTTCTACTGGTTCCAGAGTGCATCTGTACCTGCATCAGTGTTGGTCAAGGCTGGTCTTGAATGAGCTCACACTTGATGTCATCACAATGCACTCTGGCAGATTGTTCAAAGATTTACAATTCTCAATCCAAAAAAAATTTGCCCTGGCAGTTTGCTGAACTTGTTGCATCTTTAACCTTAAGTTGTGACCAGCAGGTCTAGATATAGACACTCGGCTGAGTAATGTCATGGGGGTGTTGCATTTTAATATTATAAGAATACTTTCCATGAAAAGTAGTCAAACACATGAACATGGCAACCATGGCAGGTGGAGTTTGGCATCCTCTCTGCTAACTGATGTCGTAACAAAAAATTGCACTCTTCATAAGGTAAGAAATCTTTTATCTTTCATGGAGAAAAGTCCTAAACTTAGACGAAAGGCACTCTAATTTTAGGTATTCCCATCAATTTATATACATTACAACACACAGCCAGGGAACACTTCACATACAAATACTTTTGCTTATTTTTCTTCTGGTTGGGGAGAATATGATGCAACCTGCCCTGTCTCAAAGGTTAACCAGGGATAGTTCAAGATGCCATTATAAGTGAATTATTCTGAACATCTACCATTCCCTCATTTATATATAACCTTGGGGTGAGGCAACACATCAAGTCATCAGCATTACCACAATACTGAAACAACAGTACAAGAGCCCAGGGTGTCAGAGGTTCCATGACCTGAGACCCACAAGTTGAATAACTCAATACCAACCATATATGTATATATATATATATATATATATATATATATATATATATATATATATATATATATATATATATATATATATATATATATATATATATATATATATATATATATATATGTGTGTGTGTGTGTGTGTGTGTGTGTGTGCATCACCTCAGCCTCAGTAATTATTCTCCCGCACCTCCCCCCTCATAAAACACAGGCCACATGAGAGAAGACAGCATAAGTTTTGAATTATGAGTGTATGAAATAACCCCCTCGAGTGTGGCACCATCACTCACATACCTCATGGTAGAACAAAGCAACTCTGGACACCATCAGCGACCAACACCACAACCACTACACACTATATCTTCCACATATTTAGGGGGTTATAATAGCACGGTGAATCCCGACGTTAACAGTGGTGGTCTTGTCTGCACAGACAAGGAGTTTTCAATTTGATCCCAGACGCGACAGTGTTATGAAACGCGCCATCACACAGCCTCCCACCACTCCTCAAACTCCAACAAAATGCTCTTAAAACATACACAGAGGTTTAGGCTGGTATTGTGGCAACTCGTGGGACTCGTAGATACGGTATACAATTTGAAATTCACATTGATCCAGGTCGGCGTTCCCCCTACATTTGTTTACGTCCCGTTTTATCACGTGTAAATTGCAGGGCGCATGCGCAGTGCCCCGCGCCACGTGACCCGCCAAGTTCAAACTGGTAACGCTCACTCTCCCTCTCACAAGTCCTCCTCAAAGTCTACATTTTGAATGGCTTCTTCGGTCTAATTTAGTTTTAATTCATCGTTAATAATATATTTGGTCATATTTAACATTGATTCCTAATTATAATATTTCAGTGCTACATCACTTCCAATTAATATTTAGTCTAAATTTTACTATCATTGCCTTAGACATCACATACAACCATAAAATTACACGGTGGTTTTATAATACGATGACTCAGATATCAAGTAAAATAATGTACAGATTTGAAGATGGCATACTAATGTACTTGATTGTAAAGAATCGTTTAGATGAGAGTAATCCAGTTCAAGGAAATATATGTAATTTATGTAGAATATTGCCAAATGTAACAGACTTTTTCCATCATGAAATGAGGAGAATAAAATTATGCCTGGCACTATTAAAATATTACACAACAAAAATTGAAGTGAAGTATTCAACGACGAATATGGACAACGGATTCCTGGAGCAGGCGAGAGTTTGCATACTGTATTTATTTAATTATGTGCAATGTGAGGATAATACTTATTTCAGTTATATCGATGCCTTTAATAATAAAAGTCTTACCAACGACCACAACCCATTATCAATTGATGTAATTATATATACTAAACACTATTAGTTATAAAGCTTGAAAAGTGCAGCACCTCACCCCCACCTTTAACGATATAAGCGATGTAACATAATTCCAAAACCCATCATTGATCATAATTAAGTAAAATGGCCATTACTATATCAGTATGTCGCTTGTTATTTCACAAATTTGTGCCGATGCAATATACCAAAAATGAATACGATGAATATGGCATTATTGCTGTTTCGGTCCATCTAACTTAATTTTCAAATGTTACTGCTGCCTGTCATATAAATTCGCTTGCATGATATTCGAAAATGAACAAAGATATTGCTGAAATTTAACCGTACATGCTTATTAAGTTGAATGCAGATCGGAGGTTAGGAAGGGTGAGACACCCTATCAAAATAACTAACGTTAGAAAATTACCACGAACTTAACCGCTAAACTACTACCGGTAATGCTGCACCCCGAACCCTGCCTTACCCTACCTTACCCTGCCTTACCCTACCTTACGAACCTCAGATAGTTTGGGTTAAATTGGTTCGATTGTGCTTGCATCTCGTTGAAAAAATATTATTTATTCAATCCTATTTGTGAAATTCATCTAACATTATAACTTGTAGTTCAAATAATTTGTGTTGCCAAACTCGTGTGTTCTATTTACGAAAATAAAAAATATACAAAGAAATTGTAAATCCATACAAATGTAAGACACTTGTCTTTAAAGCACGAATACCGAGGTAAATTAAAGCTTTCCCAGGTGGTTTAGTCTGTTTTCGCATTTCAGAAAGACCAACTGGATTAGTATTATGAGATGGAATATGACAAAGGCTGGCGTGGCGGATCACCTCTTGGTATTATACAAGTAGCCGGGACCGCGGGGCCATCCTACACTGTTAACTCCCGTTCCCCCAGGCAGTGTTTCTTAATCTATCTCTACATTTGCATTGCCATTTCGCACTCGTCTATGCTATTGTAGTGGATTTCTCCCTTACAAACGCTGTTTGTCGCCGAGTAGCTGACCCCGCGAATTCCCCAGTGTATGCCTAGTTTTTTTTTTTTATAAACACTGGTGAGACTACAAGAGTGTTGATATTGCAGTATCTACTGTACTTTGTTAAAATTAGTTTCTTTTAATACAAAAATTATGCAATTTTTATTTCAAAATTTTAAAAGATTGTATTTACAGTAATACATAAAAACAGGGATGATATAAACATCACAGTGAGACAAAAATCAGGGTAGTAATGAGACACACTGCTCACTGGGAGTGACACATTTATTGACATTAATACACTATGCAAAATAATCATAATTTCATTATTAGCCATCTATTCCAGAAATTCATCTCACCACCACCAGTTAACATAATGACAAACTCACTCCCATCACCTAAAACATAGATCAGTCCTTTGTGTGCACATCCATGCCCATACCAATACAGCATCCACACACCGGTACTTCCTAAATGTGAATCTCATTCAAAGATCAGGCAACAATGAGGTTAATCATATATTCACATTAAATGTTAGATATTATCTAATATCCTTGTTTCCTGGATCTATTATAATTAACTGACATCTATTTCATTTTATAAGTACTGCCTAGCTAGCAATGTCACACTTCCGAACAAATGTTAGCCTGAGTCTCCTACTTGTTATTACCAAAGGCTTTTTCCCAATTTAAACTTCATAATTCAAGATATTTGCCTTCTCATACCACATTACATACTAATATTAAACTAATAACATACAGGTCCAAGACAAGCTAAATAATTCTGAGTGAACTTAAACCTCCGCAGTCATTTCCATAACAAGTAGATGTCTGCAATACAATACTCTGTAACTATTTGACACACTGCAGTTAATGTAAAGCAAAATTTTACTACAGGGTGGTGTAAAAGTAATCCACTGTGATATTAGTATTACTGCTTTCTCTGGTTATATATTTTTGGATACTTTTTGACTCTCCTGCTTAATACAATTTGAGTCAGGTGTAGTGTAGTAACTTCCTCAGCTGTAGGACAAGTTTACAAACAAAAATCCTTGAAATTAATTTTGAAGCTCACAAACCAATACAGTAGTGGAGAATAACCCAGATCCACATTGTTACATGCTATAGGAGTTCCAGAAAATATAAACCCCCCCACCCCATAAAAATATAGGAAAATTGACTTTAAGACTGTGGTTTTGACATGTCACCTCATGTGTTCTAATTCCTATCCCTTCTGGAAAAAATAAAATAAAATAAATAGAAAATACTGTACAATGATTTCTAACTACAGTACACTGAAAGTCTAAAGGTTGGGAAAATTTTTTTATCTCTATAAAGAAAAAGATGCAACATACTGTATCATAAGTGACAATATACTGCAGGTGTTGTCAATAATTATAATCAACCAATTAAGAGCATGAATAAAAATCTCTGTGGGTGAAAGTGGCCTGATGGCAATTGGAGATCAAACAATAATTATTATAAGGACGTCCAAAATGAAAGCCTTACCCAGAAAAAGAAAATATACACAACAACGAATCAATAAAAATCTTAGCATTCATGATACATTCTATCATTATGTGCAGATGACAGTTTTCTTGTTTATTTTATATCACCAAGAAAAATTACGACATCCAAATAATAATCACTATTAAATTTTGTTTCTTCGAATTAGTCGATCACTGGCAAATTCAAATTTCTTCTTTATTAAAGTACTGTAAAACAAAAAACGGTCTGAATTATATTAAATGTTGAACAAATATAAATAAAATCTCATTGACAACATTAAGTGGAACCTACTTTGTTTTTGGTATTTGCAAATGTCTAGAGTTCATCACCTCCCTCACATTCAGTATTTAAGCTGTTGACCTCTCCACAGCCATTATTCCCAAAGTCCTTACCAATTCAGCATATCATCGTCACTTTATTAATCAAAAGAGGGCAAGCAATTGATCTCATATTAATAAGTAACATTTAATTGGGTAGAACATTAGGGAGCGGCAAGACTGAAGAAGGTCAGCTCTAAGTCATTCAAAATGTACACTTATAGCAGGAAGAAAATTGGAAGCAGTGTGGGTTAGTAACAGTAAAGTTGTCTTGAAAGCTGTTAACAGTGATTGATATAATCTAGCCAAAGGGAAGGTTTTATGCAAAAATGCCCATAAAACCCAAGGATAGTATTAATATCACACAAAGCTAAAAGAACATAGGACATGGAAGTTTTATACTTCATATACCGGTATGGGAATCACAGACATGACCCACTGAAGGCAGATATTTAAATAATAAATCATAGGGAGAGGATAAATTAATGTTACTGTGTGACATCATAGGATAATAGGTAGCAGTTTGGTACAGTAGTAGTAAATAGGCATTATATTAATAAGAGAATGACTGGAGAGTATGTGTTTGTACTTGCTCATGATTCTCACCACCCTACATTAAAGTGGAAAAAGATTTAAAAAAGAAAGCACACATTATCTTGAAGAAATTCTCTCCAAAAGTGTTGTAAGAGAGCAGCCTCACAGGATGTAAGGAATAATCATCATAAGTTACATGCTGTGATAATAAAGAAGGGTATCTACTTCAATAGAGAAATAGGGAAGGTACAGTATTAATAATTATACAAACTTGTTTTTGCTGTTCAGAAAAATAAAAATAATCTGTAATACTAGCACTGTTCTGTAATTTTTCTCTGTAAAATATGTAAATTGGAAGAGGAGTTATTGCAATGAACTGCCAACCACCCAAGCACTATCTCTCCCCACTATGAATAAAGAAAAAGTACAAAAACATCACATAAAAGTTTGAATGTCAATAAAATAACATATGAACTATACATTCAGTTTGCAATAAAAAAATTAGATTTTGGTAATCATTGAAGACAAAATGACAACAGACGATTCCAAAAGGTGCAAAAATACAATGCCACACGTTTACTACAAACTGAAGTGCATAATTCATAAATCCACAACTCGTATGTGTAAACTGACCTTTGGTTCATATCAATGTTTTTGCAAATAAAAAGGGGAAATTATGATGATCTTAAGTAGAGAGGAAGGATGATACTACAACTTGTTCTTAAATAATGGTTAATTTTCCCTGACCTCCATCTTGTACTGTGTAAGATTTATGTAAATTCAGACATACAGTATACTGCTGGCTACTGATAAGTGAAATCTCTTTCTTGCAAAATACAGTACAGTACTGTACTGTATACCAATACTAAACAAAATGCTTATTTAGATAACCCAATTCAGTTACAAACACCTCAGCAATTCAGATGATTTCAAACTGCAGACAAATGTAATCCTAAACTCAGAATAGTGTTTAGCAAATTAATGGTTCCTACAACTGCCATCACTGATACAGTAATATTTGGACATTATGAATGGCCCAAAACAAAATTATCATTAATCATTAGAAAAATAGCTTTATGCAGAATTATTACACAGTTTCTAGAAAAAATGTATTATGTACCTAACAAACTAAATCCATTCTATCCTACAGAGGTTTTAGAGATATGGTACTTCCACGAGGTACGATCCGAACTTCATAAAAATTAGGGAGATGAGCATTGGAGGTCAAGTTTCAGACATCCATATGAAGAAACTAAGTAGAGAGTATTGATTTACATAAATTAAAATATATTGTAATTCTTCCACACCAAGTAATTCCAGAAGCTATTAAATGTTCCCGCAAGTTTTAAGTGAACATTTTATTGCTAGATCCATCCCAGTACAGTAATGAGAGTCTTGACAAATTCATCCCAATCAAAAAAAAATTCCAGTGAGTTTTTGGCTTTGTTTAAAACTACAGTATGTAACTCAAAGCAGTTTTTGAGGTAATTTAAGAGTCCTCTTGGTTAAAATAAACAATCCAACGTAATGATCTGCCTGTTAAGTGTTGCTTTTGTTAACTATTTATAAACCTCTTATTAATTAACAGCTTTCATGATTAACTAAACATGGGCTCTTACATGTTGTTCTTCAATGGTTACCAAGCAACCTCAATGGTGTCTCTCACATTCACACATACATTTTAGCTTACAGTATAGTTAATAATAATAGTGTAATAAAAAAACTATTACTGAAGAATTCTGTTTTGAGTATTACAAGCTGAAGAAATTAACCCATTATTGCATATAGATGTGCCTTGTTGAAGACTTGAACTACAATGCAAAAGGTATGTTGAGAAAGATTCTGGTAACATAACTAAAAATTTAACGTCTATGTAAGGAATGTTTCACATACCGGTACAATACTTGGTTAAAATCCTGGTTTCCTCACTTGTTGGTATTGTAAGGCATTATGTGGCAATATTTATCGTTTCTAGTCCTTTTACACTGCCTAGTTAACTAATCTGAAATTCCATGGGACATGTAGTCATTTCTCAGTACAATATTTTTTTTATCACACAAACTTCCTTTGTCTAAAGCAGGATGGCACATGTTATGAACATCCAGTAAATAATACAGTAAGCTCTCAAATGACATTTCTGGTCTAACTGTAAAGTGAACTTGTGTAACCTTTTGTGTATGGAACCAAGGATTAATGCAGGATAACACCCATCTCAAACAGGATGACATTGAGGGTATAATGAACTCTGTTCAAGTTCCCTTACTTAAGCAGTTACAAGGGAAAGAAATAGCAAAATTTGTTTTTCTGAGACTCCCAAGCATTACATTATTCCCATATTGTTTTCCATAATAGGATAGCTTAATATATTACTTTCTTTTTAATCTATACATTCACCCACCCTTACAATTCTATTACAGTACATGTATTCCCACACATCATCAAAGTTATTTTCCCAAAATTTCAAATACAGTGTAAAATAGTAATTTTAGTAGAGGATACAGTACCCTGAACATAATCTTTCCAGGCACAATGACTCAAATCCCCAAAAAGGCATAAATATATAATGAGGAAATTCACGTAACTAATTACAAATTGATATGTTGTGTTAAGAGGGGCTATTTAGGAGAAAAAAGTATTAGATCTAGAATGATTAACACCACAAACGTCATTCCTGCCAACTTATATGCTGAAGTTGTCAAGCCTGTCAGTTATGTCATTAATTAAAGAGCCCATTTCTCACCCGAGATGAGCCATACATGGAAGTGGAATAGGACGATGTTCTTGACATTAATGTATGCCATATCTATTATTAAATGTAAGTCGTGAAAATATAGCACAAAGCAGACACTGACAGCAAACGTTTTTCTAGATTTTAGTTTAGTAGTGACCAAAGAGAAGAGTTGTGCATTAAAAATTGTCAATTGTGGCAATATCCTTATACAGTGAAGAGGAAATCATGAGTGTACTGGGAGGAAGAGAAGTCCAAACCAAATGAGTGACTCCTTAGCTCAGGATGGTAAAAGATAACTCCTGATGTGCAGTGCAGAACGTACACCAGCTGCAGTCATCTTTCACATCACGTAATCAATTAAGTAAATTATGCATTTGATGAAGATTTCCTTTTACAGAAACATGATTAGCTTCATCAACTGTTGATTTATATACTGTAATCAGAAATCTTGTAATTTCTTATCATGAAATGCTGCTAATGATATGTTCTGTATTGTAAAGTATTAAGGTTTTGAGTCTTAAATATATTAGTGAAAATAAACTGGTACTGAATTTTTAATCATTATTTGAATGATTACTATTCACATCTTGTGACACACTGATGAGGGAATTTCACAGGGAAACAACCAATGTCATTGTATCTATAGCTGTTTGTGACTCAAATATTGATTAAGAATTCAGAAAAAATAAAAATAAGTACATAAAAACTATAATGTACCAGTAACTTTCATTGAAGAAGTAAAAAAAGAAAAAAAAGAAAAACAAAATAAAATCAAACTTGTCTTATACAGCATCTTCTCTGCAAGTTCACTTGGCAAAACCATAAGATATTAGTGATATCTTGATATGGTGAGTTTATCTCACACTTGTTATGTTGAACAACGTGATGTACTAAGAGCCAGACCCACTTCAGGAGGGTCAGGGATGTAGTTACGAGTTTTGTTGTGATTCTCACCCATTACATTAGTGCATCATCACCCTTACCTGTTTCTACAATCCTCTGTCTTATAATTTCAATGTAACTTACAAGAAAATGGTTATAATGCAGTCTATGTGAACAAGTGTTTACTGTTTTAGATTGTAGAGGTCACGACATGTCAATAGGGCTGTTATCAAATGTAATGGAAATCCCATTCATGCATAACTGTAATGGGTAAGTACACAAAAAAACAGCTTACGACCTCGGGTGACCCAACACAGCAGCCGGGTCAGATCATTGCTATCCCCTCAGCACTGGCCAAGGGTTGTAGCTCCAAACAACATACGACGCAGTGCCACTCCCACAGCTGGGCACAGTGCCCACGTGCACACCAACCCCCTCTGAATGATGACCCATGCCCACAGCAGGTGAGGTGTGGGGGGGAGGGAGGGGCAAGAGCAGGGCGGGGCCAACCGGCTGTGACAGTCCCATGAAGGGAACAGAGCAGGGCGGTGAGTGGCGCCAGGCGTCACTAGCGGCACAACACCCACATAGCTAGGGTGGTGATGCCAGGCAGGAGATGTCCAGTTACAAGCACCGGCACCGCTCAAGGCAGCAGGCGGCTGTACTCCACGAAGAGACTCCACTTGCGCACACTCTCCCATGTGCGACACACATATTGGTACCTACAAACACAGAACATACAAGTATACATGTTACTCTGAAACTTTAAATAGTTATACAGTACAGTAAAACTCCCATAACTTGGCACATATGGTCTGATTCTAATGTATTGTTCCACCCTTCTCCTCTATAAAAAAGTTGTCTCCTATTTAATCCATCTGCTACTTAAGAATGGCATGAATCCTGTCATAGATGTTGATAAAGACACCTACCAGGACTTTTCAGTAAGAGTCAGGTGGGTGAGGGGTAAACGTCGCACACTCAGCATCTGGCGCCGCATCTCACTCAGAGACTCTGTGAAAGTTACAGGACCTGAAAATTAATATTTTCCTTTAACTTTCTAACCTTTTTATGCATTTCCTGCCATGAAGCTTGGTGGCAGGGCAGGAGATGATCATTAATTTCTTGGTGAACGAATATACATGGAAAGAACTAATCATCCTCTCTGGCCAGGAACTGAACCAGGGACCCTTCACTTGTGAGGGGAATGCTTTTCTACTAAATTATGGAATTTTTTCCCAAGATGGTATTTAAAAAATGAGCACATGTTCTTTTACAACAGCATGATCATATATTGAATAAAACTATGTAGATTTAGTCATTACAATCCTGATTACAAATAAAACTACAAAAATATAGCTATGACTGTAAAACACGCATGCTCCCCACTGGCTGAAAAACTTTAAAATCCCCCCAAATTGAGGATAAAATAAATGCATGACTCAATAAAAAGAGTGGATATAAGTTAATTTAAAGGTAAATATAGGCTAGCCCCAAAAAACAGACAGAAGGAACATGTGAACAAGATTTATGCAAGAATTCTTTACAAATGGAGCTCACTGAAAAGCATAAAATTTTGGCACACACAGTTTGACTAGAAACCATCTGTAGGACATGGATGCCTTGTTGTGCACATTAACCATGAAGTTCTAAAGCCTAAGTATTTATCAAAAATTTACCAGAAATGAAGATGGACAAGAGTAACACTGCAGGACAAATTTTTTAACATAAACTTCACTTACTATGATGTTGCTTATGAAAATCTGGCAGCAAAAACAGGTTGACAAGACTGCCACAAGAAGTCTGTGCCAGGGGTGTGTAGGTTAGGCTATTGCAGAGACCCAGACGACTCTCACTCTCCAAGCAAGACCCGGAGAATGCTTCCTGGTACACTCCCTGAATCATAAGCAAACAAGTGATTTCCATTATTATTACAACACCAATGAACACGGGGTGGAAAAACCCAGTTATTGAAAAAGAAGAAAAAAATTTAAACCAAATAAACAGTGTTTATTTGTTATATATTTTTTTCCTTGAGCTTTGATGCAATCAACTGCATGTGTAACCCGGGCGGGGAATGCAACCATCTGCACTACATATGGAGGTGTAAAAGTGAGCAGGCCACCAGTGGTACGGGTGTTTCGGAAGGAGCCCATTCGCCCTACCTCACCTCAGCCGCGGTGGTTTGACGAATAGATCTTAAGATCGACAAATGTACGTGTACCCAGGTCAGTAATGTAATCACTTTTACACCACCGTGTGTAGTGCAGGGACTCTTGCACTTTTGTCAATCTTTAGATCAATCAATTGCATTTATCTTTCATATTTCAATAAAAAACTGTGCAGTGCAGTATGTTTTCTTTATAAATTACTGGTAGTTGAAAAACTATGTATTTAGTTTACATTCCAGGTTTTCTGCTTAATAATGAAATGTTGACAATATAGAGTATAATCATGTCTTAATACAGCTAGTTGAAGGAATTTGTATAATTTCCTTTCATCACCAAAAGATTTTTCAAGTGCAATGCACTGATATATACTAAAAGAAAAAAAATGGTTGAACTTGTCATTACAGTACTATAATATGGAGGATAAAACAAAGAAATTGGTGGGTGTCGAGTTCGTTAACTTCAGGGTGGATTGGTTTAACCCAATGGTAAAAACTATCTCATAACAATGTGTTCTCTGCCCTGTATGTGCAGACCTAAGGCGAGCAGACAGTAGACAAGTAGGACAGCAGTTGTTTTGTGTCACATCTGGTTGCTGTTCAGTTCACATCCAGTACATCAAGTGTAGGAGGATGTAACTGTCAAAATCACTTCCCCTAATTGCATTATTTTGTAGTGATATCTAGTTTAATATAATTAAAGCCTCCCTTACAACAGAATGAGAACTCAGTCTCACCAGGACCTTAGGTATGCATATTGCAGGGTAGAAAAATAACATTGTTAAGAAATATAAACTATGAAACAAAAAGTAATTTACCCCCCCCCCCAAAAAAAAAATAATAAAAAATAAATAAAAATAAATAAGAGCACGGTTTTAACCAATCCACCCTGGATGAGCACATGTATGAGATGCATGGTTTAGATTCAGAGAAAAGGGAATTACTTAATTATTCACAAATACCATTCATAATTATATAAACTCACAATAGGGCATACAGTACCCCCAAGATCCCTCCTTAGTGGTTGATTACCTTAGGTAATGAGCCTGCCCTTGGAGCAAACCTAAGAGGGAAAAATGAACATTGTAGTGCTGAGAGGAAGGTAAAGCTTTGGAGGAGTAATAAGGATCACTAAAGGAAATGATCCACTGAGTTACTTGCCCCCAACATCAAACATAAAGGGGCATACAATAAGGCTTAAAAGAGCATATTAAATGTGTAAATAATAATTCCTAAGGTAGGATTCCCAGTGTAATTATCTGATGGGAAACTTTCTTGAAATTCTTTTACAAATCTTACCTGCAATTTTTTCAAAGTAGCAGGAGTAAAATGATGTGATGGAGCACGATTATGCACAAAGACTACATGAGGAAAATACTGTTGTGTGTCTTCACTTGCTGATGGTGCAGAGGAAGCAGATGAAGAGGATGATGGGGTGGAAGAGGAGGAAGGCTTCATCATCTCACAAGTTTGGAGAAGACGAATGAGGTTAGGATCTGCTGAAGTGTCTTGAACCATCATGACAACATGTGCAATACTCATCACTAAAGTAAGCACCTGCAATGACTCTACCTCCATAAGGTTCTCTGTTGAACTGAAATGAATGGAAATTGAAAGGTTTAGTAACATCATATCAAAGGAGGGTTGCAACCTCCTACCTAAGATGATCAATAAGGCCTGTTTGATGAAATATAATCTTTGCACTTTCAATAAGCACATAATCACACAACCTCTGATATGCAGTGTACACACTCATTCACTCCTTATCTCTCCCAATGATAACTTCTTTCTGACATATATTAACTCTTAATAATAATAAGCAGCATAATTATGAATACAACCTTTAAAAAAACAAAACAGAATCAAGTCAAAATTGCATAATTTTTTAAACCCTTTAAGGAAAACATTGACTCACTTGTAATCAGATGTAAATTTCTTTTCCTGTGTGATCAGGCGGTCCATGATGGATGGGGAGAGAAGTGGCTGACAGTCTAATACAATAAGGCGTTCTGGTGTAATGTAAATATCAATTCCATTGGTTCCATGACAGCCTGACATTATCTGCTCAAGGCTCTCAGGTCGGAACACACAAGACCTTCAAAGAGAGACAGAAATGTGTATTTGAATACCCTTGCACATTATTTATATATGAGCAAATTTGAAGTAACTGTCTATCTTTATCTGTAAAATGACACTTTGAATAAACAGTCTTATCCAAAAAATCAAATACTCTTTCTCTATGTACTGTACATCAACGCTACAGGAAAAGTAGTATGTATATTACCTGATCTTTTGAACATCTACAGTAGGATCTACAAAGAGAGAAGCCAAGGCAGATTTTCCGACTCCCTGTGTCCCCATCATGGCCACAACTAAAAAATTGCTCTGGTCTAACAGGTATGAACTCAGGTCATCACAGAGGCTGAGGCTCTCATCTAGTAGGCGTACTGGACCCTTCATCATCCTCTCCGGTGTGAGAGAAGCTGAACATAAACACAAAGGTTGTCTTTCAGTCAAAATTTTTTATTTCAATTTCTCATAAACCCGCTGTGCATCAATCATGGATATATCCGTGATAAATAATAGATGCCGGGTGGAGCCAGTCACGGATATATCCTTGATGAAATGTTACGATTACATGCAATACAACAAGTAGCTTGATTTTTATGAAGTGTTTCAAGCAACTCTAGACCTATGTATTGACAACACTGCCAGCCCAGCAGCACTGCCACACATTACAGGATCATGCATCAATTACCGACTGACACAAGCATGCAGCATATCATGTAAGGGACCTTTCCTGTCCCCTGAAGAGGCTGCTGAGCTCGTTCTTTTGTATGAGCCTGACTCGAGTGTGTGTGTTTGCATGTGTGTGTGTGTGTGTTTACATGTGTGTGTGTGTGTTTGCATGTGTGTGTGTGTTTGCATGTGTGTGGGTGTGTTTGCATGTGTGCATGTGTGTGTTTGCATGTGTGTGTGTGTGTGTGTGTGTTTGTTTTAGGAATACTGTAAATTCATATAAATAAGATTTAGGTATGTACAGTATATCATGTAAAGAAAGAAAAAAAAAGAGTGACACTGTTCTCATATGTATTTGCTGAGAACCAGGTAACAAAGGGTGGCTTGCAAACATGACTTTGACACCCACACCTGTGAGCAGATAATACCCAAGGAAGGAATTGGGGGAAGACCTGGATGCAATCAGCATATATAAACAAAAAATAATAAGCTGAAATGTTCGGAACATAACTGCATTTTCAATACTGTACACGTGAATGTGTAACTCAAAGCTCATTACAGGGTAGTGCATACATTGACAAGTACGTAGTTTCACTTAAAAGAGCAGAAAAGTAGTGAAGAATAATGAATAGGATACAGATAACACAATAGACAAATAAAATAAATGTTATAAGTGTAATAAGAGTCGTACAAATACTCTCATATGCCTACAAAACATTGAGTATGATACCATGTCTCCATTGCAAATGTTACAGGTTATTGAATGGGAATGTGATAAATTACAATACGTACCAGTAATATTCAACCACCGACAACAATAATATGTGGAAAATCAATAATGTATTTAGCATTTTACACACCCCTATGAACTCAAGCACCCCAATACTGTACCTTACATCACTGACCAGCTGACTACATGTGTCACTGCTTGCCAAATCCTAACAATAACAATTACGTAGACTTCAGGATATATGATAGTAACATACATAACAAGTGTTGATGTGAACATTACAATATCCTGTTGTGTGTTGTGGGCTAAAAATAGAACATACATGCTTGCATAAAAATTTCCATACCATGATACAGGTTATTCTGTTGAGAAGGAAGTACTACAGCTTCTCCCCGACTTACGATGGGGTTAGGGACCCGAATCCTGGTCGTAAGTCGAAATGGTTGTAAGTCGAAAATGCTTAAATAATACATAGAAAATCTAAAATGGGTGTCTCTTTTTCTTATCAGTACCACAAAACTCTCACTTTTAAGCTTGCCAGCCATTTTAAAGTGTATTACAAATGAAAATTTTATCTGTGTACTGACGTTGAGACTCGAAAATACGTAATTTGACAAAATTTTGGTACGACTGAGGCAGGTCGTAAGTGTGAGTCGTCGTAAGTCGAGTAGGTTGTAAGTCGGGGAGGAGCTGTATACCGTACAGTAATGTATTGTGTCCACCTTCTGAATAGTAGTGACTGCACAATACAGTATTAGCAATTTTAAGTTGCAAAATATCCACTCTGAACTGGAAAGGATTTTATCTGCTATAAAAGTATGATTCATATCCATTACTTGACATTCTAACATTACAGCAATCAGCCAAAACCCTTTCAAATTATAACAAAAGTATTGATAAGTAAAATGCCTCACCTTCCATCATCATTACAGCCTTGGAGGAAGCTATCAGGTATTGCTGGCCAAAAGTTGTGGAACCGGAGTTTACATTAGGAGCTGAATCTTTCCTGAAATAAAGTTGCCCAGTTAGTCTAAAAAAAAAAACATTATCTGGACAAGTGACAACCCCATAGGATCTACTGTTATAAATAATAAACAAAAGTGGACTTAAATAAGCATAAACAAATGCACTCCTCAAGAACAGAATAAAGGAAAGCACGATAAAAAATCTACACAACTGAAGTTTATATACTGTAATATCTGTACTACATTATTATTTTCATCTTATTGTAGAAAATAAGATTCTACTGCACCAAATATAAAGCACAATGATTAAAATTGATAAATTAATAAAAAATATCTGCCTGACTAACTCCTAAAGCAGTAAATTAAAAAACAAAAGTGTACAACATTAGCAAACATACTCAGTACAGTGTATATTGTAAAGCTACTGTACAGTCGCTTAAAAAATATCTACTTGGGGGTGTCGTCGTCGATGAACTTCAGAAAGAACACTGCGACTCCTGTTGTCTTGGTAGGGTTGCCAAAGTCTTTCATCCATTGTGTCATATTGTCTAACACAAAAATTGTAAGGATGGTTTTTTTTTTTTAAATCCCAAGGAATGAAAATGAAAGGAAACCCATTTAGTACTTTAACTTACCTAGCCGTAATAATAGTAGGATTTGGTGAAGTAGATCGCTGCTCACTGTTACTTCGTGCCCGGGAGAGTATGACTGGTGTAGGAGTCCCCACACCAGTGTTTTGTGAGCCATCCCCTTCACCTCCGTCTCCATCCGTTGTTCGTCCAGGTGGTCGTCCGGCATCCCCGGAAAATATTGCATTCCTGGTGCCTTCACTGATCCTGAGCACACCACCTGTGCCCCCACTACTACTGTAGCCTCCTCTCTTCTCCCAGTCATCATGGTACCGTCCTCCACCACGCTTCTCCCAGTTGTGAGGATGTGGATGGTCATAATGACTATAGTTGCTGGATCCACCCTTGTAGTCATGGGGTGGTTTACCCAACACCTGAATCACAGGTGCTCGCATGTTGTCAGGCAGGAAAGTTTCAAATTCCCGATCAGGCTGAAGAGAAAAACAAAACATAAACTTATGTGCATTTATACTGGGTTAATTAGATACCAGTACAGGTATACCCCAAACACAGACACCCCAATAACCGCCATTTTGCATAACCGACATTTACATATTGGGCTATCCTGCAAGTTTTGTTGACACCCTGGAGATCCGACGATAAGAAGAGGAGTGGCAGAACCGTTTTGAATTTGGCAGGCGGTGACGTGGTGCGAATTCTTGACACGAGAGGGCTCTACTTGCTGCCTCTAACTCATTCCGGCCTCTCTGCTCTTGTTTGCACTTACTATGTGTCACTGACTTAGTGTTTTTTCTTTATTTCTGACTTCGTGTGTTTTGCTCTCAGGTCTAAACGCCCCAGTGATATTTCCTCTTCTGCTGCCCCTATGGGCAGCTTCATGTGAAGTGAAAAGGCATAATAAGAGAGGTGATGGACCACCAAAGATTGGTAGACTTGAACTTGCCACCTAGACTGTCTCTACCATCCTCAACACAGGTAAATAAGTATCAAATTATGCTTTACATTGCTTATTTAAGGCTTATTTTGCTTGCTTTATTTTCTTGCTTGATCGTGTACAGTACAGAGATATATCAAGGGTAGACGGGAGTTTTTGGAGGGTGGCTAGTCCTTAATCCCCTGAATTTGTTATATTCTTATTGGATTAATTGCTTCGATAATCGTTTATTCACTAACCAATGACTTTTCACAGTCCCAATATGCGTAAGTTATCGGGGTATGCCTGTATACTTATGATAAGTCTATAAATATCTTGACTGGCACTTTGATTCACTTATCAACAATGATATAAATCTACATATGTAGCTACAGTGCATCTTTTCAAAGCTGAAAATATGGAGCATAAAGACTCGACTTCATATGCTGAGTGAACTGATACAAAGCAATGTGAATCAATATGAAAGCCATTGGCATAGATTTATCTTCCACCACTAATCCCCCAGCCTTCCTCTATTTAAATTTAAGCTTTCTGCACCTCTTGATCAATCCCATAAATATATGGGAGATAATTGATAAGCTATAGAAAGATAAAACTGGAACAAATTCTGTTTGCAAGTTAATTTTAGTTTTGGATATAGCATTTAGTTATCAGAAGTGTTCTCAATATCTTTAACCCCGAGCTGCTCACATCCTCCTTGACCCCTATCTCTTATACACATAAAATCTAATGTTTACAAATAATTATTACATATTATGGACTACAGTATTAGTAATCTAAGTAAAAAAAATAAAATGTTACAAAATAAAAGAAATGGTGTTTGAGTGCATAGAACATGTGGTACCACAGCACAAAACCCTGAAAGTTTCATAGGCCTCTATACCTGTACAGCATTATTGCCAGTGCCAGATTTAGGTGTAACCTAAAGCTTGGGGCCTCACAGGTCAGAGTGGCCTCTCCGAGTTGAAAATTGTAAAAATGAAGTGCTGATGAAGTGCTTTCTCCACAAGACAAATTTTGTGTAGTCATTTATCCCCATGATTAATGCACTGCAAACAAATTTGGAAAGAAGAGGAATAACTTATGAAAGTGTTGCACAAAATCTTTCATTCTTAGTTGAGTTAACATAAGAATGGAGGAAACTGCAGCAGGCCTATTGGCCCATACTGGGCAGTCCCATTTTGTATTGTATTTTCTTCACTGTAAGCTGTTTAGGCTGTCGGTTATGTCAGTGCTACACATTGCTGGCAAATACTGGGCATATATTGCCTCCGAAATATACCAGAACATATGCCAACGATGGAAATTGTCATTAAGCTGTTTTATGGCAGGAGGCAAAAAACTTAATGGACTCCAGGATGGGGAGACAGAGTGGGTAATTCCTCACTCCGTCGGTACATGCACGCGATCTATTAACTCAGATTAAAGTAAGTTTTCCAATTTTTTGTGACTTTCTGACACCAAATACTAGTCGAGAAGTGATTGGCAGTCCGATTTATTCATCTAGGACCATTATTTGACTTCATTCCAGCTACATTTGGGTAATTAGTCGGACTCGTAATTTGCGCCAGAAATGCTGTTGAAGAAAAGTTTCTTAGAATTGTAACGATTACTGATAGCAACTATAAAATTACCGAGATTAGTTTAGTGGCAACAAGTGAAATAATACCGGTGAGTCTTTAGGTGAAATATGATGGGATGGAGATTCTTCGGTTATCCCTTGTTTCCTTTAATTTATTAACATACTGAAGCATTTGTATTCTTATTTTAGATTCGGTTATCCATTAGGTGTTCATTAATTACCTTTACATCTGATTTCCCCACCTCTTGTTCTATTACCCTATGTATAGGACCAATGCATTTCTTAAAAGCTTTTCTGGAGTTTATGATACTTTTAATAAATCCAATAGGAAGATTAGCAATGAATATGGGTTACAGAATGACCTTGGACGTACACTCAAAATTCTCAATGTATAACTTGTGCAACAGTGAACGTACTCGGTATCCAGGAAAATTCTCTCATACGTTTCAGCTGACAAAATAACCACCGGAAAAACTTACCTTCATTTCCTTCTGTAGTACATCAAGGTCGTTAAAATTATATCACATGCAAAGTGCTAAAAGAGACATTTCAACATGAATTACGGAATGTACGAAGATAACTTGAGGGTGCGCCTGGTAGTGTGGTTATTGCCTCATGTTGACAAAAGTCAACACTCGTAAACACCACAGCAATACTGTAACCTACTCCTCTTTTACCAACTCACTGTACCCGGAATCCTTATATATGGGATAATACCTGAATAATAATGCAAAAATCTGGAGTTTTCCAGAGTGGTGGCGCCTTCAAACAACTGCACCACAGCTGTAAATGATTGAATGTCTGAAGGTCGACGATAACGTAGCCAAGTTTTTACCATGGTGTTTAATTCAGTCATATAATACCTGTTTTACTAATCTTCACAAACCTTTTGGAACACTTTACGAATCTTCTTCTTATTTTTTGCCTTGTCGCCTACATCGGCCATAATAATCCTCAACAGGACATGTTTTCTCCTGCGCTTGGCCTCCGCACTCGCTTCTAAGCAGCCATGTTGGATATCACCAAGGATTCTATACTAGAGGACGATGGCTCACTCCACACGTTCACCCCTGAGAGAGGCGCCACCAAGCGGCGGGTAAGTATAAAGAATAGTTGACAGGCAAGGATCATGTTGGTATACCCACATTCCAGTGAATTCTGATTTCCGAGGGATTCACAAAAGGTGAGTCGTCAAACTATATCTGTCAGTGTTGGCTGTCCATTAGTTTTTATGAGCTCTTTCTTTTATTTAATGCATTTAGTTTTGATAATAATCCACACTTCAGAATTCCTAATTAACATCAGAGTATCCATGGGAAATAGGAAATGAACTGGGTGCTGTTGTATTGTTAAAAATACAAGGCTGGAACTTTGGAGATTTGGGTCAATATTCGTTTTAGGACCATCCACGACTTTGTGGGTGTTAAGGTTGTTAGGTTAATGTTAATATTATGTTAGGTTTATATTATATCAGGAGAAGGGGATCTTTTCGGTTTGATGAACTGCATTATTTTAATAAAACACATTAATCTGACGTAGTTTAACATTATAACTTCGAAAATATCTATATTTTTGGAGGATAAATATAAACGAACGTAGAACTTTCATTTCAAAGTTTTCTACAATTGACAGGTTACTCTCTCAAGATTAATGAAAATCTAAAATACAAAATTGACCATAATTTCAACAAACTCATCAAATTATCTGAGGTCTGGAGATAAAAAAAAAGATAGGACTTAAGTTTTTAATTGTTATCCCGTAAGTTCACGAGAATCATAAACTGATTTCAGCTAGTGTCTGGACACTCAAAACACATCGTCTGAACACTATGTATTCTACACATAAATATATAAGACGCTTGCAACATATACTCAATACACCTTGAATGCTTCATCTCACTATAGGTATATTTGACTTATGGCTACTCATACAGATTATCTCTTAAATTTAACTTTCCGTTGTAAATGATTTCAGGGTGTATGAATGAAAATGAGTGGCACATCGCTAGAGAAAACAAGTCTTTTCCTAGGGGTAACGCATTAGTTTTACACATGTTTTGTGGACGGTGGAACATAATATGAATAATTAAGTGTTGTTTATACTAACCGTGCAATTGTGACCATGACACTATGAACTTAGGTCAGTGGCGGTAACACTGTCATGCTAAGTCATAACACCTGTCACCTCAGGCTACAGTCTCTCGACTTTGCGGTTCATTTCAAATGTTGACAACTTGACATCAACTGACTAGTTGGCGGCTTAATGTAGAGATAAATTGCCTGCACCTAGCATAGGTCATAATCCTGGTACACTACTGACAAGCAATAAGCTGAGGTGGGGTCACACAGCACCTGACAAATTCCCACCTAGGAACTGTATTTTCCTCTCAAAATATTAGCTTGTCTCCCGGGCACCTGGACATGAAAAATCACTTTCCCGGCCCCAAGTCTAGCCATACTGGGCTGTTAGGTACTGCTAAGCTGCAGGCTCAGTGAATCCCTCGATAAGCAGTATGAGTGGATCTTTCAATATAAAGAACTAGTGAATCTTGTAGGTAATATTCCTGCAAATCTTGAAACAAAAAATGATAAACAGTGCTGTATTGTACTAATTAAGTTACCATATTAGGCTAATCTTTAGTAGGCAGTTTGAATCTCAGGTACAAGATGTCATCTTAATTACAGTATCCAAGTAGACTGGGGGCCTTGGGAATAAGAGTTCTTCAGGCAAGACACAACGCACTGTTGGCAAGTACTGGGCATGCATCGGCTCCTGAATGTACATGAACCTGCTCCAGTGTTGGTCAGGTCTGGTCTTGAAAGAGCTCACACTCTGTGCCATCACAACACTTTCTGGTAGATTGTTTCAAGAGTTCACTACTCTCACTCCGAAAAAGTTTGTCCTCACACTTTTCTGGACTTGCGGCTTCTTCAATCTTGAGTTGTGACCTCTTGTGGGGCGAGCGTCCGCCAGCTCCAAGTAAGGACACTCTGTAGTCCAATACTGATCATAAACAATGTTTTACAATTCAAGTTTTTTACCAGATGCTAAAGCTTTCTTACCAAGTTGGTTGATATTTTTTTAGGGGGATTAGCCCACCCAAGAACAGGTCACCGACTCAGATTGGAGCTTGGGGGGCAGTAAAAAAACACAAATAAATACAGAAATTAAACAAATAAAACAGATAAAATGTGAGAAAGGATATGTATGTTGTGTTGTACAAATAAGAGAAACAATTGAGACCCTGCAATTGTGTGTAAATGAGGAAGAAAGTCTGTCAGATCAGCAACCTGGGACTTGGTCAAAAATTTGTGATGGCATATAGAAGCAGGGTCTATCATTAGACAACACATTATGCTTCCAATACATGTATCTTCTTGGGAGGCAGTACCTCCCTCTTTGATAGCTGCTTACTACCTTCTACCTAGGTATACAACAAGAATAAATAAAAGTCGAGATTTCATGCACAATTGTTTTTATTACGATAAACCATACAGACAGTTACAGCAATGTCTGGAGATAGGAATAGAAGATGTTACTCTTATAAAATAGCAATTAAAAACACACTGAATCTATCATGTCTGTACAAAAGTTTGAACATGTTGAACATGTTCACATGTCCCTTGTTCTTTTGAAGAACTCATCTGGATTTGGATTGCACAGGCACTATCCCTTTCTAAACCATTTTTAATGTGAAATACAGTAAACGGAAACTACTTAGTACAGGTTATAATTTATTATTAAAAATTTGCATATATAAGTTTTGCATATAATTTTTAAAACTTTCCACACATGAAGCACAACTTCAAAATATTAACCCATGCCATCCTTGCTCAACATGTTCAAATATCTATATCTATGAATCACGGAAAAACTATAAGAGTAACCCCATGGATTTCACTTTGTCTACCTTAAATCTCTTTCAGGTAATAAGAAACACTCGGTTCATAATAATCGTAAAATATATTAATAAAAATAATATTCATAAATTCTTAGGAAATCAAGTAACATAAAAATCCTTTAATATATACTAAATAGATCATATATCTTTCAATCCATAGGGTATAACAGAAGCCTGGGAGGGGGTCTATGTACACCAGTAGAACAGCCGACACCATTAAGCATAGAATATATACATCACTTACAATACAGAGATGAAAATGGATAATACATCAATAAAACTCTTTTTTTAAGTCTTACAACTCTAAGACACAAAAATTATGTGGCAATTAGCAAAAGCTTTGTAAAAACTAAGACGTCATAAAATACTTTGTACTATGGCATAAAATATCAAATTACACTTTCTTGGTAATGAGGTCCTTGGTTAACTTCTTGGCAAATGGCATAAAAAATGTTCATTATTTGTATATGTGAGATGCCCCGGAAGGTGTCCTTTTCTATTGCATAGGCAATTATGTGATGATGTGTTGTAGAAACAATTGTGTTTAATACAAATGAAAGACAGGTAGTCCTTGAAATATACACAGTGCCACCACCCTAATCTTCAGTCCATTTTGCCATCAAGAATACAGGACTATTGTAGGTGAGGTAGAGTTTTCACTACATACCTACTAAGCATCAACTAACATTATATGTCCAATGTTCAGAAAAAATATTACAATATCTTCTTTTACGTGATATTCTTGGTTTATTTCTATGAATTACAATTACAGTGCTGTATCTAATAAAAATTATTCTGATTCTTAGACTAGGGTTGGCAAACTCTTCACAAGATACGTGTGCCCATGTCTTATTTACAAAACTGGGAGGAAAAAAAATCCTTAATCAACCAACATTACAGTCTAATACCAAATATACGAGAGATTTCTTTTTAATAAACATTTGTGCAATCCAAGGCCATTTTGTTTCACATTTTGATATTGATGAACATTAATTAATCAAATGTTCTTTTAAACAGAGATACTGAACAGTTCGTACATATAAATGGGGCGGGATATTATTATTTTTTCTAATCATTCGTCTTTTTTTTTTGACTGTATGGCAACATTAGCACCAGAAGTGAAGAGAGCCTTTCTGTATTTTTTTGGTGAAATATATTAATAAATTCTCTATATTCTCCATAAATGATACAATATCTAACTCTAAAAGTATTTAGAGATCACTTGTTTATAAAATCTATTTAAAGCACTCATTTGGTAGTGGACATGATCTCGCCCGTTACTGAAAGTTTTGTAAACATCATCCTAGGACATTAAAATACAGTATTAGTTTACATTATGTGCAACTTTACATCCATATATATGTAAAAAAACAACTGCATATACCCAGTATTTTATATATCCTAAAACAATGGTGAGTACTATTTCTATACAGTATATGAAATAATGTTTAATATGAATGGGCAATCAACTAAGCAGACTATAATGCATATTAAACATGTGTATTGAAAGACTGATCACATGGGGTTTCTGTTAACCCGTTTAGTCCAACTACCTGAACAGAATGAGCATTTTATAGCCTCTCAATATTCACTTATGTACTTTCTCATATTTCTAAGGTAATGATATGCAACTTAAAAGAAAAAAGGGAACAATGAAAAACATGATAAAAAAATAATCACAACACAACTCTCAATTGGTAATGCCGTGAAGAAAAAATGGCAGTGTTCTTTATAAAGTGAGGCCGTGGTCACTAGTGGACGGTCCAGCCACATTCACTGGCAGATGGTTTTGGCCACATCCAGAAGTGAGTAATCTAGGCTATACAGTATTCACCAGTGGACAGTTTTCAGCCATGTTCACCAGTGGACAGTTTCAGCCATGTTCACCAGTCGACAGATTTGACCATGTTCACAAATGGACAGTTTTGGCCATGTTCACCAGTGGAGGTCTGTTCCACATTCACAAGCAGAGGTTCAGGCCATTTTCACCAGTGGACATTCCTGGCCATGTTCACCGGTACAAATTGTGAACCACAGTCAGTCACCAGTGGACGGTTTGAGCCAAGTGCATCTTCAATGGTAGACAGTACAGGTCATGCCCACTAACATAATGTCAGGGATACTGCTTGCTCTTGGAAGATCAGTGCCTTATATTCCTGATAAAAATTGAAAAATGCAGCTGCTATTTTTGACATCTTGGCTCAGGTGATCAGTGAAAAGCCATAGTCATGTTTACCAGTCTAATTATATATGAGCAGCTGCTTCTTATTCATGAGATCAAACTTGGGGATATTGAACTGAACATTGCAAACTGCATACCATTCAAGCTTCCCCGCCCTAATAATAGTAGCCCAACACTTGATCTACACCTTCTATATGTCACTGCCAACAATTACTGTATTCATAAATGTTTTAAGCATCTCGGTTATCAAATATTAAGATTATGCTGTCTTGTTCCCAGTTACATGTACCGGCAGTAAAAAGAAGAGGAGTAACATGAAGAAATATGTTATACATGATCAAATCTCAACCAGCTACATTATGTTATTTCTTGATGAAATTAAAGTCTTTGTACCTAATATTCATACAACGTTTTCACTTTAACCAACATTTTCTTTGGTTACTGATTAATTTGGTTTAAAATAACAAAGATCATATCCAATGTACAGTACCGTACTGCAATTGTTACTCCTAAAATAAGCAAACTAAAACACAGTAGAATGCTGATGAATTCTTCACAAAGTTTTTCACTCTTCTTTCTCGGGACATTTAAAAAAGTTATCAACAGTGTCGTCAGTGGGCTTGTTAAGTCTTATACACACACCTGTACAGCCTCTTCCTTTATATCTCTACTGTCTCTCGGCAAGACCTACTAGAGATTTTCCCCAATGGCATGGTCCCAAGCTATCCATTTATTAACTATGTCATGGATAAAGATTATGGAAAAAAAAGTATAAAAATAATGCCATACATAAATTAAAAACACCAAATATGGCAAGTTATAATATTCAAGAATATGAGAAGAAATCTTATAATTTTTTTTATCTAAGGTTTCCAAACCTTTCATTCTTCATATGGTCAGCTCTTAACACCACCTACCACACCCCTCATTACTTCAAATCCCTGACATAGGAAATAATTGTCATACAGGTACTTCATAATTTAAAACCTTACTGTATTTTCTGATAATCCATAATGTAGTTACAATCATTAAGACTAACATTACTCACATATACGTTTTCTACAATGAATCTCCTGAACCCATCTAAATTATTATTCAATCTTTACATGTTTGGAAAATTATAGCTTTACTAATATAAAGTAATATAAAATATATGATCAGAAAAATCCAATTCCATTACCAGTACTATAACTGTACTGTTATCTGAAATATTACTTCATTACTTTCTGTGTAAAGAGGTTTAGGATGCTGGGTTGTGGTAATGGGATGTTGGAGCTGATTTTTTTCATACCAAGAATAAGATTTCCTTTGAGTCCAGTTAAAGATAATTGTCTTTTTTTTATCATTGCTCTTCATCACCTGACTGATATGTTGCCATAGGTTTATCATATCTATTCTTTCTCTTACTAAGCTTAAAAACAATCCTTATAGTTTCCTGGGTCTATTTAAGTCTACAAAGAACATTTGAAATTGATTCACTGCTGCAAGAAAAAATGCTACACAACTGTGAGGAGACCAGAGAGTGCTCCTTAAAAACACTCCAAAGAATTTGTTTTCATTAAAATGACATCATTATCTGACAATAATAAAAACAGAAAGCTTTGAATAAGTACATATGCATTACGATTTTGGCAGTTAACTCATCTTTTCCTCTGAGTGATTCGGCTCAAAACATAAAAAAAAAAAATTCAACTCAAAACCAAATGTTTGAGTCTTGTTCATATATATATATATATATATATATATATATATATATATATATATATATATATATATATATATATATATATATATATATATATATATATATATATATATATATATATATATATATATATATACATATATATATATATATAAACCAGAGAATTGGTTTATCATTAATTAGTTATATTGTCTAGCAGGGCCAGAATGCATGGTTAAAAGATTAAGATGACAGAGACCTGATACATGTAGTACAGTAGTACCACTAGCCCACTCACTTTAGCATACTGATGAAGCTCCAGATACACAGGCCTCATGCCTTTGTCTAAGAACTGACCTAAGCATCACAGGTACTGGGTATCAATTTTAATATGTGGCCATAGTTTCCCCACTGACAACTTTAATATACAGTATGCATAGAAGTTCCACACTAAACTGAACCCATGTGAGTACAGTACTTCCATAGTTCAGTGAAGGTGTATATGACTGTTGTTTATTAAGGCAGACTAGTAGCAGTACATCACTCTGATTACGTGTTATGGAGGAACAGTTAATATCAACTTAATTTTTTTTTTAATAACTCTTGAGCACTCTCCTGCCTTTAACCAGTCTATACAGTACTTATAGTTGCACAGACATGTGAGCATCGTAAGATTATCATGACTTTTGTTTGTACATTTCAAGTGCTTGCATTTCATGCTTATCAGACACTTTACACCTGAAAATAAAACATAAAAGTAATATTAACAGGACTTGGAAGTATGGGTGATTCTTTCTGCAGTCTTGAACATGAAGTATTGCTTGAATGGAATCTATTTAGTTTAACATGAAAACTGTACAAAAGTATTTTAGATACAAATAATTCTTAACGTTCATATCCGCTCATCACCTATAGCTTGCCTCATCCACACTTCACTCTGGCTAAAATACAATGACATACACGGAAAGACCCTTGCCTTAATTTTACAATACAATGTATGTAAGCTATTATAACATGTCATACTTTCTGTTGCATCAATTACATAAAGTAATTGTTGCAATTTTCATCTGGTATTCAAATAATAAGTGCTGGAGATTTGGAAGCCTTTCTATAACTAAAATGTTACAACCACTTTCATGGTCAACGGCCTTTTCTTTATTTCCACATACAGTATTCTCTTTACCTCTAAACAGGTGTCAATATTCACCAGACATTAAAGTGTGGTTGGAGTGAATCACTGTGTGATTCCACTTATTCTGTATCACAGCAGAGTTCATACACAAACAAACTGCCATCACACAAAACTTTTCCAGTTTCAGAAGCTCACAGTCAACTATGTGGCAGTGATGTATATGGATCTGAGCTCCTGGGGGTCTTAGTCCATGGTTCTGTAGTTTGTATTCACAGCTCTACAAGAAAATGCATTCTCTGATAATAGGAGATGATTTGTGGTGATCTACCACTGCCTATTATATTCAGAGTACTGTACTGGGATGAAGCTTGGAGGACCACCATCTGTAAACTCAATATTTGAGTTTTGTTGCACAGTACACACTTGATAAAAAGTTACAGCAGCACTTGAAGTACAGTGGTACTCGAGATTCATTATTTCCACTCACTTTTAAAGTGTTCTGAGGTTTTTACCACTCATTTTGTCCCTCAACAATCCTTGTGATACCCTCACTGAAGTATAATCAATCCATAAACAAGTACATCAAAATGTCATTTTCTTTTTAAGCTGCACAGCCCAGCACACCCATCAGGCCCAAGACTGTGAGATCCTTCACTCTCCAAAGCGACTGCAGGCCTTTTTCCATTTGCACTGTGTGCACCAAAGGTCACGCTGCTCCATGCCATATACTTTACGGCACTTACGACTTTCTCCATTCCTTTTTCCTCTGCCGGGTGAAGCTTTAGGGGAAGAACTTACTCTTATTTTACCACGTCCAGATCCCTGGAAAAAAACAACTATTTAGTACAGTATAATAATATCCAGAGGTAGAGTTACACGATCTTCAAGAAATACAATACTGTACCGTATATATTCACACAATATCCATTTGGCCATTACAAACCATAGAATATGTCATGGTGGTCAGTAAAACAGTACAGTAAGCCCTCAACATCAAGACACCTCATGTGTGAAGGCAAACCCTGAAACTTGTCAGTGGTAATGATCTTAGGCTGCAGTAAATTATTTTTCAATTTTTATTTTATTAATAAAAGTGTCCAAAATCTAATATTTTCAGAGATTTTTCACACAACTCACCAGATACGTAGAGCTGCGAGGCCATGAACTGGAGAGGGTTGCAGGAGGTCCTCCCAACTGCTGCCTGTATCTGGGATCTGTAAAAATGGAATGTTGTTTAGTAGTTCAGAAATAGTGTTGGAAAAAAAAATTTAGGTTCACCACTTGACAGTCAAACACAGATAGACAATAGTCTGAGCAAACAACATAATCAGATAAAACACTCACCTTCATGTGGTGGTCGAGCCATATCCATGTGGCTGAGTGTTGGTGGTGAAGACACATGGATGTACTGAGGTTGGGACTGTTGCACTGGCACAGCTGGGAATGCTACTCCCACTGCCTGTAATGTATTAGGTGTGGGTGTGGGTGGCGAGGTGATGAGCTTGAGGGTGGTGGGAGGGGCAGGAGGCATGACAGCAGCTGGTACAGAGGAGGTAACCAGAGGTTCACAGGGGTCAACCCAGGTGGCCACGTTAACCTCCACTTCGGTCCAGTAGAATTCCTCCTCGTGATCATCTTCATCATCACTATCACTGTCGCTGTGGTCACTGTTCACTTCCTCACGCCTGTGGCAAATATCATCACATTACCTTACATAATATGCAACTTAGATATAGCAAACTATCTAATGTACTGTATAGTAGACTGATAAGAAAAATTAAGAATCAATTAAGGCTGCTAAATTTTACCAGGTAGTTAGGGATATCCGGTAAGCATGTTTGAGTGTTTATACCAACTTATTGTCTTAATTTTTTACTGCCACTGTTTACACTGCCACTCATTATTTACCCAATCTTTGAGGTTTCTGCACCCCCTTGACTCACCACGCATGAGTAATGATAATAGTGTAGCCATATAAAAGGTGATAAGTATGACTTAACCACAACAATGGTAACAATAACCTAAAATGTGGTTAAATTACATGAAATGACAGTGGTGGCCTACGAAATAACAGTTATTTGTGGAATAACAAGTACCCCTGTACAGTACAGTACTTACCCAAGATGTGTGGAGCGTATGTGTCTCTCAATGGCATCGCAGGCAGAGGTCATCTCCTGGCAGCCATTCCAGGTGCATTTGAACATGGTGCGGGTTGAACTCTGCAAGAGAGAAGGCAACAATCAATATACATACAATACAGTACCTCTAACACATACACCACTGAATCTGAATCAATTTATAGTTGTGTGTTGACTAGCACAGAACCTGGGGCATATAGAATGGGAGTTTAAAACTACTTTAATCAATTACTATATATATATATATATATATATATATATATATATATATATATATATATATATATATATATATATATATATATATATATATATATATATATGCCAAAACATAAATAACCCAGCATTATGTACTTTAGTAGCAAGATATATTTTAAACATTTTCCTCCCTATCACGTGTCCAGTCTACTACATGTGTTATATTAAATCTGTTCCATGTATATGACGCCCCTACAGTAGTAATGCTATAGGGTGATTAATCTTTAGGTGAAATAATAAGCTTCAGGTGATTCAAAACTAAAACAAATTCCTTAAAAGGTATATCAAACAATCCATGGACCCTGAATAAAGAACAATAAATAAATAAACTCTTCTATAAAAGTCGTTTCTAGTTTAATGTTGAAAGTAATGCATAGTGAAAAGTACTCAACAACCATGGCAGCCGTAGTAAACATATTAAATATTGTAAATAAGACGTGTGTGATCTCGTGGTGGTGAAGGTGTGTGTGTACAGTACTTAAACAAACGGGTGCCGGAGATCAATATGCCTCGCCTCCCAACACACGTCGTGAGGGGCATAACAAGAATTAGCAGCAGCAGGTCGAGGTTAAACAAGAGAATAACCGACCAGTGTTAACAAGCGCGGCAGGCACTATAACATCAGGATAATCGTGCATTGTGTTTTAATTCTAGTTATTACAATCCTTTTCTTCCTTTATGTATAATAATGTGTAACAATGCAAGAATAAGAACGTCATATATGTTTGTATGTATGTAGTATATATCTTATGTATGTATGTATGTATGTCAGTATATGTATGTATGTATGCCAAATAACTAGTCGCATTACTTGTGTGTGTGTGAGTGCGTTCGTGCGTATGCGTGTGACGTATGTGTATAGTGCCACACAGTATGTACCATAGGGCCGATAAGGGGGGGGGCATCGGGGTAGATAGCCCTGGTGGTGGAGGTGCCCTGGGAGGACCATTGATCTACTTGGATGACTGCCAGTACTCCTCCTCCCCTCTTCTTCTTCCTCCTACTCTCCACCACCGCAAGGAATGATTCGCTTTCACTAGTGCCGAACCACCTTAATCGACCCATCCACCCCCACACAAACTACCTAACGCCTAAGTAATTCACTCTTTGTAGTAGTAGTAATAATAATAATAATCAGAAGAAACAAGGATATTGCTGACAATTTAGATACAAGACTCATACAATTTAGGCGATGGTATGTACACCAGACAAGCTACAATATAATAGTGATCACAGTTATAAACGTCTGACACCACTACAACAATACTTCCTCGAATATGTCAGCGTTGTTTGTGGCTGTGTGTGTGGTATCATCCAGTACATCTAGGCGTATCCTGTAAGTGACCCAATAACAGCTGGCGGTAAGGGGGAAAAATCATATTAAAAAGACTCCCCTCCCTCACCCCCCCCCCCAACCTTGCCATGGTTTTTCCCAATTCTCAACCCTAAGCACTAATAAAACTACCAGGTAATGAAATTCAAACAGCTGGCAATGCTACGCTACACCACCACTGGAACATGTTCAGGGATATTGAAGAGCCAGTACCCGCCATTACAGAACTGGCCGACCACCCGCCCAGTTAATAAGCTGCCAAGTGACCAATAGGATAAAGTCAGGAAACATAAAACGCGGTCAATACAGAACCATGCAATAATTTCTGAGCCAGGGAGGGAAAAGATACGTTCCCTGGTGGTAAACGAGAGTTGATACTTTAAAAAAAATGATAAATAATCCGGCTTTAAAACCAGTGCCAACTGAGTTAGTAGGTAAGCGAAGCACGGCAAATGACCAAACAAAACTATATTCACTCTGTCAGCCTCCCAACCCCCTATCCTACTTTCCCAATTTCTCCTTTCTCGTTCATCCTAATGTAGTTTATTCCTTGCCCTTCCTCGCCAAACAAACCCCAACCTACCGCAGGTCTTCCTCTTCCAAACATCCCTCACAAATGGAACCATAATAATGTATCAAGGTGTTTTATTTAGTTACGAGGACCGCACGATTTTTTGAAAACCTGGGATTTTAATTTTCACTTTGGTCAGGTACAGAGAATACAATTAGGTGATCGCGGCAACGTAATTATACTGTGTGCATAATTATTCAATCCATTAATATTTAACCACCAAGTACAGTATATGATAACACCCCCTTCGATAAATTTATGTATCCAGCCCAATAATCTGACCACTCCATTTAGGCTTAACTTAACCCACTGGCTAACGTGACGTTTTGAATATGAATGAACTTAAAGCGCCCGTGAAATTGTCCCACGACATGACCTCGTAACTCAAGGGTGACGCAGTACGAGCTACCATGAACAACGTCACTCACATACTACCGTTAGTCCCTCACTACCTGTCAAACCCACCAAAAACACATATTATAGTGAGAAGCGTGCGGAGTGTTTACTGAGGTGATGGTGTGCCGGCGAGGATGAATAGCCTCTGATGAACGCTCCCTCCACCACTGGCTCCTGGCTACCACCCTCCCCCCTCTTTATTCTCAATCGTCATTATATTTATCAAATGCTGGTGTTTGTTGAAGCTTCGTCCCCTTGCCAGGGTTAATTTAAAGATATTAATGGACATTCATGTTTTTCCAATTAAGACAAAAAGTTTTACCAATCATCATTATACCGACCTCTTTACAAAACAAGAAGCTTTGTTCTTTTGACACGATTAACATCATGTTTATTTAATTCGTATTTATTTCGTAATAAATGTGTGATTTTTACTGTACAGATTAACTTATCATTGAGTGTTTATGTTTCATTAAAAAAAATCTTAGGTATACTGTATAAATCGTTTCTGGTACATCGTTAAATATTCCTTGACTTCTGGTATGTTGACTTGTGAACTGTTGACGGTGACGCAGCTACTGTACTGTTTTATTTACCCGGCAAAAATATTGAGATGATGAGATACTGTCAAGGGTCTCTCTCCCCACCTAAATGTTATACAGTCAGACTATGAATATCCCATCAGTGGGTAATTCGGTGGCTGTCATAGGGACCACTTTCACTCTCGCACTTTCTCCCTCTCACTCTCCCTCTCTCTCTCTCACTCTCTCCTGACGCCAGGTTCGCTCCAAGCTAGAGGATGAACAAAGGAGGTGTCCCCGCGCATGTGCCGCCCGGGGGAGCGCCGCGCCCCTTCACACGCATGGGTTGCCAATTTCAGGGATGATGGAAAGGAGTGAATTTCGAGAAGCCCTTTAGAGAGATAAGAAAAAGGGCAGAAATAAGTAATCCTCAGCAATATCCACATATATATTCCGTAAACCCGATATAACAAATAAGAAACACTATCAAAATTCAAACTCTCCTTGCAACGCTTTGACTGTTACCAACGGGTTTTCGAAGCTAAAATAAAATCTATTTTCAGATCGGAATAAGACAGCATTTTCTAAATTCCTTCCTCGTTTTCTGAATTAAACAAGAGAAAATCCCAACTGGATGAAAACGGCAAGGCGCGCGTCCTACCTCCACAATGGGTCCAGTTTTAAAGGGGAAGTGATGGTGCGCCATGTAAACAAACACGCGACCGTCCCCCAGTGAAGGCTCCCCCCCCCCCTCCCCTTACCTACTGTTCTAATAATAATAGTTCATAATAAAAAAAAGAATAATAATAATAATAATATGCATTATTATAATAATAATAATAATAATAATAATAATAATAATAATAATAATGATAATAATAATAATATTATTATTATTATCCATTTGTTTCAGAGTAAATGATAGCGGAACAAATTCTAGTGAAAAATACTCAGGTAACACTAATGACACCCAGGTATCAGGTGTGCCTTGAGCAATACATTACCAATTACTGTACAATGTCGAGTATGTATGACGAACATTAATACCATTCTGAATGACAGGACTTACATGAATCAGAAGTTTTCTCGTGTAGACACACACACACCTGGTGTATATATTTATTATTATTAAGCATTCCTAGTACCAAAGTTGTTACCATACACATAAAATCCTTAACACATACTAGCTGAGGTACTAGCAGCCTCTACAAGCCAAGACTACTATTAAACTGTACAAAATACTCTTTCACACATCCTTGGCACAACCATCCAATGTTGTTCACGAGAGAACAGAAAATATTATCTTTCGAGTTTTTTAATGTAAAGCCCTGAATATTATTGGTAGGTGTTATGATACAGTGCTATATTGTGCACTAGTGTAAAGAGGTGCAGTGCTATAATGTTATGTAGACAGGAGCGTTACTGTGTGTCGAGTTAACGGCCACTAACCAAGACCTTGCTCTGGCGGCACTACGGTCCGGTAACACCACCTCGGCTTTAACGAATATATATTTTTGTGTAAGAAACATTTTACAGAAAAGAAGGGAAAAATTGACTAATGACTTCCCGACCTAATGTGAAAGAAAACGTCCACTCCTCACAGTCCCCAGATGTCACATTAACAAGATGATGTACTAGTAGAAGCGGTGTTTGCGGTGGTAATGCTGATATCGTTAAATTTACCTTAAACGTAGTTATTTAAGCCTCGTTAAATTCCTAGGATCTTAATTTTTGTTCAATGTAAATAATAAAGGGACTTACAGTGAATCGCAGTTCCTCCTATTTTTCTTAAGTCAAGTTTGAACTGCAATTACATAATATTCTGACCTTTGATACACTGTTGACTCTGATGTTCGGTCTGGTGATGATAAGCATTCAAGTTTGACAATATAATATTTATCGATACAAAAGTTATACTAAGGGCAAGGGTTTTGACCTCTTGATCTTCAGCTGTGACCATGACCTTTGAACTCAGACACTTAAATAAGGTGTTATGCACTTC